GGGGCTATGACTGTTTGCGTTATAATATAGTTATAATTTACTTATTTATGAAATAAATATATTTAAAAGGAAATTATTTTTTCGGACCTAATCGTAGTTAGACGTAACCGATGCAAAATTTGTTTGAGAAAACAAATATACGCGATTTAAATCTGAATAAATAGTTTCATCACCAATATGTACCCCAAGAACTCGAAGTATACTATTCGAACTTGTCTGCTTATAGATTATGTATTTACCCAAATACCGATTTTTTTTTAAATCCAAGAAGCCTTTACTATTGTTGAAATTTAATTGATATCCATATTTCTCGTAGGACTGGCCTACGTAACCGTTCATTAAATCTTAATTAACACCACTATATAAACATAACTTTCCAAATACTCTCTACATAATAAAGTGTAATTGTTTTCCTAATCAACATGCTCGCTTGTATAACGAACCTTCGTTACACTCGTACCGTAGCTGCTCCATTACGTTATGTCATCGCAACTGGGTTAGAGGTTTTTTCCCATGCATTTGTCCCACATTTATCCACTAGGGATTTTCCATGGGAGTTTTTATGAGCCGTGCGGAATTGGGGTTATGTAATAAAATTTCATCTTGAGATGAGCCTCACTTTTGTGATAGTGGAGCGGTAGTAAAGTTATTATTTCATGTTGAAAATTTTTAGCTGTTCACTTCTCGTCTTTCTCTACCGCAACCTGACTGCGTAATTTTTTTTAATAAATTTCCACCCGTTTATTTGGATAGGCAAAGGTTTAACCATACAGTCACTTCTTTATTCTTTTTTTGTGTTTTATCGTCTCTCCTACAGTCAGCTCATATATTAGTAACGTTCCTTGTTTTGATGGAAAAATCGACAAGCGTCGTTCTTATGTAGTTTATTTCATGTCATGAAAGACTGACGCTATATAATTGTGTCATTTCGAGACTCAAACTGGTAGCATAGACAATGTTTTTTAGATAGTAGAAATAGTCAAACTTTTAACAGATGTTTAGTAGAAACCGTATCACTGGAAAAACAGAACCTAAATAACACCAGCCTATCATTTGTCCGGTTAGCCAACTGTATTTAATTTTAGATATTATTTCTTCATTTTGAATCTCTAATAAAATATTTACATTCGTGTTATAAAGATGTTATAAACTTTGCTATCACTAAAGTATATATTTTATTACTTTATACGTCTAATAAATTAATGATTAAATTTCGTAAAACGTAAGTTGTCGCTGTTACGTTTATTAAATATTCCTGGATTTATATAGTCTTTATAAATCATTAACAGCTATTCTGTAGTTTATATGCAACTTGCGAATGTGCCAGCCTTACCCTAGTCGGTCACGTGATACCAAGGCACTGACCCACATTTTGAATGACAATTCAATCTAAGTACCTATACCGGTATCGCTAACTCGTTGTACATATTAACCTGACTCAGTTATTGGCTATTTTTAACCCTCTTCAAGAAAATATTGAACCGCATCGATTAATTGCCGTTTTATAGAAACAACCTTAACCTTTTCCAATAAGTAAACAAGCATTTTATTTATACTTATTTAAATTATTTAAATATTTCTAAGTAACGAAACCAAGACAATTATAAATATTCTAGCTGCAATAAATACGTAAATATACAAATGAAAGCGATTGTTTGTGACGAAATTGTACATAGCATAATGAACTTTATGTGAATTGCCAAACTTACAAACGAATTCATCATTTCAACCGAAAGACGTCTCTTCCCCCAAAGGTCGCCACAACCTAGGTACGGTAATTACGGGAATTCCCGACACTACGCGAAAATTTTCCGGAAGGAACGCGACCTATCTTTTTTTTAGCTCGTATCTAGTTTGTACGTTACACAACTGACAAAAAGTATATTATGCTATGGTTATAAAAATTCGCTCCCATTAAGGTCCGCGCCAATGTAAATTGATCCTTGAAGGTCAATCCAAACTAATATTATAAATGCGAAAGTAACTTTGTTACGTTTTTACATCTAAACCGCTGAACCAATATTGACTAATTTTGGTACAGATTTGGTAATAGGCTACTTTTTGTCACAAAAATAAATCCTGAGAGGTTGAAATAGGAGATGAAACTAGGTATAGATGGACAACCAATAAAACGCTGAAAATTTATACAGTGCAATAGGCTAGTGGAAGTACTTATTCTAAGCAAAATAAGTCGCGGGCACCAGCTAGTATTAGGTTGCCTTGTAAAGAACACCAGTTTTGATTCCGGAAAAACCACGTTCGTTTTCTACAATGACTAAAGCTTGTTTTAGAATAAAAAGACTACCAAGCCACAAACTGGAAGAACCTAACACTAATAGTTTTACGTATTTTGTGGCGGCATTAAGGTTAAATTGATGGTGTTCCCCCGCCTGAGCTTTCACTTTCCCTTGCATGGATAAAACACATTTATGTTTATTACTTCACGCCGTGAGCATTGGCTCCGAATGAATTCAATGTTTTTGACGTGCTATCGGTTCACATTTGATCATTTCACATAATCATTTAGCGTTGATAAAATTACACCCAATTCTTTGTAAAATGTTGTAAGCTAACTCATGACAACTGTTATTAATTGGGCTGGAATTCGAAAGAAAGTTTTTTTAACAAAAATTATTTTAAAGCCACCAAAGGTTTATTTTAGTTTTGTATAACAATATGCGCTGAAAAAAGTTTTTAAGTAGCAATTGAGCTCCTTGTGAAAGAGCACGTCCTGAGACGTAATGCCACCTTTTCTATTGCTCCCCTCATGCAGAAATGTGAACATTACTGGGTTACGATTTTGAAGGGTAAGGGTGCTGGTGAAATTACAGGCACATGTGACTTGTCAACTTATGTCTCAGAGTGATGGGTGCAGTGCAGTGCCCCTCAGATCTTTGCTATTTAAAGTTCTGAGCGTTACTGCAACCGCTATGGACAGGCGTGTCGCTTATTACCAGGCACATTGTAATGACTTGTTCGTACCGTCACTCGGTGATACAATAAATACGAAACAGAAAAAGACAAGGAAAACCTGTTTTTTTTTATTTAGCAAAAATGTACATAAATGTATTTTAAAGAGGTGATTAATGGTTTGGATCAGTTTTACACAACTACGTCCGATTATTACAAAGACTATTTTCATTTTGTTTGTTTTTTTCACTGCAATATAATGACATCGTTCTTTACACGGTAGTCGATAGTTGTTATTCTTCAAGTATTATTTGTTTCAATGTTTGTTATAAGAACATAGTTACATAAAATGTTTATCCTCCGTGTAGAACTTCTTCAAAATATCATATTCATAGGGTCTGTTTACATCCCTATGTAAAAAGAAATATACGGGTGCTATGACGGCGTACATCGTCATATACTGTATCAGCCTTCCTGCTTCGCGCGATATGGGTCATTATCGTACTTAAGTCGTGCTATCCCGAGGATGTGGGTGTTCCTTTCTACTACGATAATATGTGTAACGCTGAGCTTCTATGCAACTTCCTAAAATATTGTTGTACAGTGTAAACAATATTGTTAATTTTCAGCTATTTTCTTTACATCAGAACTTATGTATCATCATCCATAGCCCGTCTTCGCACACCGCTGGGTATAGTCCTCCCGTAGTTTATGCCATCCACCACGATCCTGTGCTAATCTCACCCATCTACTGCCGGCAACTTTGACAATGTCGTACACCCATCGCGCTATAGGACGTCTCACGTTTCTATATCCATTTCTCGGGCACCATTCGGTTATGGCCTTACTCCACCTGTGTTCACCACGTCTAGCAACAAATCTCGCCCAACTCCACTTTAAACGCGTTATTCGATCTCCTATCTCGTGGACCTTAGTTAGTCTACGGATTTCGGAATTCGGAACTCGGTCTAGAAGTTTGACGCCGAGCATGACTCCCTCCATGGATCTTTGTGCGACTCTCATTCTGTACACAGCCTTCTGTGTGAGCGTCCACGTCTCGTCGTCGTATGTGCAGTATTACGTATGTGTATGATATCGATCACGGACGAATAACATGTGTCTGTTGGTAAGTAATACGTCTACCCATAACAGTTGTATTGCCGTTTAGAGATTTAAATCGCAAAGAACTGAGGGACACTGCCACTGAGCCCGTCACCTGATATGAAGCTCACAAGGTCCGTGTGTCTGTAATCGGAACGTCGGGTATTTCGCCTCTTAAAACAGGGCACTTGGTAATGCCCATGCACCATGTAGAGTTAAACATCAGGTATCGTTATTTGTTCCACACTGTTTAAACCTTCGGAAATATGGATTTAAAAAATCAAATATAATACATATAAAAATAATAAATATAAAAATAATTATAATACTTAATGGTTATTAATACAAAGATCGAACACAGAAAAATTTCTTCGACCTGGTGAGACTTGAACCCACAAGCATGCTGCACCGCAGCATTGCTCTTGCCAACTGAGCCACAGGTCAATTTACCAATCTGTCGAAATTCTCCTATATGTTTTTCTTATAAATCTTTGTACTGGCTTTCAGCATTCGTTACCGCTAGTGATATCTAATGAGAGATTTTTCAAAAACCTTCTCACCGCAGCCGGTATCTTGAGAGATGCCTCAACTAACGCAGATGTCGCTTTTTGATCAAATGTATTATTGAATTTTTTTGTGTAGTCGTGCAATTCCATCGCATACTCTCCGTGATATATCCTGTAGAATATATCAAATTTAAATTGCGGTGCTGCATGTAACAAAGAGTAGTTACTACATATCGTTCTCATGATAAAGCCACATGTGATCATACGTCAAAAGTGTTTTTATCACATGAAAGTCACTGAAATAGTACGAACTACATAAAACAAATACTGTATTGTGAAATTTTTGATACATCTTCTACTTAAGTATAAAAAAATTAACGATTAATTTCGTTCATAGAATGTTTAAGCCTCTGTCCTGAAAAGTTGTGGTTTTGCAGATGTGGCCTTATTATTTACTAAATTACGGTTTCTCTGGTATTTCAGGTTGGCGGCAGCGCAGGAGGCGGCGGGCGCGCAGGCTCGCGGGGCGCCAGCTGATACCATGGGCGGCGCGCACCAGCCCGCTACTCCGGGGCCGAACTCGCTCTTTATATTCGCCGAAGAAAATCCTGTACGGAAGTAAGTACCGTCAACATTAAGCTAACCTATTATACTTCGTTCTTTTTTAGCATTCGACAAAAGGAAATTTTAGTTCTTTTATCAAGCGCCATTTCATTCTGTTATTTTGTAAGCAATTTAATAAATACCGTGAAACGAAATTCTCAAACATGTTTACAAAATTTTGTGATTATCGCATTTGTTTTACTCGTAAACACTAAAAATTTAGTGAAAACTTTCCATCTTTAAATACCTACTTTTTTATTGTAAAAAATTGCAATGTAAAAAAACTTACAGAGACAGAGGTTATAAATACTAAACGGAAACTTTTTATAAAATAATTATATATGACAATAATATGTATTAATATTATCATTTTTCATCAATTCTCATGAAATGTTCCTTTACTGCAATTTGTTGACTGAAGAAAAGTTTATGTTCACTACTTCTTAGTTTACATTTTTTCTATTTCTAAAAAAAAGGTCTACAGTCTAAGCATGCAATCGAACTTTCCAAACTTTTACAATAATTTTTCGCTTAAAATCATAGTTTAATAAAGAACCTAAGGAATATTTTGGATATATGAAATGTTTTAAGCGATATTATATGCTTCACCTATTATGCCTGAAAATGCTAAAGACCGACAGCAAATTGCAGGCAATCCAATTGTTCTCTTCTCATCTCTAGTGTCCATACTATTTTGATTTGTTTATAAAACAGGATTATAACTGGCAAATTCTACGATCTGCATACAGATAGATACAGTAACCATATTCTACTTTGATTACGTCGTACGAAGTTACACTAACTGCAAAAAAGTAATTTTGGCTTTGTGGAAAAATCTCAACCCGTACTTTCATATCTAATGTTATTGTAATATGCTATCATTAACTCATAAAGTTCTAATTTATTCCTACATTTCGATTATCCTAAGATTCGAAAACAGACTTTGTACAAATGGAATAAGATTTACGTTCGTATGCAGTAATATTTTTCCGTCAATGTTGAGTAACTCAAGCGAATTCTCCCGGACTCATTTGCGGGAAGCTTAACTATTGCTCTCTGCATACATATTTAAGTGGCACCTTGTTTGGCCCTGTGCATTTTGGAACAGGTGCTGGGCTTTCTTATGTGTTTGTTAAAACTTATTTCACACACATGGTAAGCAGGAAATTGGTATATTATATCATTGTATACTAGGTGTACCCCGCATACTTTGCAATACCAGTGAAAGTGTGTCTTGTTTTTAACCTGCATTGGGGCAGCATGGTCTCTATGGCCTCTACCCTCTCCTTAGCGGAGAGATTTAATACTTCAAAAACATATGCGGGCGTGGTCACAACAAGTAGTAGTAGAGCTCCTTGTGAAAGAGTTCGTCCATGGTAACACTGCCACCTTACCTATTTCTGCCGCCTAGCAGTAATCTCAGCATTACTGTGTTCCGGTTTTGAAGGGTGCTGGTGAAATTACATGCACATGGGGACTTGTCAACTTATGTCTTATAGTGATGGGCGCAGTGGTAGTGCCCCTCAGATCTTTGCAATGTAAAGCTCTCAGTGACACTGTAACTGTTATGGACAGGCGTGTAGCTTAACATCAGGTGCACGACTTGTTCGTCCCGTCACTTGATGTTTACACTCGAAGTTGTTGACGATTACCTTTTTTTATTTGACGATACCTGGGATAAATTATCCTGTTAGGTAGGTCCAACTTCGAAAAAAGAGATCAATCGTCAAATACGACTCGGCTGGGCAGCGTTTTTAATAAAGTACGCCATATCTTCTTGTCCAAAATATCACAGTGTCTCAAGGCAAAAGTCTTCGACTAGTGTGTGTTGCCAGTGATGATTTACGGCATTGAGACGTGGCTGCTCACTGTGGGCCTCATATGAAGGCTCAAGATCACTCAAAGGGCAATGGAAAGGGCTATGCTCGGAGTTTCGTTGTGAGATCGAATCAGTATTGAGGATATCCGCAAGGGAACCAGAGTTACCGACAAAGCCCTAAGAATTGCAAAACTTAAGTGGCAATGGGCAGAGCACATTGCTCGCAGAACAGATGGTCGATGGGGCTGAAGAGTTCTCGAGTGGCCACCGCATACCGGAAGACCAGTGTGGGCAGATCACCCACAAGGTGGACTGATGATCTGGTGAAGACTGCGGGTATCTGCTGGATGCAAGCGGTGCAGGACAGGTCGTTGTGACATTCTTTGAGGGAGGCCTATGTTCAACAATGGACGTCTTTTGGCTGATTGAAATGATGATCATAATGGTAAACAGCTAAGGTAAATTATTAATTAATTAATTAAGCACGATAACCATGTTCGATTACCGACATTTACATATCTTCAAGTCAAATTATTCAAATATATCATGTCTGCGTAACTTGAACTGAACCTTAGATTTAATGTCTAAGGTATATTTTTAATATATAATTGCGAAATTATAATATTATGGCAATAAATACATATTATACAGTGTTAACAAATTAGGTATGTTGGTTTAAAGTGGTCTATTTGAATCAGATGGCTCAATTAATATCACAAATACCATTTATGTCATTTAAGAATTTACTTTTTTATTTTTTATTTATTTTTTATTTTACTTTCCCGTACAAAAAGAAAACGAATTCTGTCCAAACTTAAAGTGGCCAGTGATAGTTAAAAGGTTTAAATCACTTTGTGCTACTGTTATTACTGTGTTTAGTGATTAACTTATTTTCTTAATTCGTTTTCGATTCCAGTTGTCTCTAAAAATGATTATGGGGAGGTAAGTAATTAGCCTATAAGGGTGCTAACACCCTGTATAATGTTTAAAAACACATTTAAATTATACAAGTATAACAAACTGGTAACAATGCAACCGTCAAATTCGATAAAACTGAAATACGGAAGTTTTGGCTTTTGGTAATTTTAAACCAAAAGATATGCCATAAATCTTTAACTGTCAATTTTTAAAAAAAGCGCATTGAATTATAATTCCGTGACATCACGGAACAATGCCACAACGTTGTCTAATTTATGCAATTTATGTATATGGGACGACACAGAAGGATATTAACAAGTGCACCGCATTACCATACCATGTCTTCAAAGAGATGTTACTTACCAACGTTTGTAAATGTCATATCCACAAAACATTCGATATTGGACGGAATTTGTGAATTCTTATTAGACTTTTATATTGTCAAGTAAACTACGTTTGCAACAATCTATTATCGTCGTCTTAGGGTGATTACCTCGTATGTGATTTCTGTGTGACTTTTTACGTTTCGCGGCAGAAATAGATAAATTTGCAGTACTTCCCTGGACGCACTCTTTCACAAGGAGCTCTACTCCTACGAAATATGTACATCTTCTTCCTGTCCTTATCCCACGCTAGGTAGAGTCGGCACAACATGACTTACTTTTCTTCCACTTCCCCCTATCAGCCGTCATCTATACTCACACCTTTCTTACCCATGTCATCTTTAACACAATCCATCCATCTTTTCTTTGGCCTTCCTTTCCCCTTATATTCATCTACATTCATACCTTAAACTCTTCTCGTCACATGACATTCTTCCCTCCGCATTATATGTCCATACCAACGCTAACCTATTACTCCTCATCTTTTCCGTCTCTGGCGCCGCTTTCAAACTTCCCCTGATGTACTCATTCCTTATCTTATCCCTTCTCGTCACTACACGCAATCTTCTCAACATGCGCATTTCCGCTGCATGCACATTTCGATTTTTTTTTTCCTTTTCATCGCCCAACATTCTGATCCATTCAGTATGTATGACATGTCTAATCACTACTAAATATGTACTTGAATATGTTTATTTATTAGACAGTGTGTGGCTTAACCTTAGTGAAACTAAAAGAAGGGCTCGGTCCACATAAATTTACAAGAAGTAGAAAATGAAAGGGAAAGAAAAGGGAATGGAAATATTTATACGTAAATACAGGGCGTTCCGTGACTATGCCACACTGAAGGAAAGTACCTGAAATAGAAAATTTTACTGAGAGAACACTTCATTTTGATTTTAAAAACAATTCGAACTGCATTCAAAGGTTGCACGCCAAATGCGAAAAACAAGAAATTCCATGGTCTTCCTTTTCTTTAAGATACTATTTTAGTTACGAGAAAACAATCCTTATGATTGAGGCTTTCGATCAGTAAAGTAAAATTACAGATGTTTTTTTCACATTTGGCGGTTTCGATTCCCGATTCAGATAGGCGATAATTAAAAAATCTTTGAATGTAGTTCGAATTGTTTTTAAAATCAAAATGAAGTCTTCCTTCAATAAATTTTTCTATGTACAGTATTTAAGGTACTTACCCTCAGTGTGGCAGTGCTGTCCTGTATATCCAATGCTTTAAAAACAGTTAAATTACGTGAAGTTGAGCTTTACATGATGATTAATAAGCACATCTTCTCGCTTCGAGAATTTTGATGGGAGTAATGACGGATCGAACGAACCAACGTAAGAATAGTGGAAGAAAAAGATTTTTTTTTTAATTAAAAATTTTAAAAACAAGCCAAGAATCAGTAAAATGTGTGATAAAAAGGTGGGATGACGATGAAGGAGGTCCGAGCATCGTCACAAGTGTCTTAGTTGAGGCAATTTTCTATTAAGTTAATGTCTACTCCATGAATTTATCACATCATATGTGTTTCAAATTGGTAGATAATAGTCGTTTGTAATTCAATAAACTCGAAGCGAGAGATGCACTAAATTGAGTTGCGATGGAATAATTACCTACTTGAGCATAAGCGTTCATTTTCAATCTTATTATGTGCTTCGATGAGCTTGCAGACTGAGCATGAAGTATTGTAGAAAGGAAGCAATTTATTATAATGAGAAAAGAATTGTATGTTAACGAACAAACGAACAAAGTAATACGCGGTTCATATAGTGCTGTTTTTCTGAGAAATCTGTATTTTTCTAATGGAAATATTGGTGAATTTATCAATGTGACATGTAATTTTCAGTTTAATAGTATACAATTAACACACATTCAAAGACGACCACAAATTATATCCAAACTCACGAGATAAATAAATGTAGGCCGTTCAAATATTTCTCCTGGCTCAGGAATCAAACCTGTGACCTCTGTGTGGCAGTTCGGCATGGTAAACGTTCGGCCACGGAGGCAACTAATGATAATAAGCATGAGTAAATGTATATGTATTAGTAAAACTATATAATATACAAAATTGAAACGCAACTGTTGTGAATTTCAGGTATACAAAGTTTATCATCGAGTGGCCGCCCTTCGAGTACGCGGTGCTGCTTACCATCATCGCCAACTGCGTGGTGCTGGCGCTGGAGGAGCATTTGCCCAACGGCGACAAGACCATCTTAGCACAGAATCTGGTAAATACATTCTTTACATTACTTAGCTTATTTCATAATTAGGCAAATATTGAGTGCAATTCTATTTATATTAATAATAGTCACTGCACTATTAAAAATTGTTAAAAATAATAACTTTTTTAAAAGTTATAATTTTTTGAATTTTGAACCTCAAAAGTTGGTGAAATTAGATCTATTTACCAAATTTTATTGAAATCGGTTAACGGAAAGTGAATGAAATCCAATAAATCGGATTGATCCCCTAATTTGCCACCTAAAGGTGGAATATTTTCTACAAATTTGAATGGTCCCATTCTACTGAGGTACCCCATTTTCAACAAAAAAAGAATCATCCAAATCTAGTCACAATTGTCGGAGTAACCGCGTTGTGTGTATACACAGCGCGATACAAAAAATAGTCGAATTAAGACCCTCCTTTCTTTGAAGTCGGTTAAACCTTTTTTACGGTGGCAAGTGTAATCTGCCATTCGTCAAAGCAGTCTATTCATGTATTTTTTTAATTTAAATTAATGTGAAGTGTACATATATATTTCATATCACAAAATTGTAAAATAGGCTAATAAATAATACTCTTATTCAGGTATTTAAAAAATTTTAAATTAACATTACGTTGGCAAAAGATTTTGCCAGCTTATTTGACATTATCATGATGAAATAGGTACGACACTTAGTTCACTAATTCTGGGCGTTTTTCATGAATTAATCTGTATTCTGTTTTGATCTAGAACTCTTTTTGAACAACTTTTGAATCAATTTATTTCCTTTGTTACAGGAAGCGACCGAGGCGTACTTTTTAGGAATATTTTGTGTAGAAGCCTCGTTGAAAATATTAGCCTTAGGTTTTGTTTTACACAGGGGATCGTATCTTAGGAACGTTTGGAACATCATGGATTTTTTCGTTGTTGTAACTGGGTAAGTTGTTTTTGAATTTTTTGCTAATGCTTAATATTAGAAATGATTTTTCAAACTTTGTGGCGGTTTTCTAGATAATATTGGTTTTTTACACAACAAACTTTTTATAATTAATGTTTTTGAGTAAAACAATTGCCACCACGTTTGAAGTACGAGAAAATTGTAGTTCATTCCAAAACAAATTAAAAAAATCGCTTCACAAAGATAAAGACCAATTCGGCCCAATTGGTGATAGATGTAGGTGTGAGAAAACGGATTTTGTTGAATGTTATTGTATATCCGATGACAAAAACTAGGTCGATGACGATATTCGCCGAATACAACGTGGATGTTGACCTGCGAATGCTGCGCTCCTTCAGAGTGCTGCGACCGCTCAAGCTCGTCTCGCGGATACCAAGTAATTCACAGTAATTGGCGAACAGTTCACATAATATCTACCTTATGTTGTATAGAACGTTATTCGCTAGAATTTCAAATTCAAATTTCAAATGTAGATTTTTCTCGAACGCTAGTTTTCAATAATAGTCCTTCAATAGTTTTAAAAACGTAGCGTTTAAAATTTCATGCTAGAACAATATTGTTGTTTACAATTATTAATTAATTTTGTTATAATTATTGAAAATGTTCTTTAATGTTTGAATTTCGGCTACGTGTTGCATAATAGTAAAATATTTGCTAATATTTATGTAATGTGTAGGTATGACAAATTTAAAACTGGTAATTCGTAAGCAATTAGTAAATAATGACTTAGGTGTGAATAAATATCGTATTCTTTAGATTAAACAACGTAATTATAACGTGTGGTTAGTTTAAGTGAGTGAATAACTTTGTTAGACATTTACATGAATATTTAGACCGTCGATCGTAGCGATGGAGCTAGTGGTTCATTTGTCATATTTTATGTAATCGAGATTGTGCTTTTTCAATATTTCGCGAATTTAAATAACAAAAAAGATCGCTTAAATCTTACGAGAACAAAAAGTCTCGTTTCTTCTTTTATCGGATCCAGTGTCTAGCGTGTTGAGCAAGCACATTCTTTGTAGCAGCAAGCTAGCAGCTAGTCGAAGATAGTATCGATTGTCGTGTGTTTGGCAGTATCATCACGCAGCTGCCGGTCGCGCCCGACGTCGACTTCAGGACCTTGCGTGCCATTAGGGTGCTGAGGCCCCTTAAATTAGTATCGGGCGTTCCTAGTGAGTTCTAGAACATTCTAGTTTAGCTATAGCTCATTAGAATAGACGCTGTTGTTTAGATTTATTCTTAAATCTCAGTGCAGAAGAGCAGAGTTCGGAGATGTCTCTAGTTTTATAAAGTTATCTGCTGCAATTACATCACTTATTATTATTATAAATATATTGATGTCTTTTGTATTTAATACCACACACGGCAGATTTATTATCAAAATATAAATTAAAAGTTTTGAACATTTTAACATTAACATACCAAAAAAAAATCGGTTTATTAGAAGTTTTTGTTCACTTTATTTCATAATTTCGTTTTTGATATAGAGTTTTAATACATATAATGTTCAATGGAATAAAATTATACAACAGCAAATTTCACGTAGCACTCGTAATGTTGCACGACTCTTTCCTGTCCATGTTCATTGACTTTGTCAAGTTTATCATTCATATTGTTGTTCTTGTTCCTAGATTTTTGTCTGTCATTTTTTTTCTTTGTCATAACTATGTACATAATTAATTTTAATGCCCCAAACCTCTTTTGCGATGATTAAAACATCCTAAAAATGCAGTCAAAGTTTCATTATAATTAGTTTATGTAACTATAATACCAACCTTGTATCAAAACAATTTAATCTGTCAATTCGTCTAACACCCTTACCTTTACCTTTTGTGTTAAGATTGTACAATGTCAGTATTAAGTGTGTGTGTATTAAGTATTATATATAAACGTTAAGTAAAATGACACTCAATTGGTAATGGTCAATAATTGATGAAATAAACGCTGTCATTGTGTAATCATCTGCACTCAGATGTAACGTTTTTCGAAGATTTGAATCTGTTAAAAATAAAAGTAATAAGATGTATAGACGTTGCATTCGAATTTTCAAGAGCACTTAATTCTTCCTCAGCTGTTAGTTTTTAGAAATCGAATATATTCGGCACATATTTAATAGTAGCTTTTCTTTATTGAAATAAATAGCTCTATTTCGTATCTATAAATAACAAATCCTTTAATAACCTGCAAAGGGTAAAGATAAAGCTACTTACAGACACGAATATTTTCGATTTCTTTGCCAGTTACTATATTACAAACAATTTTGTGATGTAGGCCTGCAGGTGGTCCTGAAGTCCATAATCAAGGCGATGGCGCCACTGCTGCAGATCGGCCTCCTGGTGCTTTTCGCGATTGTCATCTTCGCCATTATCGGCCTGGAGTTCTATTCCGGGGCGCTGCATAAGACTTGTTATAGTTTAGAAGATATTAGTAAGTAATATTTTATTTTTATTGAATATCACGACGTAGGTATTTACGTACAATACCGGCCCGCCATATTGGTTTTGTAAGGGGAACAAACATGCCTTTGGTCCGACTGGGTACGAACCAGCGTATGTTGCTTCAACGTGGCCTTATCCAGTTATCTAACTGGAGCAATTTTAAATTAGTAAGTTTTTTTTCTAAAACTACGGTACCAAATTACACATTTCATAAAATGTCAATAGCGCCTTTAAAAGTCTATTTTAGGGGCATAACCTCACTATCATAATAGTAGTAGCTGTGCAAGATTGCTTTCTGGATAAAAATAAACCACAGGCAGAATCAACGCAGTCACAGATATTACGAGACGAGATTAAATATCACGTATAGTTTATTTGTAAGTCAGTGCGTATAGGCGACAAAAACGTAACAAGCCATCGTTAACCGTGTTTCTGCTGATCGTGCATATAGCAATCTCCTTCTTCCTGTCCTTATTTCACGCTAGGTGGGGTCGGCAAAACATGTATTTTTCTTCCATGTTGTACCGACCTTTTCTTTGGCCTTTCTCTCCCCTTTTATCCCTCGATATTCATATCTAACACTCTTCTCGTCACATTTCATTCTTCTCGTCACGTACATCCTACGCTAACCTGTTAACTCCTCATCTTGTTTCCTCCTGATCGTGCATATTGCCATAAGAACCAAAGAACTTTAATTTCAAATACACGTTCTGAAAATTCAAAACCGACAAGTATACAAAGTAACAACATTAATTGTGAACAGGGAACGAACCAATTTCCTTAACGAAACTATTGGAACAAAGTTAGTTTGAAAAGTTTTAAGTTTCATCGGAAGACGATAAAGACACCACCACTGCATCAGATACCTATAAATAATGTTGATATAGATGAAACTGTACTACAACTTCGTTTGCCATTACCACATTTTATCAGCCAGCACTAAACTTTAAATTAACGAACTAATTAATAATAAACAGCCATGGATACATTTTCCACAGACGATTCTGGTTCGTATTTTGCAATGTTTATAGGTAAGCAAACTTCAACTAAAAATTGTAGTTTCATATATAGTATTTGAAAAATTACTTTATCTAATTGATTTATTGAATTACGTAAGTACTTTGTTCATTTGCGTGGTAATAGTTTCTCTCGTGACCTTAATATTTTTTTTTTACAATACCAAGTGATAGGACGAATAAATCGTGCGCCTGATGGTAAGCGACACGCCTGTCCATAACAGTTGCAGTGCTACTCAGAATCATAAAGATCCGAGGAGCACTGACACTGCACCCATCACTCTGAGACATAAGTTGACAAGTCCAATTTGTCTGTAATTTTACCAGCATCCTCATCCTTCAAAACCGGAGCGCAATAATGCTGACATTACTGCTTGGGGGCAGAAATAGGTAAGGTGAAAGTGTGGCCTTTAGGAGATTTCTATCAAATTATATTTATAATTTTAATCTATATTTGTTCACTATTTGTTTACACATAGTTATTTGTAAAATACTAACAACCTCGCAGGACAATATTACTAACATCAGAAGCCAACAACTTTGTTCCATGACTTTTTACAAAACGTAATAAATTTACCTAAATTTATGAACAAATGTAAGTAGGTGTTTTCTGCTGAAATATTCCTGGGTTTAATTTTGCCATTAGCGGAAGTACATACAAAAAAGCTTGAAAAACTTAAATTATAGCTATGCAAGTTTTGATTATAAAGTAAAAACACTCATTAAAACCACGTTTCGTAAAATATGTTTGCATTTTTTTTATCTACAACGTGCAAGTTAAGTCTCGTGTATTTTTATATTTATAACAATAAATAATATATAATAAATAATAGTAAATAATAATAATAAATAATAGTGCAAATGCACACATCCGCATAATCTCGCTGTGCGCTAACGTTGCATAGCGCGAGTCGTCACATGCACCATTTATAATAGAATTGAAGCGATCGCTCGATGTTTAAAAAATGACAGCAAATAGTAGACGTGTTTATTGTTATTATTTATTATCTGAATAAATATGTTATTATTATACATATATTATTATAGTGGTAGTTTCAATAACAGTGTCTCAAATTCAGAATTGCTCAACATTTTACTTCTATTTCATAATCATACTCCATAATTAAGACACCAATCCGCGATGTTGGTATAAAAATATCAATACGTAAGTAAGTACCTACTGCATGTAATAAAGGTTAATTCAATATAACACGAGAATACTACGATGAACACTATAATTTTTTCAAATTATGAATCAAATATATAATAAAGTAACAACCCTACACCTCCGAACACGGCAGGAGTTGCCCTACTTGTTCTCATTTATACTACGTGACAATCTTCTTGGCGTATTTTACAGAATTTGTATTACAGTTAATTATTATCACAGTCACAAGAAACATTATATAATTTTAATGGCAGTAGAACTCCTTGTGAAAGCGTTCGTCCAGGGAAGTACTGCCACCTTGCCTGTTTCTACCGCCAAACAGTAATGTAAGCATTACTTTGAGTTCGGGTTTTAAACTTTTAAGTTTTTGTTGTACTATCTGACACATTCTAGATCCGTCTTCTTGTTTATGTGATCTGATATGTTCTTACGTCTTACTTGTTATTGATTTCCCAAAACGATATACTAAGATAATGAGAATTTAAAGAAGTTTCAATCTTTTATTGAATATCACTATGTTTCATCATGATATTATTGTTTTTGTGTAATTATTAATACTATTTATATTAAATCGCTAAGAAAAAAATCCTTCGATCCGGCTGGATACGAACCAGCGTCCTCTAGCAAACCGTGTTAGATGGTATGCCAAAGAAAGAAAAAAGAAGGAATTTTTCCTTAGTGTTCCATCTTTGTATTAATAATTGTAAGAAACTAGAAGTTTTAATTTTCATTGGGTCATTTGTATCAAAATATTTTAAGTCTTTGAAAAATTTCAACAGGTTTAACATAACACAATTCTATTTTTTACTCGTACCTTTACTGTTACGAATTTTGTGTATTTACGCTAATGACGTAATCACAATGACATAATCTTTCAAAAAAATGGCGAAGCTGTTAAACTATGTATTGTTGCCTTTACTGTTTGTTTTTAAAATTCAATAAAAACGTAATTCCAACAGGTGAAATAAGTCCAGAGGGCGAAGTTGCCACGCCTTGTAATGCAGACAACGAGACGTTAGCGCCGTTCGGAGCAAAAGTCTGCAAATATGAGGAAAGCACGTGCTTGGAGAAGTGGGAGGGGCCAAACAGAGGCATCACGTCCTTCGATAACATCGGCTTCGCCATGCTTACCGTCTTCCAGTGCATCACCATGGAGGGCTGGACTGCCATTCTCTATTGGGTATATAAACACTTTTAATAACTATAAAAATGATTACCTTTAAATTATCAAAGAATATAGAAAAACTAGAGTAATAAAAAAATTAAAAAGATTTCACTGTAATCGTAGGAACGACTCACCTATTTTTATTTAATATATTATCTATGCTAATTACTAACAGAAATTTTTTTTAAAAATGTAGCACCAAGAAGTTCGATCACTAATGTAAACTGGTTGAAAATACTTAAAAAACGAACTAAATGCAATCGTCTTTTGTTTCTGTATTCTTTACCCATTTACAGCGCATTTCGTTTGTGACACAAATTAGAAAAATGTTTGTGAGCCTTTGTCGATGAATATCATTTTCTTTAAATATCATGTTCGTAAAACATGATATTCGCAAGACAACACGTTCACAAAATATCATTTTCGCAAGATACCACATTCTCAAGATATTACATTCTTAAAACACCATATCCGCTAAACACCAGATTCGCAAAATATCATATCTGCGATGTGCGATTACAACATTCTGTACTATTAGGAACAAAATACAAAATTACAATTTATGATATAAGATTGTACAATATACATAAAAGGATAAAAGATTATATTAATATAAACAATTGTTTGTTCCAGACGAATGACGCGTTAGGTAGTGCGTTCAACTGGGTTTACTTTGTGCCTCTCATAGTATTGGGTTCATTCTTTATGCTCAATTTAGTTCTCGGTGTTCTTAGCGGGTGAGTACAAGCACTTCAGTATTATTATTAATTATTCAGTATTGTTATAAATTCTAAATTTAATCTTTTTATGTTATGTGTTCGTATTATGTTTTTAATTTCGAAATTTATAGAGACCACAACGAATTTTGATGAAAATTACCATTATCGGGCAAATAAGCGGTCATTAATTAAAATTAAATTACTTAGTGTGTTGGAACCCCTTAAGTTCTGCGTACATAAAAAAATTAGTACGTACTAAACATCCAAATCTTCGAAGACAGCTGTAGACTATTACAAAAAGAAAAGGTGCTAAAAATGGATATTTAAATTTAGAATATGAATAGAAACCGAAGGTGTATAATACAAAAAAATTGTAGCGGTTACTAAGATTCGCTACAGAAACTGTAGTAGATACTGCATAGTTTTTAATATTGTTTGTTAGAATATATAGGTGATGTGACACTGCTACCATCTTAGAGCATATAACTATCATAGTTAATAAGACAGTCTGTTAACTTCATTCACACTAGCGATGGGCGATTGTTACTAAAAAAAATATCGAATAATAAATCCTACATTTGATTTTCGATTTAGTCGTCTTTATCGTAAATTTATTGAATATAGTTACTAATTTAGTTATTACCTACTAATTAAATTTTCGGTGTCTAAAAATAGTCCTCCATACTGTGGTAGGTACGGAACGTAAAAGAAAACGATTCTATTACTAATTTCTTAACAATTAATCCTATTACTATTACGATATTTGGTAACGATCAAAAATTAGTAACTAGTAGATTAGTGACTGTTTTGATTCGCTATCGATATTAGATCAACAATCAAAAAGTGAAGTGTAGTAACTAATTGATGTCAAAAATCGAATTGTTTCGATTTTGTTTATAATCAAATAATTCGATTATTTTTAGCAGCTATCATCGCGAAATTATGCGAACGTGTGCGTCCGTTCACGACACGCGGCGGGTGTACACACATACCAATCGCGCGGCTACGTTTGTATGGAGTTACCATACATGTCTTATTGTACTATAATACTACCTGTAACTCAATTTTTATGTGAATTATTTTTTGTCGAATGCTTAAGAGAGTTCTCAAACGAAAGAGGACGCGTGGAACGTCGAGAACAGTTCCAAAAAGAACGTGCTCGGCATCTTTTCAATCAGGACTTTACTGCATACCTCAGCTGGATTACCGAAGCAGGTCTGATGACCTTGTGACCTAATAATGTGTGTCTAACCTGTAGGATTTGCTCGTTATTGCCGCTAACCTCTGTGTTTGTTTTAACAAAACTACCTTCTAATAAGTTGACATACTTGTTGGTAGACACAAAGGTGGTAACAAAGTTTTCATATGCTAATTGTATTTCTGCTACATTTTTGTATTTATTTTGATTTTATGTTGAATATTTTTAGACTGAGTTATTTTTTTAGTTTATTTTTTTTTATTCTATATTAAGTAAAAAACCTTTTTTATAGAGAAAAATGCAAGTAAATTTATTTTCTACACTGAGCAGAGCCCAGTGAAAGTCAAATTGTGCAAAATCTGCGCTTGTCTTGAATATTTTCTTATAAAATTAATGAAATAAACAGAAGCGCAACTACAATCACAAACACCACTACCGAAAATATATTCGACACGTGTTATATATAAAATAATATCAATGGTTTACACAAGCGCAGCCATTTTGCACGATTAGCGTGAAACACACAGAGAGCGGTTGCAGGTCGGGTTATGTTATTCGCTTGAGACGCGCTATTCATTTGCTTTCACAACAACTCGATCGCGAGTTGACGGGCGATTCCCGCGTATCTCCCGACACGCGCCCGCGCGTTTTGATGCCGTCGATATGAATTTTCCCGCTGAACTTACGACCCGACACGCGTCCGACCCGCGTCAGCTGTCAGTGTGTTTCACACGAACCTTCACTGGGGTTCGCAGAGTAGGAAACTAATTTATTAACATGGATTTTCGGAAAGTAACGCCTGAATATATTACATAAAAATTTTGTAAATATGTGCAACTGAAGCTAGTATATAGGTTTTACCTTTATATCGCTATATTTACAGTGAATTCGCTAAAGAAAGAGAGAAAGTAGAAAATAGACAAGAATTTCTTAAGTTAAGAAGACAGCAGCAGCTCGAAAGAGAACTCAATGGTTATGTTGAGTGGATATGTAAAGCAGGTAAAAGAAATTACCTAACTTCTGACTTTAGAAATATAAAACATTTACAAACAATTGAAGTCGTTATATATAACTCAAACCTTTTTCATTTAACAGAGGAGGTAATATTAGCAGAAGAAAGAACAACGGAAGAAGAAAAAGCTCACATTATAGAAGGTTAGATTGCTAATTTTTTTAAATATTTCATCTTTAACATCGGTCATAAAGTAGGTCGCTTATCCAGGCGGTATGTACCTACTTTCATTTCTATTTCAAATACATTTGTTATTATTTATTAGCAATACCTCTCAGTTACGGTGATGGAAACCTGGGCACCAAGCCTGCTAATTTGAAATCATCTCAGCGGTACGTCGATAAAGTGCCAATCGCAGGATTTTATGCGTTTGGTATTGTGCTAAAAGTTGAGCGTAGTGGATCATCAATGGCAAATCCTTGAGCTACCTTCAACCGCCATTGCAATTGTTTCTTATTCTGCTCTTCAATGATGAATCTATGGCACGTCGATGATGTAGTCTACTAATTATTTGTCATGAAAAATAAATTTAAATTTAATTGTAGTTGTAATAAGGTACATCACTGCCATTTTTTTAATAATAATATAATTTATTTTCTCCCTGCAAGTACAAAATATAAGTACATAATTGAACATAGAGCTTTGATATGGGAGACAGGAGCTCAAAAAAGGAAAGCCCTGTGCTATGACACTCCTGGCTCTCCCTCTCGGCAATAATACAGTCAGTAAACAAAATAAAGTTATTTGATAGGAAATGACAATAAAAACTCTTACTGTTTACCTAGAGTCATAAACAGGAGGATAATTAAAGAGAAATTATTAAAAAATCCAAAAGTACAAAATATTGGAAGGGACCATTACGTATTTAAATATTAAACCAAAAACAAAATGAAACTATGTACGTGTGTGTATTCCACAGACACTGTGTTAAGACTCAACTGCTATTGCAATTAGATTTTAGCATAATACCAAATATTATCATAATTGGAATATAATCTTAATGGAGTCTCAATTAAATGACAATGGCCAATGGAAAGCCCACATTCCTGGGAAACTTATAAAGTCCCCAGTCCGCATTGCGTCAACGTGATGAACTAGAGTCTAAACCCTCTTTTTTAGACGAGACATATGCCCAGCAGTGGGATGTATAGTAGGTTGACGATAAAATCACACTATTACATCTAAATACTTCAAAAATACCGTTAAATCGAGTGTTTACTTGATAAAACTTGTATAAGATACTAACGAATCCTTGGTATTAACCTGCACCATACAGTATCGTATTTTCACAAATATACTTAGTGTGATTATAAAAGTTTCAATTTTCCCCAGCTCGGAGAAGAGCAGCAGCGAAAAAGAAGTTAAAAAACCTAGGGAAGAGTAAAAGCACAGATACAGAGGAGGAAGAACAAGATGAGGACTGCGGAGATGACGGTCAGTATTTACCCCAAATTAGATTTATTTTCACGTTAAATGTGACAATTGTATTTTTGTTGAATTAACTACCCCGCTTATTAGTTTCCGGCTTTTTGTTGATGTATGTTTGTTCGATTTTATTTTGAATGCATGACAAAGCATGTTCGTGTTTTTCCACATTTAATTTGCCTTTTATGTAAAACCCTTTTTATTTGTTTATTATTACAATATTATACTTATTTGAATATACGTATCGTTAAGGGAAGCAACTTGCGCACCTGTACAAAATACTTTGAATTAAAAATTCTTTATTGTAAAGTTTATATTTTTCATTTACTTTCCCACGAAATTACTTTTGAATGTTGCATGATAAATGTCGTATTGTTTATTTAGTTTCATTCATATTCGTGCTCTATTTATATGTTGGTTGTTTACAGTTCCAAAGAAAAAGCAAGGTATGGGATCAAGCGTGAAGCTGGTAGAATATTACTTTTCATCTTCTATGTAGTCAAAATAGACTAGTCATAGATTTAGGATTAGTGTACCTTCTATCAGATCCCTACTTTGATATCGTCTGTACGTTTGTTCCCAAAACTTATTCCTCAATCTAAGTTATTAAGTATAAAGGTCGTCAAACATACAGTCGTTATTATATCATTAACATTCCTTGCTATCTAAAGCTAAAAAGACGTAATGCTTTAGAGTTAGTCGACGAATATCAGACAACTTCCCATTCTGGTGTAAAGTTACCTTGGAGCGTAACTTCTGAGTTATTTGTGGATATATCGATACCCCGATGGTCCCAGAAGGAGGTTGTTAAAGATTTATACGAGGCAAGTATCGCGTTACGCTGCCGATAGAATTTCGACGCTTGGAAAAATCCGTTCAATTACCGAGTCGTAACTGATTGATCATCTAGCATCGCCAACGCTAGATGTTGTACTGCCAAAGTAAATGTCTTAGTGCGCTAGAAAAACAGTGCTAGTATTATAGGCGTATTAAATTGTAATGCTGCTAATCAAAATATATTCATAAAAGTGTTAATTAAATTCTCATTATGAACCTAAGTAAACGTTTTGTCTATCGAAGGTGTTCAGCCATTTCACGTAATTTTGTTTAGCGGCATTACTACGTTTCAACGAAAACAAAGGGTTCTAAAGTATTGGTGTCTCAGCAGGGTTCCTGAAAAGCAAAGCACGGTCGGCCGGCAAGTGTGCAGACTTTTGGCGCGCGGAAAAGAGGTTTCGCTTCTGGATCCGGCACACTGTGAAGACCCAGTGGTTTTACTGGTTCGTCATCGTGTTGGTGCTTTTCAACACTATATGCGTCGCTGTCGAGCACTACAAGCAACCAAAGTGGCTAACTTCATTTTTATGTAAGTATCAAATTGAACTTAATGCACAGTTACAATTTATAAGGGCCGGATCAGATGACATGCGTTAAGCGAATTAAGATTGCACATTAAGCGTTTTAATTGCACAAATTTAAAAAAAATATCCATCCTAAACAAGCAGCCGTGTTGTTTAGTTTGATTTAAAAAGCTACACAAATTTTGTAGCTAGTAGCAGTAGAGCTTCTTGTAAAAGAGTGCGTTCAAGGATGGAAGGACCGGCGCACGATTTTGCTAGGGACGGTTCCAAAGGTAACTTATCAGGCATAAACAACAATTAACAAACACATTAAATGAAATTGTTTCATTATATATAAATGATAGTCATAGGTGTCTATTCACAATATGATTCTTATTATTTTCCCGACATTTCGGAACGTGTACACGCTCCTTGGTTGTGACCATGTCGAACCAATAACACTACGTAGCTTTTACATCATGTCTCAGAGTTACTTTGGCAAATTTCAAACTTTGTAAGAATACACTTTCCAAAGTTTCCGAATAACTTTACGTCTGTACTTAACATTTGTTATAAAAACGGGTCGAGTCTAATTTGATCCATATATTTTAATGCTCTTTTCTTGTTATTTATTTAACAAATATTATATTTCAACATAAAATTACACTCTATGTGCATGAAATAATGTTTAAAACTAATTATCTCGTCTTTGTAAAGTGAGTATATGATATATATATATATATATATATATAGGATGTGATGATTTAGCCAACAATGGGGTCAATTATAAATTTAGTTACCAAATTAATATGAATAAGGTACTTATATTGAAATCCTAACTTGTTCCAAGTTGCTTTGGTGACATTCTTACTTGATCTAACTTTTTTCTTTTTAATTTGATTTGTTATTTATTTTTATGTCAAAGCCACTTCGGAAAGGGTCCACTGAAACATGCGCTGAGGCTCGGCCGCAATATTTGCTGAGTTGGGCCCTTTTCAGTGCAATATACTTTTAATCATAAATTCATAATATGGTACTCGTAACATTATGTGTTGTACTGAATAATTATATTTTATTTCTTTCTTTTTATCCTAGTACATTAAACCAAAAGTTCACCGGCTAGATGAGATAAGAATATAAAAACAACTTGTCTGTACAAATTTGAACTTATATCGCACGTTGAAAACAACATAGTTACCAAACAAAACTTTCGCTTTTTCAAATTTAAACTTAATTTCATACACTTTAATTACTATCCCATAAGGTGACTTTTGTCTTTAGTGACGGTATCTTTTTCTTCTAGCGTTGTACACAATAAGGGATAGGACAACTTTTCATAAAGTATTTAAAATTAATTTTCTGTATAGTATATAGGGCCAAGAAAAATGTTATTTTGTTTAAATGAAGCACTTCAAATCCCTGAAACTATATTTGAAGATAATTTAAAAATTTGTCGCGTAAGTGTCAACTCAGAACATGTGACGCTATTGGTAGGGAAACAATGTGCATCTGTCACTTACAAGAATTTTACATATTGGTTGACTACTGTCTAAAATTTGTACAGTTTTTAGTTAATAAATGATAATCTCAATAGAGAGTACTAAAAAACCGTCCTAGTTTGCCATCCTTAGAGGTGGAATAATTTCTTAAAATTTAAATGGGACCACTACTGAGGTAACTCTTTCTAACAAAAGAAGAATCATCAAAATCGGTTCACGGATGGTTATCGCGTAACATACATACAAAAAAAACATACAGTCGAATTGAGAACCTCCTCCTTTTTTTGAAGTCGGTTAAAAGTGACTAGCTAAAGAAAAAACATGCAACAATACGCGAACGGTAAACACAGTGACATTTTTATATTTACCTATGTATGACGTCCTGTGGCATGTTTGCTTATGAGATTAATTATTAATATATTCAAACTTAAATTTATTGTTTCAAATTTACTTCACAAAAATTATAATTGTTGAATGATCATTGATAATAATGACATTTTAACGAATTGTATAAAAAAACACTCTTTCTAACTGTAAAGTGCTACATTTTTTTATTAAATAAACAAAATAAATAATAAAAGGTTTCTTTATTTAGGTATACACCCATTAATAAGTTTAACATTATTAATTACATTACGTTACATAACCAATTAAATTGAATTCTATTTACCGAATATTATAATTATTAATGAAGTAAATAATTAAAAATTACATTAAATTGAATTGAATTCACATTACAAATGAATAGTATAACAATAATTAATTTATTTAAACTTTAAAAATGGACTGGTCACTTACAAAGTAGCACGCATCGCATACTGTTCTTACAAATATATTGGCCGAATCGCTCACTCTCACTAAAAAAGACCAATATCTCTTCCGTATTATTGCGAAAAAATCATCTACTCTATTCACGGCAAACATGCCAGACGCACTACACCGCCAGGGCAGCCGCAGCATAGAGCGAAATGCATTATTGTACTGAACTCTGAGTCTATCAAAAGCTCGCTAAGTGTAATGGTACCATAACTAACTAGTGTAGAACGCCTGACAGTAAGCCCTTAACAGAGTTATTATTGTCTGATTATTTATTTGGCATTTATAATCACTATGATCACGACACAGTCAAATTTTGTAACACAAACAATAAAATTTTTCATTTTTAGTCCTTGCTTGGTGAAATTTGAACCTAATGTTAACAATATTCATTTCAGACTATGCCGAATTTGTGTTCCTGGGGTTGTTCATGATGGAGATGTGGATCAAAATGTATGCACTGGGACCGAGGATCTATTTCGAGTCCTCGTTCAACCGGTTTGACTGCGTGGTCATTTCGGGCTCCATCTTCGAGGTTGTATGGTCGGAGGTCAAGGGAGGATCCTTCGGTCTCTCTGTACTTAGAGCTTTAAGACTGTTGAGGATATTCAAGGTTAGTTTCACTTGTCGGTTGTCCTTTTTGATGAGTCCTTTAAGATAATGTTGATTTTCATCTTTATTTGAAGTCTTGGGATTTCGATACTTGGGAAAAGGACGTAATTGCAATTTGGTTTACATATTTTTCACCTCACTAGCTCGGAAAGGCTTTTTTTCTCATTAGTAATCTGCGCGCAAAAGCGTTTTTTCTACTATAGTGTGGAAAACGTTTTTGATATTCGAACCTGAAGACGGCCTATGGTGCACCTTTTTTTGGATGAAAAAGAAAATATAATGACACGTTCAACTACGCGATTTGTCGTATATTATTTATGTAATTTAAATCCGTTGGTATAGTCTATTCTTATTATTGTTGACATTAAATTGACAACGATGACTAATTTTGTTTATTAAAACTGATTTGTTGTCAACCGTTTTTCTTTCATCCATTTTCTTCGCTATTGTGAGGCGAACCGTTGTATGTTTCGCTCGGCAGCAAAGTTGTTTTGCGTCTCGTTCCTTGAAATACGCTCAGGATTCTATTTTTGAACTACTCGCTTCAATCTTAGAATTCTTCGCTTGCTCATGTTTCAATACAAGCACTCGCGTCAAACAACAACTTTTCATCCTTGCATAACAAATAACTATTAATTGTCCGCGTTTAGGCGTATTGTTGTCAGTATTTAATCTAAAAGTACTTTTGATTCTTTTCAGGTTACGAAGTACTGGTCATCATTGCGGAACCTGGTGATATCTCTCCTGAATTCAATGAGATCCATCATCTCTCTGCTGTTCCTTCTATTCTTGTTCATTCTCATCTTTGCTCTACTGGGCATGCAGCTCTTTGGAGGGCAGTTCAATTTCGAAGAGGGTACTCCGCCTACTAACTTCAACACGTTTCCCATCGCGCTGCTAACTGTCTTCCAGGTAAAGACATTTCAATGATTTACAATAAAATTTTTAAAATATTAAAAACAACAAAAATGTTTTTATCACATGAAAGTCACAAAAATAATTCGCACTATTATTAAACAAATCTTTGTATTAATAATTATAACAAACTAGTGGAGTAATTTCACAAAAAATAATTGAATATCAATTCGATAAAAAAATTATTACAGTTAAAGTTAGTAAAGGTATCTAACTGGGTAACGAAATACTTTAATAGATTTCTCATAGATGGCGCTAGGGTTAAAAAGTCGATTACAAATTAGAAAATCGATGTATTCAATAGGTACTTACTTAGGTTTTTTTTATATCAACTTAACATATAGAACACGTATATAGATTACGATATACATTTTTTAAATGGCTTCAATTTCTATTGTAAAAAGATAAATTCTGAAATAAAGCCAGTGTCCCTACCGCTCGACCCAAGCAAAATGAACCGTATTAGTACCTGAAACATTTTAATACGAACTGAAGTAGTATAGACTCTTAAGCATAAAAAGAAATCGTCTAATTTCGTTCGTAGAATCTTAAAATCTCTCTTCAGAAAAGTTGTCATTTTACAGATGATGGATATGTGTCCTTATTACAAATTTTCATTGATTTATTCTATTTGATGATTTAATGCAGCAATAGACTTTTTGATGTGTTGGTCTAAACCCCTTTTAATTTTCACAGATCTTAACAGGTGAAGATTGGAACGAAGTGATGTACGACGGTATCCAGTCGCAGGGCGGTATACAGCGAGGCATGATTTACTCGCTATATTTCGTCATCCTCGTACTGTTCGGCAACTACACACTGCTGAACGTGTTCCTCGCTATCGCTGTCGACAATTTGGCAAATGCCCAGGTACGTAAACAACTCTTATAAACCCTTGGCTTTGATTGATACGTCTACTATATTGTTATAATCACGGAAGAAAAAAACAAAGGAAGGGTCTTATGCCTCGATTACTATCAGAACCAATGTCGCCAAATTTCACACACTCCTAATTTGAAACACTACAAAATCTTGATATTGATTGGTTGTAGTTTCAAATTGAAAAACAAATGCTTAACAAACTCTGGATAGTTAATATAATTTAAACTTTACACTGTTGGCATATCGTCTCTGGAATATGGATAATGCTGTAACCCGCAATACCTGCAAAAATGCTTTTTTTGCATATTCTTGTTCAGTTTTTTTTTTGGTTCGGTTGGTCTGGGTCTCACGTCTCTAAAATGAAAAATAAACTCTGGACAGCATAATTTTTTAACGATTTTTTCTCGTTAAGGCATTTTAAAAGATTTAACCCCTATAAAATCCAGTGTTTTTTGCAAAATGTGCGTTACATAAAGAACACGTAATTAAATTTTTCTGTGCCTCTGTTTTCAGCATTTTTGCGTTCCCTGATATTAAAATTGTACCACTTACAGCATTTACTTGGGTATTGTTAAGTACGGACAATGTGATTTACAGAGTTGTAAAGGTCCGAGTTTTAACAGTGCAATGAGTGTAGAGTTACGATATTTAAAAATAAATGTAAACAAGTACAGAACTTCTCCTTACATTATTTTATCCTTCCCTCGCTTAATAACACCGCGACTTACAGCAATCTTTAGAGATTACGCATACAGCAGTGGTACTTGTGTGTGTTGTCCGAGGTTTTTTATAGCAAAATCGAAAGTATTTTTTTCAATTATTATTGAAAATATTATTTCTTTTCCTTATTTCATTTTATTACTTATTATATTTAAACTCATTTATTTATTTAGATCATAAGAGTCAGAAATTAATGAACTACGTAGGACTCGTAAATACGATGCATTTATTTTATAGTGAAATTTACCCAAATCAGATGAGTAAAGTGATTTTATTCGACTGAGAAATCCTACAAAGTTAAAAGTTATTGTATTATGTAGGTATGTGAATATGTTATTATTCACTAAGTCACTAAAACGGATTTAGATACAATATTGCAACAAGCCATTTTCTGGATACATACACATATCTCTAGCCGTTCTCCCATCGGGGCCGGCAGAGAACTGTTAATACCTGTAGTACGTTTCCGTCTATTTATGAAGTTTTTTCTCACTTCACATCACAGTAATCATTATCATTTATTCAGCAAACTCATGTATCACAAAATCTAATTTCTGGATAGCATCAACCTTGGTACAGCCAATAGCACAGATTATGTCATAATATCAATAGTCTAAATGAATGTAGGTATGTTAAGACATGCATACCACAAAGTTTAATTAATAATAAAATAGATACACGTATAAAATATATTCTACACATTTAAAAAAAAAGAGCACAAAGAAACAATTTTCTGTCGACGAACGCTATGCTACTAGATCAAAACAATCTAAGACTGAAAATTTAAATATCAGACTATTCTAATAAATTGTAATCTAATCCAATGTGCAACAATCTTCCACCGAGAATAATTTAACCAGATTCAATGCCACAAATTGCATCAAGAAGCTCCGTGACATGTCGTCAAAAAATATGCAACAGGCCAAACTCAAAACTAGTCTCTACAAAAGTTTATGATCTGACGCCCACGTTTAGAAACCCTGAGAAAAATTTATTCATGTATCTACTGAAATTATCATAGAAAATATGTACTTTCAAAAAGACCAATAATGCAGAAGCCGGTTGCAGGTCCCAGACCTAAACCTTCAATTAACCAGTTACTACTCGAATATATCAATGATGTTTAACCTGGTTGCAGTTCACGGAATATGACAAAGAATTACGACACTATTTAGAAGGTTTAATTTTATTTTCTTTTTATTATGAAGTCTGCTTAATGGATGAATATAGTTTGATTTTAATTTAAATTATAATCATGATAAAATGTTTCTTTTTTTTTACTATTTTCGTTCATTACCTAGTGCCTACGAGGAATAGGGATGGTTTAATTATTATTCAATTTATACTAACACGTAATAATTTTAAATACTTAACGTGTAGATAATCTTTTTTCCTTATAGGTACCAGGCAATATAATAAAATAGAAAATATAAGAATAGAAAATGAAAAACTAATAATCAAGAGTAAGATTAGTTGTTGATTATTATTCTTTTATGGAATTTAAGGAATTTATAATTCATTAGTTCTAAGAACGATGTAATATGGCACACAAAGTGTCAATGATTTTGTTTTATTGTGTTAAATCTCCAATATTGTAATTCGATTTATTTCATTGTACTCATTGTGACCAAAGTCATTTTCACAAATAACCACTATTTGTGAAAAAGACTAAATAGTGGTTCTTTTTAATAATAAACGTTTTAAAAGCCATGTAAATTGCATGTGATTTTCACTAACACCATTTTAATGTTACCTGCCTTGGTTTAAAAAACACTCTTACAGCAGTATTGAATTTCGTACATCTTCAAGAAGTTAACATTTGAAGACCAAAAATGTGTTAAGGAGCGCTAATTCATTTACATCACTCTTAGAATATCGTAAGCCAGTTTACGGTTTACGGCATTAGTCACACCTTCATACAAATTAACTTGAAAATTACAGCATTCTTTGGGGTTAAAATCTAAAAATCAAGTTGTCGTAACCCACATAATCGTCGTTAGGAGTAGGACTACTTCAAATCCGAGTTTATTGTTAAGAAGTCCTATTTTTTATAGGTTTATTTGCTAAATTTGGCACAAAAAACTCGAACCGTTTCAGAGTTATAAAATTATATTTTTTTTCGTTTTTGCAATTTTTGTGTTGGCTCCAGTGAAAAGTTGAGTGTTTAAATGTTACAGCATTACGGCTTTCCAGAGACGATATCGTTGAAAGTTCCTATTGTTCGTTTGAAAGTTCCTGTTGAAATACCTATTATAACAAGTTACGATATTTTGATATTACATTGAAATTTCAATCAATATTCTGCCATCTAGCGGTTCATTGCTGAACAACGACGAATTGGAGTTATTAATTTAGTTCTCCAAATAAGAAGCGATCATATTGCAGGGGCATAAGCTTTACTTTCATTTCTTGTAACAAAAAATATTTCGATGAACAGAAAATTTAAGATTTATTAAAATAAAACTTTCCGATGATATGAAATACCACCACGGATAATATTTTTGCTGTGACTATCATTTTTACACACCGAAACAGCAGAATAAGGCATTTTTCTAGGATTTTAGAGAATTTGCACGAAAGAATGACACAACCACACCATTCAAAGCGAAAATGGCGAACTGGCTCAGATAGGTCTTTCGAGACATATAGTTGGCACGCGTCGGGCGCTAACTAACCACTTCTACTGTATTTATTGTTCTGTGGTTATAATCCTCAAGCCGTGATGAAAGATGTTGTCTGTACTGTCAATGTTCACTTGTAAATCTAACGCCGCTTCTCGTGTAAATGTGGCGATTCTATCTTTCAGGAATTGACAGCGGCAGAAGAGGAACAAGTCGAGGAAGATAAGGAGAAGCAGCTTCAAGTAAGTCACCTGCTTTTGTTCTATACTCACGCTACTACACTAGAACGTTGACTCATCCTTTGATGCTTTCAACAATAGATAGAATCACGACTGAAGCCATAGCATGTTCAAACACTTCCTACGACGTTGAATTTGGAGTGGTTGTTGTATGAGATTTTAATCTGATAAGTGAAATCGAAATTTGTATTTCATACGGCAACCTCTGTTCCGCCTAATTAGGAATTGGAGAAAGAGATGGATGCATTGCACGCGGTGGATGGGACACCACCTAGGGGAGACTTAAGTCCTTCTTCGCCATCGAGTAGGAAGGTAAACGAAGCTGCCGCAAACTGCTCGGCTACGCATTGTCGTCTGCATTGATATCCAGTACTTAAACTATTGTTGATTTGCTCAAATTTTCTAAAGCTATTTAACCGCTCCTTACAAAATTTGAGTTGTATCTCATACAATGATTGTGAGATACATAACACATGCATGTATGCCTTAGTCTCTGCCTATTTCTGTGTGAGCAACAGATCCCTTTTTTATTTTATTCCAACATTTTGTTTTCATGTTCTGAAATCAACAATATTTTAAGAGCAATCGTACTGGACTAAATGTCGCTTATGTGGGCCGATTGTTCTAGGTGTTTTGTGACATTTTTTCAGGATTATTTTGACATTTTCGTAGGTGGCTAATGTTTAATAGATTTCTAATACAGCGTTATTAACACGACCAAATGTGAAAAGTGATAATAAAACGTTTTAATCACCTAACATCATAGTAATTTTTTTAGCACTATTGTTTGCTTATGATCGAAACAAGCGCATAATTCACTTACATTAGCTGTTTTAATTTCTGGAGTAGCATAACTATTTACTTGATTAAGTTCTATTGTGCGATTAGCTAAAAATTTCGGTCTAAATAGAGATTTAGAAATAGATTAGAGCATATAAATGTTAAGAAATCAAATTAGGTACCTACCCTTTTTGTTACATATCCAAATTTTTATGTGATGTTTAGTGAATTAGTTAGAAATACACTAACGGGACATGGACTTGTAGTTTTGCCGTCTAAATATATTTTACAAACACCCTCCTTTGCTATTAATTTTGTTAAGTTTTAGTTAAACATCATATTTCCTTCGAGATCTGTTCTAGTACAGTGTATTTAATGTACATATAGACGAAATGAGAATCCAATTTTCATATGAAATATTAATTTCAATCTTGAAAAATTTTGCAGAAACAATATAATTAATGTCAGTAAATGTTTAAAGGGTAAACTCTTACGGACGTTATTTGATTGCAGTTTCACAATGTGTAAACATATTTATGAAGGCGACTATACCTACGTTGAGTTAAATCAAAAGCAAACGAATAGTGATTTGGTTTGTACGTAGTGTGGTTTGTAAATTCACTGTTCTAATTGCAGAACAAGAAGAAAGATGAGGCCAAAAAAGAAGATGAGGAGATACCAGATGGACCAAAACCAATGCTGCCATATTCGTCCATGTTTATTTTGTCACCCACTAATCCGTAAGTAATCGACAAACTAACTTTGCATCAGACATTACTTTAAAAAAATTTATGATGCATTACAGCGACGAGCTCGAGGCAAAATAATTATTTTTTTAAGTCAAACTCCTTACTACAAAGACATAAAGAAAAACTAATTTAATATAAAAATGGAAATAAATTAATTTGCTACTCCGCCAACCAATTGGGTTCGCGGACTTCCATTTTTATTAACATGAACTTATGCAAAGTAACGCCTGTAAATATTAATCATTTAATATGTCCATTAAAGTATACAATCATCTACAAACAACAAAACAGTTAAGGGGTTCACGATTCTAAAAATATTTTTTCGGTTTGGCTAATGGACCACTATGTCACACTATGTCCACAGTTAGAGAGTAATTAGAATTTAAGACATGAAATAATAAAACGTAACGAAAAAATTAACAATTTCCATACTATACTGATGATAATTGAGGCTATCACCAAAAAAGTGGGGTAACTCAATTTTTTTTTTCTACAACATTACTTTACATGATACTAAACTACATAATTATTTTATATTTGGATGCTATTTTCATGTTTTGTTTTATTCTATTTTGGTCTCAATTATATAAAATCTTGTTTAATGTATTCTAGCAAATAAACGGTTTTGACTTTTTTTTGGTCTGTCCTATGTATTTTGTTTGTTACAGAATTAGGCGAGGCGCACACTGGGTTGTAAATTTAAGATATTTTGATTTTTTTATCATGGTAGTTATATGTATGAGTTCCGCGGCTTTAGCAGCTGAAGATCCCGTTCTTGAAGATAGCGATAGGTGAGAATTTTGTTCCTATTAGTTAGATCAATCTAAAGCAAAAGATAATAATACATTTTTTTATATATCAAAAAAAAAATGTTTGGTTTACATACAAACAAAACGATTAAAAAAGTAAACTTGGGATAAAACGCATAATAGAAACAGGTACATTTCAAATGCTACTATTTTAGTCTACTCAGCTTTTTGTAACGAGACGTTGGGGGATGCATCGTTACTTTAGTTTTCAGTGCATATTAATCACTACAAAACGTTCAATTGCCGGACAACTCACGTATTTTGTATCGAACGTTTTGGTTCTTAATCAAGAGCATACGCGTCGGTGATTCGACGAAAGCCTGAAAATTTGACTCAAATTTATTTATTTATTCCATAGTTTCCCAAAGAGGTCCCTACCGCCCCAGTGGGCGCTGAAGGTCCGAACGGGCGGTAGGGGCTTCGGAAGCGATTGGGGGGTTTGGTGCTGTCCAGGGGGTACATTATCTACATAAACTACACTACATATATAATTTTTTTCTTTGTGATTTTTATGTTAAGGTAATATAAAAAAATACGTGTTTTCAATTGTTTTTTTGTGGTGGGCGTTGAAATTTTTTTATCTTGCCTAAGTGGGCGGTGAGCAAAAACTTTGGGAACCTATGATTCTATAGTGCGAGCGGGCTCACAGAGCTTATCCAAAATATCCACATACTAGATTAATATTAAGAGTAACAAAGATACAGGATGACGACAGAATTTAAATAAATTAAAGTTACTAATACAAATTTGCTTTACGAATGTCAGAACTTTAACCTGTTTATTAACTAATTTCATATACGTAAAAAGTAATAAATTAAAAACATATTCGCCTTCTTAAGAAGTAGTTCAAAAGAATCGGCATGTAAGTCAATGTCATAGAGATCAAGCAAGCTTGTCGCCGAATACGTGAAGTAATGAAATATGTGAGTTATCCGGTTGTTTTGTTAATCGTGCTCTAAGAAGGAATGTATTTATTTGTGTATTTGACAACATCACATACGTTGTTCTGATCCCAAAGGAAGGCATCTAAACCATTTGTAATATGGAAATCGGAAACAACGACGGTACCACAAACACCCACACCCGGGACAGCTCCCATATCTTTTCTACATAAGTTTTGTTCATAGTGACCCTCCCTATTAACCTCTTGGTTACACGGGAAGGTCACTATAACCTATGCAGGCAAGTCCACACAGGGACCTACTAAGTCAAGTCCTGACCACAGATCTGCCCATTTGTACGGACTTCATCCGGGGCTCAGAAAGCTAGTTAGTCCCTTATGTGAGCCGCCCCGGGTGCACGTACAGTACCCTCCCTATTTTCTAGATAGGTAACGGAGCTGTAGGCACAGACCCTGGCTAATATAAAAAAAATTCTATATTGACCCGGCCGGGGTCCGAACCCGGGACCTCAGAGATGTCGACACCATGAAAACCGGTGTACAAGCCACTCGATCACGGAGTCGTCTCCGAACTCGAATGTCTATTATGCAATATATTTTCTATTTAAACTTTCAATGTTAATACGTGTATTTGTTTGTAGACATATAGGCATAGGCATTCATTTGTTTTCCCGCGTTTTTTTTTCAATTGTTTCTGCTGTTTATAATTTTTTCTTTAAATATCCCATTAATTTCACTGATAATGACCTTTATTCACAGGAATAAAATCCTAAACTATTTCGACTACGCGTTCACGGGCGTGTTCACCGTGGAAATGTTGTTAAAGATCGTCGATCTCGGCATTTTGTTCCACCCCAGCGCGTACCTGCGCGACCTCTGGAACATCATGGACGCCGCGGTCGTCATCTGCGCCTTAGTTAGCTTCGGTTTTGAAATCGGGTACGTCCTCTTTATCTACAGGGTAATTTTAAAAATAGCAATAGCCTCCCTGGACTATATTACTACCATCAGAAACGACAACTTTTGTTCCATAACTTTTCACAAATGTACCAAAAACAAACTTTTAAGTTTTTGTTGCACTATTTGACATTTTCTAGATCTGTATTTGGCAGTAGAGCAGTAAGTTCACACGTGTAAGCGTCATTCTCGAGGACTTTCACGCCCGCTCCTGCGTTTTTGTATTGGATTTGTATTTACGCTAGACCTTTGTTTTGTTACCGCACAGAGTTAACCGATTAGAGAGATCAATTTAAATGTTTACATTACATTAATTATTAAAAATCATGGAACAAAAGTTTATGATGTTTATGATGTTAATAATCGATACCTCCAATGAACACTACGCCAACTTTTTTTTTTGGTCGTTTTCTGTTGTTTTTGCAAATAGTTATATATATGTTTACAGACATATATATGCTAATATTATGCTCCCAAAATTTTGTTAAAAAAAAAACAAAGAAACACTGCGCCAATTTTGTTTTTTGGTCAAGTCCTGTCATTTTTGTAGACAGCCATATTTATTTATTATGCTCACCGAAATTTGTGAAAACAAAATAAAGAAACGTAATACAAAATTCCAAAAAGCATAACAACGAATTTGGTGAAAAAAGAGAAACGAAAAATAAAATAAAAACAGAACAGGTCCAAAAATTAAGTTGGCGTAGTGTTCATAGGTATCGCTTTGTGTAACAATGAAATCAAAATCAAAAACATCTTTATTTCATAAGTAAACAATTTACACTAGAAATTGAAACATTGACAAAACACTAGTATTCGTTCGTAAGGCGATTCCCCTGAGAAGAAGGGGTTTCTCTTTATAATATAACCTTTTTTTCATCATTCATCATTTACAATATTTATTATTTCAAATATTTTGGCATGACAATGTCCTTCTGTTTGAGTGTAATAATTGTTCTAATTAGTTTCTAATAGCTTCTAACATATAATATTCTTATTTGTTACAGAGGCGTGAAGAAGTCGGCGGGACAGAATCTGTCTACAATAAAGTCGTTAAGAGTGTTAAGAGTGCTGAGACCTTTGAAAACTATAAAACGTGTTCCAAAGTTAAAAGCAGTGTTTGACTGTGTTGTGAACTCTTTGAAAAATGTCATTAACATTCTCATTGTGTACATATTGTTTCAATTCATATTCGCTGTAATTGCAGTTCAACTTTTTAATGGTAAATTTTTTCACTGCAACGATATCAGTAAGAATACTTTTGAAGACTGCCAGTAAGTATTACTTCGATTTTTAATTATTTTAACACTAGATGATTCTATAACCTAAGAACTCAAAGTTGTCGCATGACAAGGGTCCGCGTTTACAATTAAAGCACTTTCAAATAAGATGCTTGAAGAAGCGCTGCAGTGGCGCGATTGTAGAACGGCAACCGCACATCTGTTCAGTTCACTTAAGGCGAGATATTTCACGCGAGACTAGATTTTAGGAGGTGAGGTTTGAAGTGTCGCCCCTTCCAGCCCGCAATCTGCGCGGTGTAATTTAATAGGAATACAATAGTAATTTTTATAAAAAAAAGTGACCTCAAAAGTTCATGGAAATACATCTATTTGCCAAGTTTAGTTGAAATCGGTTACCGGAAAGTGCGCGAACCCGGATTCATCGCCTAGTTTGCCACCCTTAGAGATGGATAATTTTCTTCAAATGTAAATGAGACCAATACTGAGGTACCCTCTTTCCAATAATAAAAAGAATCATCAGAATCGGTTCACAAATCCCGGAGTAATCGTGTAACATAAACAAAAAAATAACAAAAAAAGTCAGTCGAATTGAAAACCTACTTCTTTTTTTAGGTCGGTTAAAAATAAGAATAGAGGGAGAAAATTTGACACAGATCCGACATCGATAAGCGCCCGATGGCGACTGACTGGGCAGCGGGCGGCAACTTTCAAATTTAGGGATAAATATGAATTTAATAACTGTAGGGCTTCTGTTAAAAAACGAAATTTAGCCGGCTCTCTGTAGTACTTAAATATCTTTATATTAAAATTACGTGCAAAGTTAGATATTTTATTCTTAAATAATTCGTTTCAGACTTTTCTTTTAGCCCGTTTTCAGGTTTTTATATGACTGGATAAAGTACATCCTATTGTGTAACAAGTTAACACATTCTTAAGACAATATCCTTTGGTATCTGGTATATTTTTTGTAAGACCGATATTCATACGAAATACCTAAACCATTTCATCTAGTAAAACAGCTTTTGTCGTGACTCGCCTTAATTGTAACTGCAAAAGTGGAGCGCGCATTATTGTTATTATAGTAACAAACGGCGCAGTATTAATATGATAGTGGTGCTGCAACTGTGCTTCTAAATATTCTATCAAAATTAGTAGTGGCGCAACTGCAACCACGGCGCTTCAATAAGCATCTAATTTGAAGGCGCCCTTAATCAGATTAGTGCTTAATGCATTTGATCTCTCCTTTATCACCGTATTACAAGCATATAAAATATACATCGAAATGATAGGTCTTATTAGACGTATTCGCACCTTTCTTACTTTAGTTGATTGATTAAGATTTCTAACAAGAGAATCAAAATGCCACAGGTATGCAACAGCAACGTAATAGAAAATTTACCAGTTGAATATTGCTAATGGATGATTTTTATCAGTTTCATTATTTACTAAATTTAGCCCCCCTTAAGGCCTAACCACTAGAACATGATTGTGAATAGAGAATATTCCGTCAATATAATAATATTCCCTGACAGATAATTCAATGCCCTTCTATTTAAAAGCCAGACTCTTCTCGGTGTAGCCGCCTCCACTCCTCACGATTCATAGCCAGCTCCTTGACCTGTTTAGAGCCTCTCTCACTCACCTTGATGTTATTTGTTATTTATGTTCACTGTACGCCATTCTTGATCAATCACACAATGTTTCATTTTAGGGCATTTAGCCCTAAAATGAAACATTGTGTGATTGATCAAAAACTATTAAATATAATAGCGACATCTATCGCCAGGACTAGTAGTTGTAAAGGTACTAACTGGGTGATAAATCTTTCATAGATTTGTCATAGATGGCGCTCCGACTAAAAAGTCGTTGTAAAACCAAATACTAAGATACGACGCAAGCACATAGAAAAATTCGTGAGGTCCGCTGGTTCGTTCCGTGGCTTAGTTGGTATAGCGTCTGACACGATAAGCTAGAAGACGTCGGTTCGAATTCGGCCGGATCGAAGGAATTTTTTCTGAGTATTCGATTTTTGTATTAATAATTATAACTATTATGCAGTTATGGCTTATTAAACGTCCTTCTATAATCTTCGCGTCCTTGTTATAAATTTGTATTTTAGAAAACTTATACTTTGGTGATAACAATATTTTTGTACTCTACCCCTTTAAAAATAAAAATGCAAGGTGACTCGAGCTATGTGTCCAAGAGTGTATTTATATACCTAATATTTGTTTTATCATCTCTTCAGAATAACTGAGTTTCCACAAATATTATGAATTGCCGATACAATAAAAATAATGTGCTTCCATTTTCAGAGGGTCGTATTTTATCTACGAAGCGAATAGTCTGCTGCCGAAGGTGGCTAAGCGGGAGTGGTCGACGCAGTCGTTTCACTACGACAACGTCGCCACCGCCATGCTCACGCTCTTCGCCGTGCAGACGGGGGAAGGGTGGCCACAGTAAGAAGTTTTCTATTTAACTATTTAATATCCAGCCTAATTTGATTAGCAACCAGGCTAGACAAGTGATGTAGGACTGACAATAAATTATTATAATTTTTTTAATAAAAATCCTACCTCAAAAGTATGTTTATCCGCTTTCGCTGTGTTCGTTACCGCGGTCTCCTCAACGATAACTGAAATTCTTGAAAGTCCTCTCACGTGGAATTCCTTGCCAAAACGAATCATATGAGCCCAAGCACAAGGTAGCTGCTGTACACTGTTGAAAAGTTCCTCTCATCTGTCTGCCTTTTCATCATCACCGTTGAAATGATATCTATGTGCCAAGTTTTAATTAAATCATTTAACGAAAAGTGGGAGAAATTCAATAAACAGAATTCATCCTCCTTAGAGGTAACATATTTTCTTCAAATTTGAATGGAACCACTATTGAGGCACCCAATTTCCAATAAGAAAAGAATCTTTGAAATCCACTTTTTTTGAAGTCAGTTAAAAATGGAAAAATTATAGTCACACAATTTTTTTTTATTCGGTTCACAAAACTGGATACAATTCAGATATAAACTTCAAGTATTTCATTTATATAGTAACACGATAAGAATGTATCCTACTTGATGTGAACACAACATACAAAACAGGCCAAAATAACTGTATAAGTATCAAAATATTAAATAAGTGACAGTAACTCTAAATTTCAAGTATTTTAAGAAAACCCAACAAAGTCAGTCGCGTAGTTAACATAATAGACACTTTCTAATTGAGTTCCTAGCTGAGACAACAGAACCAGTGAAAATATCGAAATCAAGACGTATAACATTGCAATAAGAACACATGCGATACATTGGACAGCGTTGACCGAAGTTAGTTCTACAAATAGGGAGCGAAAATGTTTTACGATTTTGCAGGCGACTGCCAAGACGGGAGACGGAGAAACGTAAACGATGCAGGATGTCAGGTGCAGCTATAATACCATGATAGCTTTACGGCGCTTTTGCAAAGAGAACATGTTAAAGTGAGAGAGAAGTGACTCGCACGAGAACAGCTGTTTACATTTAAATTATTGTATGTTAAATGATAGAGGAAACGTTTCTGAATACTTTCAATTCTATTTGAATGAACCTGGTGACTTGGGTTCCAGACAGTAGAGCAATATTCTAAAATACTGCGAACTAAACTGTTATAGATTAAAATAGATACAATTGGCTCGTTAAAAATTTTCATTTGTATTTATACAAAACCGGTTATATAGATTTTAAGACTTTCGTGGTTATTCACTAAATGATTATCACTAGTAACAGGTTTCTTACCACGGTATAACTTCTTTTTATTTTCCCGATATTTCGGAACGGATTGCACGCTCCATGGTCACGGGTTGACTGGACGGCGGCAGATGACAGCTTTATGGGCAGACATATCTGTCTACCCTCTTGCGCTGTCGACGACTACCTTCATCGCGATTTGTTGTGGCGTTACCATTGTCACTCACTTTTTTCACACAAACCACACTTACTGTATCCACACGCGAAACTGAACTCGAGGTGTTTTTGTTTTTATTACTGCACGCACTAAGGACCGGATTCCATGCACTGGACAGTTTAAAACCATCATCACTGTTAAATGTTTTGTACTTCGTGATCTCGATGGCTTCTCGTACCAACCGTGGTATGTAGTGAAAAACCGGTTAGCCTAGAAGCTTTGCTAATGATTGAATCAATATGCTTAATAAAACTTAGTGTAGCGTCTATGACGACACCCAAGTCTCGAATACTGCTAACCTCTGTTAAAAATGCATTGTCTATAAAATAAGTCAAGTCAGGTAGCATTTATTAGTATTGATGATCAAAGACAGTCTCGTTAAGCCATGATTCGGTCAACACCAAAATGTCGTAGTTATTTGACAGCACAGGTAAATACAAATTCTCTGTTTTGGTTCTGAGGCCTCTAACATTTTGGTAATACAAATTAAGATTGAATTTAGAATAATTTATGTAATAAAAGCATGTTGAATTATTATATAATAAACAAAACAATGGAAAAAACTTCTAAGTTAAGGTTCTTCTAAGTTAAGGACTTTCGTTCCTTTTACGTATGAAGATGCGAGCGTTGCGAGTCCAAATATATTGGTAGCCTTTCTTCTTAGCAGTGGTTCTGGCAGCGGCGTGCAGCTGCTTTAGCTAGGTTGAGATGCAAATTGCGGCGTTGGTAGCATTAAAAAGGTCGTGTGAAATCTGGGTATCATTTTAAGAGTAGACGAACTAACATTATTACGCACATTAAAGTAGTAATGTCATCCCTTTGCGAGTGCAAAACTGATTAATTATTTGTTACCGATAAATTCGCACCCTCAATGTGAGAAAGGCACATCTGCTAAATTGCAACATTTCAGGAGAGAAGTTTGAAGATTCTATGAACGAAATTAGTTTTAGTACCTATATATTAGTTTTATAGGAGATTTATCAAATTTCACATATACGCGTTTTTGAGAGGTCACATTGTTTATGCTTCAAAAATTTGTTTTTTAAAAAAAAATAGGCCCATAAACCCAAAAGAAAGCACTGGTCCTTTGTATCAGAAATAGGTACTGCGCTAGCACATACCCAGACGGGTAGTATCTGTAACATATGGATATTTTAATCCCATTCTAACCGTTACTGTTTGTTGCAGAGTATTACAAAATTCAATGGCCGCCACTTACGAAGACAGGGGACCCATACAAAATTTTCGAATAGAAATGTCCATATTTTATATAGTTTACTTTGTGGTGTTTCCGTTCTTCTTTGTTAACATATTCGTAGCTCTGATTATCATCACGTTTCAAGAGCAGGGTGAAGCGGAGTTGCAAGACGGTGAAATTGATAAGAATCAGGTACGTAAACTAAAAAACCTCGAGCTCTGTAATATTTGCCTTAACCGCCTCACTGGGTAAGCAGCCATCGCGATAAAGCTGCATTCTAAAGTCGATGAAAAGGCTACCTATTGCCTGTCTCTGAATAATTCTTCATTCTTTTTTTATTGTCGTTACTTTCTACCATCGGAACTATAAAATATTCGATCGCAATAGCCCTATTTACACAGACACCCTATCATGCGTGATCAGGAACGTACAGGTTTGCGCGTGGGAAAGCTGCACGCGCAGTCGCACGCGATTGCCTATGTGAAGTTTTTTAAGCTAACTTTCGTTCGCGTGCGATTACTTGTGTTCTTTTTTATTACAACGGAAGAACGGAAGAACGAAGAACGGAAGATTGCAACGGACTGATGAGCGCACGCGCGTTCATTCCCTTTTCTTTACAACTTCTTTATACGCACGCTGAATCGCGGACGATTGGCTGTATCACACGAGATAGAGTATCTGTGTAAAACCCGTTATTATTTTAACTGACGATTTATTTATTTACTGTTTTTAAAGTGCATTTTGTTTAGCTCTCAGGGAAGGAAAATTGGAAGCCTTTTGTTTTCAGCAAAAGCACATAGGTATACAAAGCTAATGATATTTTCTTGTTCACAGAAATCATGTATAGACTTCACGATAGAAGCGCGACCTCTCGAGAGGTATATGCCAAGCAAAAGGACAAGTTTTAAGTACAAAGTGTGGAGAATAGTCGTCTCTACGCCCTTCGAGTATTTCATCATGACCCTCATTGTGCTTAACACACTGCTGCTCATGATGAAGGTAATTATTTCCCTCGCTTATGTGTGTTAGATTGGGTAGAGTGTTATTCATAAGGACTTTTTCCGTACATCATCATATAGTGGAGATACGCCACTCTGTGTGCGACCTGATGTTTTTCCTTAAGAGCACGCGTGTTAAATTTTAAAAAGTTAAAAACCAAACACAAAGATCTGCAATAAGTTCGTAGAAATTCGTAGTGCAGTTGGGAGAGCGTCAGGCACGGTAGGCTGAAGGCGCTGGTCCGAATACAACCGTATCGAATGATTTTTCTTATTGTATTTATATTGATAATTATAAAAAAAAGTTAAAGGTGAGTGGACCAATGTAAAAGAACAATTCTTTTACTTGAATTTTTTTTTTGACAACAAAGCGGACGAATTCTGAAAGAAAAACCGGAAAATATAAGATTGTTATTTCGAAAAAATGCCTCTGTGTGATGATGTCTCAATAATACTGTAAACGTTTCTTCAAATGTGCCAAGTTGATTAAGACCCGAAACATTGTGCTGACAAGTTATATTAAAAAAATGAAAGTACCCATATTTTCGTACATAACACAGGCAAAAGTGATCAAATAACAACGACGACAACTAATATACAATAACAAAAGCACCAATAAATGTGAAAAGTAGAAAATGATCACTGGAGGTAGAAATTGAAAAAACCCTTTCACATGGCACAGATGAAAATTTAGCGAAAAACCACTCTATGCACTATGCCAATCTAGAGAGAGCGATTTAAAAGATTTTTTGTAAAATAAATTTAGCTCTCTAGCCTGGCGTCAACAAAGAAAAAAATGTCGTAAAACGTCCTATTACAGTATATGTTATCGCTGGCACCACTTAGTTTCAAATAGTTTAAATATTGCAAAACTGTGTCCTTTTATATCTCCTACAAAAAGCAGCCTAAATACTAATCTATATGAGAAAAAGCAAAATACATTTGCTAAGCATATGAATACTGCCTAGATTAGGGACCCAAACATGACACACCCACACACATGAAACAGACATACCGTTTGAGATACCATTGTATTCGGTGTCGGTATACACTGCATTGGAATGCGCCGTATTGGATTGACTGAGCCTTCCCGTCAAGTGTACCGCCAACATACTTTTATTATTGTTTCAATCCTGTGTTCTGTTAAGTGTTCCTTTCTGACTCCTTGCTTGCTATTAATTTATTTGTATGTATCAGTGTTTACTGCACGATATACCTGTCCTTCCTGCACATTCTATGGCACATTAACACCAAAAGTCTATACGGATCCGTGCTTGTGAATGCACAAATTCCGGAATTGGTTAGGACGTGGCATGAGCCATTTATGTTGTTCGTGTTGCATGATCTTATTTAAGACATTTTCTCAATTGTCTTTAATGTGAACTATGCATGCTTGGTGGAATGGCCTACTGCCAGGCGTGTTTGGTGGCTACAAGCTGCTTTGTTTTTATTGGAAAATTACCATATACAAGAAAACTATCAAAATTTTGTTTTGTTTGCTACCCGGGGACGAATCTATCACAAAATTTCCAAATTTTTTGTTACAAATTATCCACTATTCAAAATTTTGGCACAGCAAGAGCTGAAAGCATCAATTGCGTGAGTTTTCAATCCATTGTGACCCTGTTTATTTTTAGTTAATATTTAACCACATCCATGTCTATTAAATATACAGCACATTTCCTCACCGTCAATGATCCTTCTTTTATTACATAGGTATCCTTTCATGAAACAACAATCAATTGCGTAGGTACCTATATCAAATATACCAATTACTATGAATAAACCTTAACAACAATAATCCGAAACAGACCTCAATTTGACTTCACATTTATTTCCACATGTCGATATATATGAAGTAACGAATATCTATTTTCATTGCCATGGGTTTATGCAATACGCCCGACACGTCGTCTTGAAATGGCAGTATTATAATCAAAATGACCTCTACGCGGATATCCTCAAGTATTCGAATATGGGGTTTACTGGAATGTTTTCTGTGGAAACGGTGTTGAAAATCGTCGCTTACGGTGTCAAAGTAAGTACACTAACACTGTTGGATAGACAAGAGAAACATAAGGCAAGGAAATACATTAGCGCTGCAAATGTACTCTTTCTGTTACTAACAAACTATTTTGTCTATTTACATGACTGTATGGGAATATTTCCAGCCGAGTAAATACCATTCCTTCCTTAGTGTCCGATAGTCTCTCTGAAAAAGATGGAAGTACCAATATGTGAATTATTTGCAAATATGTGTTAAGCATGGCTACCTTCTCCTGCTGCATGTGCACTTACGTGTTGAGCACTTGCTGCTACGAAATGTTCCTTTCTATTCTGTTCAATAATGTAAAAATGACTTCAGAGTTTTGTCGCCAATTGGATTGTGTGATCAAGGTAAGGCACTCTTCAAGACGTCGGCATACTTGCGGGAGTTCGACTGTTGTAAGGTAACGTATTTTTGTTAAGCCATTTACTTATTTAAAAATGACGATTCTGTGTGAGGCCTGGAGCAACTGTGATTGTTTGTATGTCCAACTATTTATGTGCATGTTTGTATTGCAGAAAGCATGCTAGCACATGCACTAACCGTCGCAATATACTTACACATTTTCATATACGTCGAATATTGGCGCAACAAGATATTTTAATTGTCGGAAACAAAAATTACACTCAAACACAACACAAATCATTATACTCGCTGTTACATTTCGATTAATGATGAATTTTTTAAATATTAATAGTAGTAATTAGTTAATTATTTTTTACATACGTTGAAGTTACATGCGAGGACAGAAATTATTTACAACTTTCTTTTTATTCAAGCATTTTAGAAATCTTTTAATGCGTTCCACTTGTCACTTTGATCAAGATGTTCTCGCATTTTACTTCGAACATTGATAATTTATATTTGGCAAAGTTAAAAAGATTGGTATTGGTTTTGTGGTAGTTTCACGAGGCTCCACCACTACTCGTGGACATGCTAACATTCATGAACTTCGTCTTTACGTTCTTCTTCCTTCTCGAGACCGTATTGAAGTTGGTTGCCTTCGGATGCACGGTAAGTATGATACACATTTTGTTAGCCTACAAAGTATTTATTTAGAGACAAGATGATATATAATGGCAATTGGATTATACGTATATTTTGAAAGTTGAATTTGAGTCTTATAAAAGGGCAATTATCAGGTTATTTACCCTACCCTAATTTTGGTGGTAATTTTTATTATTCAAGTATTCGAGTACATTACCGTGCAATATTAAGTATTATTTCAAGTTACTACACTCGAATATTAAGAAATACTTCTTGATAATATTCTAGAATAGTGAAATAATCAAAAAATACCACCGAAATTAGGTAAAAAAAAACAAGTAACAGAAAATTACCCAAAACAGAGTTTATTAAGGCTGAAGTAAATACTTCAAGGCAACTCGAATTATGAATCATTGTGTTGTAATTATTAATTATTTTAGAGCAAATATTTACAAAAGTTGATAAGAACTCAGTTTTTATATAAGTCACAGTGAAGTTTGATGTCTAAAAACAATCTAAAATTTAAGAAGGTTTTACCAAAATCTGTTGTTAACTAAATTATTTGTAATTATATATTACAACTAAATACTTATGCTCTTTATATAATAAAAAGTCACCGTTTTCAATATTAAGTTACTATAGGAAAGAAACACAACTAACATTTGTAAGGAACGATTTGTAGCTTTGCATCTATTTATATAACACACTTTATAAGTTTTTTTATCAATTTAGATTTAGCATCTAATATTCAACATTGACTTGAATATTTAAGTAAATCTAGCCATACATATACTTTATAGAGTTTACGAGATGCCGCTTAATTTTAATAAGTCGTAGGTTCTCAATACATTCCATCACTTGATTCGATTTTATAGATTCATAAGCAAATTAATTATATTTTTTTATATTATTAAATAAAGAAGAGAGATTTCCTTTCTCCCTATCCCTATATTTCCCATTCATTTTGAACAGTCTTTGACGTGGAAAGTGTACATTTGTTCTATTGCCTTCTATTGATTTTTTTCCCTTAAATTTACCTGAACCCTTTACTTTTGTTCTTTTGTGAAGGAGTGAGAGTATGGAGAAGATAACTTAAGTTACTCCTACCTAAATTCTCTCTAACAGGTTACTTACCCTTGCCTTCTGTTCTATTTTATTTGGATTATACTTTGATCTAAATGATTTTTTTTTCGGATTGAAATGGTGTATATTTGTTTTGCAAACAAACCAACGTTTCAGTCCCTTTAAAGGTCCCGTGATCGACGACTGATTAATTGAAACGTTAGTTTGTTTAAAAAAATAAATTTACGCGATTTAGATCTGAAAAAATAGTTTCATTTCTAATGCGTAGCAATCGTATACTTTGACTCCTTTCATGGGACAGTATAATATTTAAAATACGAATATAAGTTCTCTCACTCTTTTCGGGTGCATTAATGGTTGTCTCTGTTTACAGAATTTTTTCAAAGATCCGTGGAATACATTCGATTTCATAACGGTCATTGGAAGTATTATTGACGCCCTCATTATGGAGTTTGGCGTAAGTATACCTTTTACCTTAAACAGCTACAGCTTCTTTGTCTTCCTTACCTTCATCTACCGTATAATGTTTTCATCGTATGATCTTAATTATTATTGATTAATTTTGCTGCTGATACAATTCTTTTGTGAGCTATGAAAACTGAAGGTAAAGAATATATCATGATTGCAGACCGACCTTGCCGAAAACTGTGCTGACATATCCTGTCAGCAGGTAACGTGATCTATATTTTGATTGCTAGGAAAATTAGATTTTTGTAACCGATTGGTGATTCGTTTAGAAAAATGTGTACATACGACCAATTGTTAAATGTTTTTGTAGTGCTAGTGTTTATTTTAGAATATTATTAGGATATTGATATAGAAAATTTGTAGATTCAGTGATATGCCAGGGTGATTTGGTTTGGGGTTGCATAGATTACAACAAAATTACATGTTCAACAATTTACATTTTAGTGAAAATTTAAGCTGTTCAAAATTTTGTAGGCTCTAGTTTTATCTATAATTTAAAGTTAATCTCCAACAAAATGGCGATATTGATTGGATATTGGCTAGAAGTAACATTAAATGAATCTTTTTGTTCTGTGACGTCTTCATTTTTGTTTTTGTTATTTATGATTATTTTTATACCATAATTTACATACTTAGTCTTTGTTTAGAAACATTATTTTGTGTAAAAAATTCTGCATCGCTAAATTTTTCAAAGCTTTTATTTATCTTACCTTATAAGATACATAAAAATATATAATGCAAGATTTATGCTGCATTGTCTGTTAAGTACAATTGGCTTTACGAGAAATTTTATAATTATAACTATACAGTGCGTCCAGAAAAAAATACGTTCTATAATGACTAATTCTAAATTGACTTCTTACCTGATTCTGGAGAAAATATCTTCAAAAAATTTTTTAATTATTTCCGGACTTTCTGTATAATACCCAAGTATAATTATCCAAAAATTTGGCTATTGGTACCTATAAAAATTGCAACAACCAATTAGACTTCAAAACGTAGAATGTTTTTGAATTAGTAGAAAATTGGGGATTTGTTTCTAGATTTTATTTCAATTTCAATGTATCCAGGTTCGAATATTAGAAATATTGATAAGTTACTCAAAAGTTTTATTCTTCTTTCTTCAAGCCTGGTTACATTAATAGAAAATTTCATGATTGTTATTGTGGCGTAGTTATGATATTTACATACGAATCTAATGTTCGTAGGAGAATACATTCAACGTCGGTTTCCTTCGCCTGTTCCGAGCCGCACGACTGATCAAGCTGCTCCGACAGGGATACACTATTCGGATACTGCTCTGGACATTCGTGCAGAGTTTCAAAGCCTTACCCTATGTGTGCCTTCTCATCGCGATGCTATTCTTCATCTACGCCATCATCGGGATGCAGGTCTGTTCTTTCATTGCTGTCACCCCCACAGTCATCTGTTTCTTATAAATATGTGATGTATTTTATAAAATTGTTATTATGTCAAGTATCTTTTGGGGATTGCAGGGATTTGCCATATTTAGGTACTTTGTCTTAGATTTTTTTTAACGTTTTGTCATATTGATTAAATTAATTTTTTGGATAATAGGATTACTTTTAGGAATATTTGTCGAATAGCTGTAGATTTAAGTACGTTGTAATGAAATTTACATCAAATTATAAATACTAGAAAAAATATTACATTTTTAGCTCTAGCATTTTTAACTGTAGTTTTGGGGTTATAGTACCTATTTTTGCCCAACTGTAAACTTTTAAAATCCAATAGTTTCTGTAATTAAATGTAGTTTTGAAACATGCTTGACCATTCCAGCCCTTAGGTGAAAGTTGGCCATCTTTAGTATTTAAAAGCCAGTTTTGAACCGTTGGATTCCATAGTTTCATTCCCTTATTACATGAGTAGAAACGTACGCTCTCCAGTTCTGCACACTTGAAAATGTATTGTTTTTTAAATAAACATCAAATATCCGAATGAAAATCTTAAAATGACGAATTTTCTGCGCGGTAAATATAATATAACCATATCGGGCACTGACAAATTTCTAAACGACAGGTTTTCGGAAACATGCAATACGATCCAGACAGTGCCATCAACAGGCATAACAACTTCCGATCTTTCGTGGGAGCACTCTTGCTGCTATTTCGGTGAGAGTACAAAAAGAGTAGTGGACCCTTACTGTTTCACGTGTCTGCTATGCAGCATAGTCACCAATGTCTAGGGACCGAGGACTAACTGCAGGAATTAGAGCATGGCACAATAAATCTCGTCAGGTGTTGCATCTTGTTTGGCTCACTCTGACGACTGACGATTCAAAGTTTGTCTCTGCTGCTAAGTGTCACATGTGCATAACATCATCATTACCATTGGACATGCGGAAATTTTCATCAAAAAACTTAATGATAGTAAATGTAACTAACGTAGATTTAGTCGATCCATAGTAATGTCTATTGCCCTCTGATTGGTTGTCCTTGACTATGATTGCATCTTTGTTTGTACCTTATCTAGATTCAACTTGTGTACCTTTATTTTCATACTGTATCCCTAGTGCTAGTACTAGACACTTCATTTAGGTAGAGTCTTAGTTTGTAACATCATCATCGGGGCGGAGCTTAGGATGTTCAGGTTACACGTACTATGTAATGCACACAAAGCTGACTTTTGTGTTGTATCTGCTTGGACACAGGTTTTTGGCAATATAGACTTATCACCAGACTCAGATATGAACAGACACAACAATTTTCGAAGCTTCATTCAAGCACTCATGCTACTGTTCAGGTAAGAAACATTTGGCAATTATACTGGATTCAATTACCGAATCAAATTTTCTGAAAATATTCATAAAATTACATGATTTCATCAAAATGGATTACCAAATGCAATCATTTAGTTTAGCTCCAAATGTAGCAATATATCAATTAGATTGGTAAAACAACTTTAGCAGCCAAGCAAGCTTTAAAATGGTGATAATGTGGGGATTTTTCAAAAAATAGTTTAGTACGTATATGTGTGTTTATATGCATGTATGTCTAACGCATGCTACAAGTTCACTGAGTCCACTTAGAAAATGTAATGGAAAAGTATTAAATGAGTTGTGTATCGTGAAGTTTGTACGAAGTTTGATTCTTTAGATTTCATTTGGTGTTCCTGTAAAAGGCCTTGATCTTTCTCGGTGTCTATTTATCCTCCATTGTAATCTTTCATGCATCCAGGTGTACTATTACAACATTAAATGTTTCATGTAGGAAACAAACATCAAATTCGTTTTAAGCACAAACTTATTATTTTTGAAATCTCTTAATTCAATACTAATACTTATTTTTTCGTATGTACTTAACAAATGATGTTTCTAGATACTCCACAGGACTTTTACAGTTTTTATCATTTTGATCTTTTCATTACCATGTTTTGGATATGAGAACAGTGTTCTGTGAGACACATTGTGTGCAGATGCGCGACGGGAGAATCGTGGCCAAACATCATGCTGGCATGCCTCAAACCTGCCAAGTGTGACAAGGCTGCCAACAAGCCGGCCAATGAGGAGTGTGGCAGCACACTTGCCTACGCGTACTTTGTCTCTTTTATATTCTTCTGTTCGTTTCTTGTAAGTAGCATTTGTTTGTTTTATTTTATTCGTATATTATAAAATATAACCATTATTATATGTCCACCAAGCTACTGTACCAGTACCTACTATTTCACGCATTTTAGTCAGGTAATTTAATTATTGTTTCCAGATGTTGAATTTATTCGTTGCCGTCATAATGGATAATTTCGATTACTTGACGAGGGACTCATCCATCCTCGGCGCTCATCATCTTGATGAATTTGTTAGGATATGGGCTGAATATGACCCAAACGCCACGTGAGTTCTTTTTCTTGTACATTACGTATTTAAAATATATTAAAAACGTTGTTGTGTTCGAACCTTATTATTTGTTTGAAATAATTTCAGGGGGAAAATCCATTATACAGAAATGTATGACATGTTAAAGAACATGGATCCACCTTTGGGGTTTGGCAACAAGTGTCCAAACAGATTAGCATATAAGAAGCTCATTAGAATGAATATGCCGTTAGATGAAGAGGGTAAAGTAAATTTTACCACAACGTTGTTTGCCTTAATTCGGGAAAACCTCAACATCAAGATGAGATCAGGTAATCATGAATTTAGGTATGGACTGTCAATTTCCCATTACAGCAATGAGTGTCATATGTATTTATATTACGAAATTTGTATTCCAGCCGAGGAAATGGACCAAGCAGATGAGGAATTAAGAGAAACGATAACTCACATATGGCCATTACAAGCAAAGAAGATGTTAGACTTGCTAGTACCTCGTACCGACGTACTCAATGCAGGGAAATTGACAGTGGGAAAGATCTACGCGGGCCTCCTCATCTTGGAGAGTTGGAGATCGACTAGGTTTGGCCAGACTGAACCACAGGGCGTTCAGGTACGTTAATTGGTGCTATTCGCACATGAAGTGATTTTTCTTCTTTGTGTTCAAGGTAACTTACAATTCAAATTCAAAATTATAAATATCGTAGGTTGCGTAGATCTATATGAAGCCAGAGTGAATCGTGTGGCTAATTTCCTTAATGTATCTTTGTAAATGTACAGTACCTGTAACTTTGAGCCAAATGTAAACATTAAGTGGTTAGGTAAATACACGTTTACAAGTAGTGTTTGTTGATGGCCCCTATAATTCCCCACATTAGATTATCTACAATTTGAAACATTAACTACTAGCTAGACTAGAATTGGTTGTGTTGTCTACCTGTGGATGTATTGTTGTGAACTTTCGACGAAACAAAAATCTTTGGATTCTATCGACATTGTGTCGTTACCAAATGGTAATAAAATAAAATCACTGATTGGCTACCTCATTAAGTTTTTGAGGGATGGGAATATACAACAATACAGAGTCACCTTAGTTGAAATCGACTCTAAAGAGTCGACTACATTGGTGGTTTACTTTTCAGGCATTCAGCGAGAATAGCCCTACGGCCAATCAGCCGGTAGTATTAAATATTTTACGGAACGAAACTTTGACTACTTTTTTCTTGCACTGTTCTAGATACTTTTTGTTTTATCGTGAATTTCTTATCGCATCATTTTTGAGTAATCAATTTATTCTTATAATATAACGCAAGAATGAAAGATGACTTTTTCGATGATTAAAAGAAGGACACGATGGTCAATTTAAAGAAATGTCCTTAAATTGATCACATAAAACAATAGTAGCTCAGTCATTTATTTAAAAAAAAAGAATAGATTTAGATTGAATGACGCACTTGAAGTATTAGATCGGGCAAATGTGTGCGTCTGGCACATGTTTGCCTGTCAAGTGATCGTCAGGGCTTCGTAAACCACAACTAGTGACCTGTCCTATAGTTGCAAAATATTCTTTGTAGCCAAGTATGTTTGTGTACAAGAGTTGTGTGGAACTGTCTCGTAGCCTAGTGACCTTGTTGTAGATTGTTTGTCTCCCCATTTGTGTCGTCCCTATTTCCCATTTCGCTCGCTCCTAGTACTTTTAGAACATAAGTAACAACTGTGCATTCGTTTTCCTTTGTGTTGTACCTACAATTGTTCCAATCAAGAAATTATGCATGGTGTTTCTATCAAACATGAATCTTAAATTTTATTCTTTGGTAGCTTTCCTGACTGTAATTTTTTTTTGTTATAACAATTACATTTTGGCTCAATTTATATACCATTTAGAAGCCTGATAAGATAATTCATAAAACAATCTCAATACCTACTATGCTTTCTCGCTACGCTCATGTTTGCCTTATATTGTAATTTCGTATTTAGAGCATCAGGATGTAAAATAAAAAAAAATCATTCAATCAAGTCTGCGCATGCTGGAGAACAACCTTTCACAAATGTGAATACAATTATTAAGAGTGATTTACCAACAATACGCTATCTTACAATCTGCCTCTGGCTTCACTGAAATTGCACATGGTTTTTATATAGCACTTATTTTATAAAATATAAGACGATGCTTTGTAATTTACAGCCCTCATACATAAACAATACCGTTCTACCAACATGTATTCGACGAACTGAACAATCTTAAACATTTTACAACTAACGTGTGATAGTTGTTTTCTCAGATTTTCGTAGCCGCAATCATTTTCACTCACACGTCAAAAAACATACATTACTCTGCATACAAATTTGTCCATTGATTGGAATTCTTATACTGTACTAAAACACACTGAACATGAAAGAACTCCAGCATGGACGTGATGACATGATGTATGGGATGTTTGCGCAAACTCATGTAGGCTTTAGCCGTTAGTGATTGCGTCCAGTGCCTGGACGTTGTGTGACATGAGCATGCGCAAGTGTGCGTTTGGGTTGCGTCATGTGGGTGGATGCATGGTGCAGAAGGCGTCCTTCTTTCACTGCCTGCTGGACGTGGCTGCGGGCATGAATACGGGCTCGCGCGCCGGCTCGCTGAGCCACGAGCCGGCCGCGGCCCCCGCCGATGGCCATACTCACCCAGAAGATCCTCACACGCTAGCCAATCTGGCCCGACGAAGTACCAGAAAATCACTCAAGTAAGTAGCTACTTACTCTCTTTTTATATCTCTACTTAAATATCAGAGTGATAATAGGTCGAATAGAATCAGAGAGAGCATTTTCTCCAAGCTCTAACCAGCACTGCAACTGCTTTGGTGTCGCTTACCACCAGTAGGGCTAGCATGACAGGAGCGAATTGCGCGAGAGCGACATACAACGCGAGATACCCTATGCGACTACGACAGTATCTCGCGCTTTAAGTCACTTTCGCGCGTCATGTCGTGCTAGCTCCGTCGTGCAGGCGCACGACTTTCTTGTTCTGTCTCTTGGTATCATAAAGTAGGGTAAAATAAAACAATTAATTAGTAAGGGGAAGTTTACTCAAATCAATGAAGGGCGGGTTTCGTTTACAACCCTATATGAAAGTAAAATTTTTGGAAAACAAAAAATATAGATTTCTCACAGATGATCTGTAAAGATCTGCAAAAAGCATTATAGAAAAAAATCGTTAGGTCCGCTCCTTGGCTTAGATGGCATAGTATCTGGCACGGTTTGCTGGAAGACGTTGGTTCAAATCCAGCCGAATCGAAGGAATGTTTTCTAAATGTTCGATCTTTGTAATTACAACAAACTAGTGAAGTAATTTCACAAAAATAACTCAATATCATAGTGCTCTTTGTGATGTTCAATAAACTCAAAAATTACAAACAAAAAATAATATATACCTTCTTTTGTTACAGGAACAACAAAAAGGTGATTACACTTACAAAACGGTGAACAGGTTAACCCGATCATTATTGTTGTTAAGCCCGACCAGCCGCTCATGATAGCTATTGTCAAGTGCCATCGATGTCCCCACAGTGCAAATTTCGTAGATAACAAAATTAAGCTACCAATTAAAGGTTAACCAGCGCTATTTGTTAAGTCTTGAGATGACCCTGTATTGTCTGTACCTTACCTGTAACCGACAGTACCCAATCCATACATCGATGCATTTCGTATAATAGATAGTTTGATGTTGTAATTTTATGTTGAAAACTTAGAGATCGGTGATTCAGTGTTTAATATAAACGATAGGCCGATGTTATGTTTGTCTTTTGATGTTTAGAATATAGCTCTTATAAATTAGGTGTAGGCATTATTATTGGTAATCAAAATTTAGGGGCTTAGACCCATTGAAGTATTTATATAACTAACAAGACAAAGATTGTGGTGTACCTGAAATAATAATGGTACGTTTTGAAGTTTACAGATGGTTGTTGAAATTTAGGTAAACATTTTCATTAACTTAGGATTGTTTCTTATTAAATTGTAGAATTTGTTTGTCCAAGAGAATTTATGTAATTTCTTTAAATAGTGGATGGATTTTATATATTTAGCATTAGGGATGGGTATTCCATGGTTAGACCTTTGACTTTAGACATAGCACCGTCACAATCAATACATAAAACATACCACATAACAGTCATAATATCCAACATGACACTAGAAACAATTATAATACAAATTCCTATATATACTGAATGCATGTAATAAACCGCAAGATATTATTTGTTTTAATGAGTAGCTAGCTTTGACACTTTAATAGGTAAGTATATAATGCATCGATAACGATAATGCACGAGCACGGTATGTTGCATGTGTTGCATATTAGATATGGCACTAATTGTGCATGCACTATTTCTATATAGTCTATATCAATTTTGTAAATATGGGACAGTAAGTTTAATCGGAACTAACTAGATTTTATTATTCTTCTTATTTCGGAAGTGTATTAAATATTTATCGGAAATGTATTTTAGGTGTTGGAGCTACAAGATGTTGGATCACATCATGCCTCAATGGAATCGATAGACGAAGGCCGATTGCAAGCCCCACATGCCTATCAAAATGGTCACCATGGGAGATCTTCTAGTTTAAGGTACCAATTTCGCGAAATAATTAGATTTATACATTAGATTAATTTATTTTTCGTTATATTTAGTTTCTGTTATTTCCTTTTTATTTTGTTTTTGTAGTGCCATCGAAGAAGAGATTGATCTCAAAGTTATCATAGTGACAACTGGTATGTTTACCATGCACGCGAAAGCCTTACTAATCGATTTTTTTTTTTATGAAATGGTTACTAAACCTAACAACAGCCTTACATCTATCTAACACAGTTGTTGTGGCCCTTTCGTGAATCGTTGCATGGTTCGTGGCATGATTTTGAAGTTGCAGATTTTGTGCAAAGTTTGTGACTTTAGTCGCGTGATTTATAGACGGACGCCGAGCCCAAGAAGGAGAGGGCACTACGGAGGTTACCACCACGACATCGGCTTCTCCGACACCGTCAGCAACGTCGTCGAGATTGTGAAACACGAACATCAGAGACACGGGCGAACGCATCGTGCGCCGCACCACTACCACCCGCATGGTAGGGCTCTTTTTTCACTCAAACATTGTAGTATTGCTAAGTTAACTCAGTCATTCCGAGAATATAATCGAGTTCAAACACTTTGTAACATGAAAATCTACCGATATTCTTCTATTTGTGTCAACGATTTTTAATAATATCGGCGGGTTTGCACCATATGCCTCTGTAACGCTACTGCAAATCAACATAATTTATTTTTGAGTTACAAAACTTTGAAATATTACTATCACATTTAATTTTCTTAGCTTTCAAGAGCTAAACGCCTTTAAAGTTATTATTAATTGATTATTATTATTATTATATATTATTTTCTTCCTGTAGTATATTTATTCATATGGAACATTTACGTAATATACCTACTCCGTTTTATTTAGCTTCAAACAATCGATTCCAAACAGTTTTGCAAACATTTTTCTTCTCATGAAGGTACTCTGAAAGTTTTGTGAGAAGATGGGACGTCTAGCTTAAACGTAGTTGTAGATATTCATGTTTTGTAGTTGTAGTTGTAAGACATTGAGTGAGCGAACGCAGCTGCGCTACAAATTATTAGGTCCATGAATTTAGAAAATATAGATTGTAAATCCTAGCTATACTTATCACTTTCACAAAGCTAGATTTGTAATCTCAACATCAGTAAGTAGCTGAAATTAGTTATAATTTAAATAAAAAGTGCTCATCCATACGCTCACGAATTGTTAAAATTGTTTAACACCATCAGGCCAAATTGTTTAACATTTTAGATGTAAGTACATCGACAATCGGCATTCAAACAGCCACGAACCAGAAATGTGACCGACATGATTCTTATTGGCCTTTGTGTAAATATATTCTGAACATCGCAGGGATCAGCAAGAAATAAAACGAATTAATTTGCCTGCTGCATGCTCGACTCGGCGCTCAGATGTAACGTCGTCGTTTCTCTTCTTGTTTGCACACAAACAGTTCGCTTTTTTTCATAGGCTCCTCCAGAAACTAAAGGTGCCTAGAGCGCATGCACTTCGAACGATCTCACTCTAAATCATGCAGCATGCAAAAGCTTAACAACTTTGTATTTTACTTTGCCAGTAGATGGCTGTAGTTAACAGAAAAATCTTGTTTATTGGCCATATAATGGATTAGCCATAGTCATTATTGTATCGGAATTCACTAGATATCTTGCAAAATGTAGTCATTGGACACAAAACTAAACTACTAATTTACCCCCTCCAAATCCGTGTCCAACCAACCTATACATATAAGAAACCACCTGACAGAAACCCAAAACTTTTAGAGTCACCTTTGTGAGCAAGGAAATAACGGTATAGAAGCGGGGTTAGGGGTAAAGTGGTGGAAGGTACATGAAGGTATTCCTGACAGCAGGGAAGGAGTGGAGGGCGCCGCACCCTACGACCAGCCTGAGCCAGCCCTCGCGGTCGCCCAGCCCGCCACACCACACCTACGGTGAGACTCGCTCGCCTAGTCGCCACACATACGGGACTCACACTCAGAGATCCGTTAGGTATAAGAGTACCAACTGCGACACACGACATGTAAACATCGATACGTCGTCGTCGCAGCAATTTTCTCGCGTTTCAGCGTCAATGTTGAATCAGCATTACGATTTTATCACGAAAAGGTTGTAGTGACTGTTTCTCCAAAGCAAACTCTACACACAACAAACTAATAACCAAACTTACTTATATATGACGAGCCCTATGTAAATAACACTAAACAACTAAGTCAAAAGATGTGACCTTATAAATTGTATAACTTCATTACAACTTTTAGGATACAACACGAATGACGCAAATTGGCGTATTGATTATGTAGCACACATAATACCTATATTTTGTAAAGCAAAGGGTCTGAATGAAAAATAAAGACAATTTAGCCTTTACGCAAAATTGACTTAGACCCTTTGCTCTCGTCGATGCGATGTCTAAAGCATTAGATATCAATTATATATGATGTTCCGGCTTTGCACGCATGTAGACGAATGAAAGAGAAGCGTGAAAATAAAGTATGACGGACATAGGTATAAGAAAATTGTTTGCACATCTGTTCATTAACCCGTACAAATATGGTTTGATTACGATTATCCCCGTTAATTTTCTTGCTTTTGAATCCACTTTATTTCCGAACCCTACTCGTTGTGCAGTGTAGTCGCATCTGGTGGGAGAGTAGAGCGTCCAAATTATTCAAAGAGCAGTTTGGGCCCCGATAGGTGGTGGTGAACGAGAGCGATCGCGCGAGTGGGATCGGGAGCGCGAGTGGCGGGAGTGGCGCGAACGATCGTGGGAGCGGGAAGGCGCGCGGCGCGGCCGCGGCCGCCAGCTGCCGCCCACGCCCACCAAGCCGTCCACGTTACAAGTTAAACAGCAGCCACCCTTCACCAGGATCAGCCACAGTCCCTCGCATGTGAGTCTTAACACTGTTCGTGAAATTTCGCCATCTGTAGGGCTAGCACGACAGGGCGCGACTTGCGCGATGGCGACGTAAAGCGCGGGATACTGCTATTCTCGCATAGAGATCTCGCGCTTTATGTCGCTCTCACACATCTCGCGCACTGTCGTGCTAGCCCTAATGTTGTACTTCAAATAATGTGTATTAAGAAATAATTTCATGTCTTTTTTAGCCGTTACTATCCCATTGCAGGGCAAAGGCATCCCTTCCCTTCCCTTCCTTCACTCATTGCGATTTAATGCTGCTTCAGATGGTCTCCTCTCGTTCTCCGTCCGACATTCGTCCGAAACCAGACCGAAGACGCATTTTGGTCGAGCGTTACTTATTTGACAGTAGCTTCTAGCTCAACAAAAATAATATTAATCGAAAATCTAATGGGAGCCTTCGTTACGTTTTACAGTTGTCGTTAAGGCATACGGTGCGAGAGCCCGTAGAACCTCTTCACGACGAGTACGAGTACGGCCGAGAAGTTGAAAGACTGATACACCGAGACTATAGATCTAGAGAAAGGTAATAAATATTCCGGATTTCAAAAATGTTATAGATAAATATACACAAGTATATGAGTCGTAATTTTAATGACATCAATATATTCGTTGATTGGCACCCTAACTAATACTATTAGCTTTCTTTTACATTAAAAGGAAAATTGTTTAAAGTTAGCTCCGGGGCGGCCGAACTAATCGCGTGTGTTTACGATTCGCGGTGCAGACGCGGCAGAGGCTACGAGTCGGAGCGAGGCGGCGGGCGGTACGAGGCGCCGCTGAGCTACGAGGCGGCGCTGGCGCTGGGCCGCGGCGGCGGGGCGCGCGCGCTGCCGTCGCCGCTGCCCGCGCCGCGGCTGGCCAACGGCTACAAGCCGCGCGCGCGCCACTCGGACTCGGACGAGGACGACTGGTGCTAGCGGCGCCGCCGCGCGCGCTCCCAGCGGGACGTGCGCGCGCCCGCCGGCCCCGGCCGCGCCGCCCACGCGCACACCTTCTGAGCGCGTCGCGACTCGCGCCTGCGCCCGAACGGTCTCGTTTTATATCGGCGAACGTGTGTACATAGACGACTCTCGTTGCTCAGGATTTTGGACGTCCCTCCCGGAGGCGGCGCGCCCCGGCCGCCGCCGCCCTCGCCGGTAGCCTCCGCGAGCTATGTCCAAATTCTAGTATTTACAAAGTTTTGGAAAATTTAATTTTTAATTCGCTAAAATTTTACTCTTTGATTTATATAACGGTTAAGGTAATCGAAGTATGAAACAGTGCCAGACAACTCGTTTGCGCTAGGATTTTTACATAAATGAAATTATTAGTCTGTATTGTAAAAGTAAACTTTCTATATTAAATTTGCACTACATAAAGTACGTTATTTATATCGCCTCCTGAAACGGCGCGGGCCGCGGCCCCGAGCGTCCGGGCCGGCGTAGTGTAGTTGGCCGGCTCGGAGCCGCAATGCGTCTTGTGACTGTAGTATGTACGTGTTGTGTGACCCTCCCCGTGAACCGCAGCCGCGGCGGCGCCGGCGCCGGCGGCCGGGCCGCGCTCGCCGCCGTTTCACGTTCAAGTTAGACGTCGTTGGGAGAAACACTAGCAATTCATCGTCAGACAAATTAATACTAGTATTGTATAAAATATTTACATAGCAAATAATTTTTACTTAGTTAATATTATAAATAATTAAACATTTTTTTATTGAATTTGCTGTCCTTCCCCCAAGTGCTTTATACCTACGTTATTTAAATTTAATACAATTAAAACTAATAAATATGAATCGTATGTAAACTTTGAAAATATATTTCTGCATTAAATTATTACCTAAATTGTTAAATCGTGTACTGATATTGTTTAAAAAAAATGTTGTCGCCTGGTTTACTAATAAGACCTTTGCAGAGGGTCACGGGTTTGTTGCAAGTCCGTGCTGCATTAACTATATCCGGAACTGCGTGTTCCGGGTGACATCGTAAGTAGACTGTACGGGATTTTGTGATAAAAATTGCAACGAGTCCGAGCCCACTGTACAAAATGAAGTTGGTAGTGTTTCATGGTCTTTTTTTCTTACTCATAATAAAATTGAAATTCACGATAATCTCTTTACGCAACCACCCATTGCTTTACTGCTAATACTTCTCATATACATACATATTTCATGCATTACTAGATATTTAAGAAAAAAATGTACAAGTGATACCAAGATCATCATTAATTAATCATCGCAGTAACAAGCATTATTTACTACACGTACAAATTTACTTCCAGTTTTAGAAGAAAATGCGTCTGTGGTCATTTTATTACTCTAAAATAATGGGTGGTTTAAATGCAGAGAATTTTTAATAATGTCTTTGATAGTAAAACTACCAGGCACAAAATGTTTTAACTATACATTCAAGAGCAAAATTGGATGACTTCGTTTTAATAATATATCAAATGAACTAATTCAAAATCAGTTCAAATGTGTTCAGCCCATAGATAATTGATACTGGTGAACCAATTTTGTTGTGAATGTAATTTAATCATACATTTACAAATGTAAATTCGTCTGTCGTCCTTCATTCGGTACGTTCATTTTCATTCGTAGTCACTGTTAGTAAGTGATTCTGATCGATTATTGTACTAAGGATTTCTTGTTATTAATTTCACATAAACCATAGTGAGATTATCTTGCGTTCAAGGAGAACCTGAACACAGCGAATAAACGAATAGCATACAGTATTCTACATTTGATACAATATTCGTGATTATATGAATACTAGAATAGGTTCTAAAGGGTCAATCAGGGTATTGGCAAGTAGCGAATATCAAGTATTTTTCATTAGCATTAAAATTAAACATATATTTCGTTGAGAAAATATACATAGCTGCAGGCATACAGAAATCAGAAGTTTGCAAGAAACGGCCATACTTGTTCGTGACGTCACGCCAATTACGCGTCATACAAGATATAATATACTAATGACCGTTTTGCTAACAAGTAATGGAACATCCTCCCCATCATTTACTTTAACCTCTGGTGTCAGAGGCGATAAAGAGAAAGTTAATCTCGAAATTATTTTTTTGATTGACGCAATTGTATTTTTTTGTCAAATCGTCAGTTTAAAGCTAAAACTCACTTACAAGCCAAATCGACTAATGACTATCTTGCAATTTACTGTTATGTATTCATGTATTCAAACTTGAATAGAAATATTAAAATTTTGCGTTTTACCTGCAAAGGGATTAATGTTATTGTATGTACCTGCAGACTTTTTTCAAAATGCATTTTTAAAATAAAACAAGTTTCGCAGTCACTAAATTTTTGTTATCGTAGATCTTCATCCCAATTATTCAAAAAATGAAAAAAAAAAATTGATCAAAACGGGAGTTATTGAGTTTACCTTTTAACCGACGAAATACAAGCGTAATACCAAAGCATAAATTTGAAACGCGCCTTGAAAATCCAGATTTATAAAGTGCGTCTCAGAGGTAATACTTCTGTTTACGGTTACCCTGCTTGACCATAGGTACATTTTAAATAGTGCAATAGTTCTATTGCAATGAATAATAAGTAATATTCATTGGTACTTCGAAAAACAGCGTACAGTATAATAGTCGTAATCAGAATGCTATACTTTTCAACCATCAAAACATTGTTGTGCGGCATGCTGTAGGTTACGTACGACACTTTAGTACGACAAAATTTGTAAATACATAATTTTCTGTGATAAGATGTGAAAAATGAGAATATTATTAGAACTGTGTGATTGCACAGGGAATTTCTTCTGTTCTGTTTGAGTCGCTGGTTGGGTACATAGGATACTTTATATACTATTGCCATTATGTACATTCATTCTACCGAAAATTAATTCGACATAATTGCTACAAATTTTGCTTAGCAAATCGTTGTGCCCAAGTCACGAGAAGCGTTTTAGCTGCCATATGTAAAAAAATTTAACGACGTTATTGAATTACAAGCATTAGTATTCATTATAAGCGACGAAACTTTTTGTAACTGTAACTCCAAATAGGAGATCTAGAGAAGCTACGAATTCTATTCTAAATAATCAACCAGTGACTGCCGTTCCCTGTAGTCGAATCGGGTATTACTCCTCTCATATTAAATTTGGATTGTTGTTGTTCGCTGCGCAAGGCAGGAGCGATTGTCTAGCTTAAGTGCGTTTCTTTTTTATATTTTACCTCTGTTATAGATAGTATTTAGTACAAAGTATCTGTGTTGATGCTAGATTACGAGTGTTGAAATACTAGACGACAGTTTCTATAGTTTCATTGCGAAATATGGACTATTCAAATACTTGTATATTTAAAGTTTTTATCGCGTTGCAGACACTTAGTAAATGATTATTAGGAAATTTACCAATTTTTCAAATTTTATAGGAGGCACTGAAAATATGAAAATTGCTGTCTAGAAGAGTATTTCTGCGATGTTGTCAATATGATTGCATATTTTATTTCGTTGAGCATTAAATTCGTCTCCTGTAATGTTTGTTTCACGTTACTGGTGTAAGGGAGCCGATCATTTCGGCTAATGATATTATTAATATTATGATTACTATGCTAGCTAGAATTAAACCGTTGTTTTAAAGCGTTCCCACAAATATATCTTGTTGTCCTTCATCTCCAAGTATTAGATTAACTTCTGTGTAGATTTATTGTTTATCGAAACTGACTCATGAAGAATATTTATATTGTTATTGTATAGATGTATGGATAATTTCGTTCTGTCATTTGTAATTGGGGTGTTAGGATGATACAATAAGCCGATGGACTTTCGATGGCTGAGTGGTTAGCGATACAAAGTGAGTCCCGCTTTGGTGTATGTGATTCCCTCGTTTACGAAGTCTCACTAACATACGTGTTTAAGAAAAGTGTAAATATTGTAAAATATAACGCGATCGTTGTGTAGAGGTCGCATGTGAAAATGTCTAGTGGTATGTTACTAGTTAATCTTAATGTTAGCTAGGTAATCTCGTCCCCAACTGTCCTTGAATTTAAGTTGGGTGTTTCACTGCCTTAAAATAATATTGAGAATGTACGATGTAATAGTTACCTTAACTACTGCAGATAAGCGGCATTTCGATTATTCTTATACATTTTTTATCATTCGAATACATACACTGTAATTACGCAACGTCACCACGTAAACGATTTGGTTGTTAGTTTGGAACATTAAAACAAAAGACGATTATGAGAGATCGAATGATGGATAGTCGATAATTATTATCGCAAACAGCAGCATTGTAATGAAATTGTTGATTAAATAATAAATAAATAGTAATAACTGGCCTGCGTTAGTTCCTACATTTAGAGTAGACCAACAACTCCAGTCACCGAAGACATTAATGACAGCAGAGGAGTTATTGACGTGTTAAAATAACACCACTTGATAACAGCTAAAGGAAGCGAGCTAACCAGGCAAGTCTACTACGACCATGCCTGCCTTGTATCTGCTTAATCGCTTCATGACAATCACATTTTATATTTAACGTTAAATTATTACTGTATATTTAGCATAGAAAGTTCATCGGCGTCGCGAGAGCACCATAGTATGTTTTTGGTATGTTCCAATAACTTTACAGGATAGTGCAATCCTATTGATATTGTATTAATAAAGAACCAAACTTAAAATTAGTATTTAAGTAATTTATTATCCTAAAACTAAAAACTATACGCATGTTTTCACTATACTGGTAAAATGGTTATGTACAATACGAAAGAGCTACTGTTTTATATATGAATTCTTGCTCGCCTGTAAAATTTTGCAGAATGAATCATATTATAAGATTGTACAATATGAATAAATGCAAAAAAGAAATTTCCTCGATACAGTGTATTAATTTCAATTTGCCAATTTCGAATTACCCATAATAATTTCAATTTGCCGATTTTCGCTTCTTGCCCGTTGACCTGTCTGGTTCACCTCGGTAGATCACGAGCAATTGTCTTCCCGTAGTTCACATATCGCACTGCTATTACAAAAGTGTCGTAACTCAAAATATGTAAAATTTAATATTATGTCACTACTGAACGTCATATTTGATTGTCTTCACGTCAAAAAAACCGTCGTTAGAATATTGTAAGAAATAATCAAAAAATATCTACTTAATTCAAAATGAGACACACTTTATGTGAGCTAGTTCTGGCCAAAATAATCCTTATTAAAAAATATTAAATTATTTTTTCCATATCATTTTTAAATATATTTGAAAAATTGTTTAAGTGTCTATAATAAACTATAACATACATAAATTTTTATGTTTTTTTTTCGGGAAGTAATTCGTTTTTCATCGATTCTGAGAAAGTCCAATTTTTGAGTTGAGACACTACTGTATTAACAGTGCGATATGTCCACCTGGGTAGACCACATTACGAACTTCCCATAATTATTAAAATCGTGTTCTGACAGTGTAGCGTGAATTAGAACTTTATTTTGATCCAAGAATAGTGGTCTATGTCAAAACAGGGATTTTTTTATACAACTGTATTCACATACCGCATCAATAGAGCTCCTTGTGAAAGAGCTTACTACACGGCTATTTCGGTAATTCGCCAAGCAGTAATTTGAGCATTACTGTGTTTTGGTTTTGGGTCAAAGTGCTGTTGAAATTACAGGCACATGAGACTCTTCAACTTGTCTCTGGATGACGGGCTCAGTGGTAATACCCCACAAACCTTCGATTTAAAGCTTTAAGCGGCAATGCAACTGTTATTAACGCGAGTCTTGCCACTAAGTGCACGTCTTATTCGTTCCGTCACTAAGTAATAAGTAATTAGTAGTAGTAGTAGTAGTAGTAGTAGTAGTTTTCTATTGGTTAAAAGTGACAACATTGGGCAATGCCAATACTGGAGGTGTTTTAAACATGCAAAAAAATCTGGATTTATGTAATCGCTTAAACTTTGCTATCTGTTCTATATCATTATATTCTATTTAATTACATATTTATTCATTGTTTAATATCAACAACAACATGTCAACTTAACTTATCAGTTATTCGTTGAACTATTATTTAAATAATTGGAAAGTTAAACTAAGAAGATGAATTTCATCCAATAACTTGCAACTTTTCAAAAATTGTATCTAGTTAAACTAATTCGAATATTTGTGTCAGACTAGTTCAGCTGATTGAACTTAGTGGAATAAACGAACCGGTGTAGCATTTCGAAGCCTTACTTTCTCATAGTATCTTATAATGATCATTCAGGAGATGGAAAAACTGTCTATTTATTTTAAATTTCTTATCACAGGTGTTAATTTGGACGCATTACTTTAAGAAAAAAAGCCAGTGTGTAAATATGAAGAAAATGTGATGTGAAATTAGCCTGCAAAATTTGTATATATACAATCCATTTTTTGCATTCTAGTAACTTTGTGCTTTAAAATGCGAGTTTGAGAAAGCAAGGCGACGATTCCTCAGCTTTCGATACAGCTTCAGCTTTTTTTAATCACCTCACTATTCAGGAAAGCCATCTATTTCAATTTCCATAAGACATTTAATACTTCCATTAGTTATCTGTTTCAACAAACAAAAATCAATAAATAAAATAAAATTACTGAAGGTTAAATGTTAAGAAAACATAATAATTTATTCAGAACGAACACATTTACACCAACTTTGCAAAGCCAGAACTTTTCACTTCAAATCCGGTAGACGTCACAAGACCGAATGAGTACGATTTTAAACCAAAAAATGGTTTCAATTGTGTCAGTGGAGTCAGTTATCCGAGGAGTCGGGGGCATCGGTGTCCAATGAGGAGACGTCAGCTTCTCCGTCGCTCACCGCCAGTACAGGATTGATGATTATCCTTGTATGACGACTAGTACTCAACATTTCATTATCAGCACCGGTATTTCGGGGCAGGTCTGCCAGAATAAAAAATAATGCGATATAAACCTGTGATCTAACTGGTTTATGATTAAAAAAAACACACCGTATAATTTATAATAATCTGGTCTCCTTATCATAAATAACGTTATCAACATTTTTAGCGAAATTTAGTTATTAACATATCTGGAACATATTCTACAATAACCTGCAAGCAGCTTTTTTATATCTTGTTTAGATTCAATGTTATTGATAATCAAGAGCTACGCCATTGACATTTTTCAGAGAAAAAACTTTAACTACGCGTACACATTAATATATTATAAAAGCATATTCTTTGGGCTGGTACTGTTGCGTCCAGCGTCCATTGGTGACTACACTGACAATTCGATATTAGACTGACTTTCTTTTGGACAAAAGACGACGACCGACCTACCTTTCTTTTGACAAAGGACGATGACGGCAGTCCTGACTAAACCTCCGACGCGAGCAGACAACGTCTCGTGACTGAATTGTATAGTGACACCGTACTTGCTTATGTATTGTCTTCTATGTTTTCACAAATAAATGTATTAGGTCAGTGCTAATATTTCGAAAGTTACCAAAATGCTAATGCGTTAGCTTTGAACTTATGACAAAGAGGTCAGTAATGTTTATAACAGAAATAATAGCTTTATCATACTTCCGCAAGAATGGATATGCAAGTGCTGAAAGCGACCAGATGGTTCGGCCAGCGGGAGCGGGTGTTTATTAATCACAATATGATAAGCAGCGATATATATGCTCTAAATCAGCGGTGTACAGAAAAATGTATAAGGTTTACGCGACACTGCTTTATGAATTTTTACTTATTATAAGTAATGTATGTTATGAATAAAAAATTAGGATGCATTTTTTTAATTCGTGCAAAGAATTAAGCGTGAAACCTGTGTTTTTTTGGACGACAACACACCGAGTGCGGGCGCGAGACGGGCGCATAAATACTTGGAATTAGACCCGCCGCGTTCCCGACACGACACGCGCCCGACCCGCCCCCGCTCTCTGTGTGTTTCACGCTTTAATATTTTACATCACCTCATAAAATAAATGCAACTAAAACGTAAATTACCTATAAGAAGAATTCCATATCTCTCATGTGCAGAAATATAATAAAATATTTGTTACAATTATGCCAAATGTTATTAAAGTTGATTTTCCATTCGTTACTAGAATCTGGTAGACCTAAAACTGCAAATACGACGGTAATAAAAGTTGAAGTTTCACTTGCACCGCACCCCATCATACTCGTAAGTACCTACCCGCGCTATAATCAAGCATGAAGCAATAGTATGATTTCACTCTACCGACTTAACTTTAAATTGCGCTTTTCGTCTTTTTTTTATCAAAATGACTGCCACTCGTATGTAAATCGATAGTAGTATCTGACAAGTAATCCTATGCGAAAAATGCGAAGTTTTGCCCGTCAAAGAAGATTCAAACCCTTAGGAAACCTTAGTTAGGCATGACCAAAACACTCTACTTAGAGACGACCTGTGCCCAGAAATGGGATGTATGACGGTTGAGGACAGACGATGACGATAAAGGTTGTTTTCAAAGTTGCAATGATTGGTTCATGTAATTATAACGGCTATTTATTCCCCCGGTGACACGAATCTACTTTACAAACTATGTTTTACAGTTTACGATAGTGGGATTCATGCCTAAGAACCCCAAATTCAAACCTAAGTCCCAATTCATGCCTAACAATCCCTAATTGCTTGTACTATCAATTCAAACCCTGTACAGGTTTGAATTGATAGTACAAGCAATTTGGGATTTAAAAAATTAAAACACATTACTTTCAGGCCTAGAACCATCAAGAGGAAGCATAAGAGTGTTCACTCCAGCCGAACTGCCAATCGAGTCGTGTTCAAATTGCGCCGTGAAAGCGGATGGATCGATGAGGATTGCCTGTTACAGAAAGTTACTTATTCACAATCTAATTTCATCGAACTTAAGTAGGTTTCAATTGGTGTTTAAAAAATTTAATTAAAAAATTTAATTTAATTTTTTTTAAATTATAAGATCGGGCCCATTGACATGTAGGGTAATGCGATAATTCCCAATACTGACCTCGCTCTGCTGACCTGATGACGTGTCGCTGGAGCTCAGCGAAGTGCCCCGACCGGAGCTGTCCTGCGAATTGTCGCTGTGCATGCCGCGCCCGTCTCCCGCGCCTGCTCCTGCACCTACGCCCATACCTGGCTCGGGTACGTTGCCGTTCAAATCGTACATAGGTTCAGTATGCGCAGGCGCAGGCAATGGACCATTTATCGGCTGATCTTCCTCGATGTCCATCTAATAATATCACAAATGCAACTTCCTGAAGAATGTCTTGATAAATAAACAATACTTCCGTAGCGATAGTGCTTACAGAAAATTGTTGGTTAATAATGTTGAACAGCCAGTTTGGAACCACCGCGTCTTCGTCTATTATACAGGACTCATAGCTTTCAGATGACCTGCCCGATATGAATAATTCTTCGGACGTCTGAAAAAGGAATAGAAATTTCAAAATTAATGGCAGTAACATAATGAAATAAATGGGACCTTTGCAAAACGACCTCCTTTCATTAGTACTTACAGCTCGTCTAGTAAGAGATTTCAAGATGCTACCGGTTTCCGAATCAACTGTGTTTATCGGATCAGGACGCTGACTGATGCTGGCACTGTACGTTTCGCATGACTTGATAATCCTCTATGGTGAGAAGAATTTGTCAAAATCGTTACGTCATACTTAACAAAATTAGATACCTTTCAAGATACTTACGGTTCTGGTAACCGATGTACCACTGCCCGTCTCAGAATCAACGATATTAACCGGGTCAGGTTTCTGACAGATTGAGATGACAGAATCAGCAAACTTGGCAAAACATCCGGAGGCCTGAATGCCGAGAACCCCATCAGGATTCAATTATCAGCTCCATAAGGATATTTTATTAACAGATCATACGTCACTTACAGCTTGTCTGGCAACGTCCACAGCAAAGCTACCGACATCGGAGTCTACAAAGTTCACGTAGTCAGGCTGGTCGCCAGAGACGGGTTCTGCATCTATTGAGAAACCACTAAACGCTTGGACAGCAAGCATTCCAGCTGGTTTCTGAAGGCAGAAAATTTCAATTAATTCACGACAGAAATGCCTTTGTGTTGTATTTGTATTATCTACAGACGAGAAATATATTAGTAAGAAACTCACTGGTGAGATATATTCTTTTCTCTCAAATATGTCTCGAACTGAGCTGATGGTAAGAATGTCAGGTGGCATGTTCTCGGATTTCTTACTATCATCTGTTAGAAAATACTCAGATAATTTAGAAGCAGAAGTAGAAGATTTAAATGAAACTAAATCGTAATCTGTTTGGTAATCAATGCTCATCGGTGAAGGAATATCTTGTGCGGATTCAAAAGTGCTGTTAAAAGCAATATCTGTGATATTTTGTGTTTCTATATAATCAATTTTATCGTCTTTTGTAATCACTGTTTGAAAACTTTTTAGGGAAGAAGTCTCATCTAGTTCTTGTTCGATACCATCTTCGTGTATTTGTGCATCCATGTTTGTTAATTCATTTATATCTAGCGGGGCTGTAATGAAATCTAATCGATCTTCTACAATCTGTTTCATTGTCGCTAATATGGTGCTCTCAGTGCTATCTATGTCAAGTTCACTACTACTTCCTTTAGCCAACCATTCGGCTAGTAATGTATTGTCTACTACGTTAACAATAGCACTATCGTTATCTGTTGCTGTATGTTGCGAGGCATTTGACTCCAGTTTTTCCAAAGGACCTACTACGAAAACAACATTTGACGGATCGCCTTGATTTTCATTTGCTCCTTTCATAAAAGAGTCTCTAACGACAGACTTTTTCATCATGATTGATGAATTTTCGTACTTTTTTCTTTCGTCGCTGCCGGCGACTGTTGGAATGAATGATTTATTAGGTATTTGGTGCTTACTGTTCAATGTAAGTGCACTTTCATTAGCAACCTGTGCTAAGTATATATTTTTACTTCTTCCCATAAATGAATTTTTCACATTTTGTACATTGTCACTAATTTTACATTTCAAAGATGATTCAGCAACGTTCTCCTTATTGCTTTTATCTTCAGAATATTTTCCACTTTTATATCGCTTGTATTTTCTGTTCCGCACGGGTGAGATGGGGTCAGTGTCACTATTACTTACACTACTTTTGTTTGAAGAAGGAGAATGTCCACAATGTTTCCTGGCAGATAGTTTAGTACGTGCTTCTGTTACCGTAGCAATACTATCCGGTGTAGAACATGTTGAACTGTTCTGTGATAGTGGACTAGAGGACCGTCTATTTATGATTCTCTTCCTACTTGTACCTTCACTTTTATTTGCATTGTCTATAGGGTCATTGTTACTGGTATTCTTGTGGTTATTTTCTAACTCATTTCGAAACACTACGTAAGTTAAATTTTCACGGATTTCATGACTCATTCTTATTAATTCCATTCCGATTTCTGTTTTTGACCTTCTTATTAGAGATGTGGCTTTTCTAGAGTTTCCCTCATTGCCTCTGATAACAGTTTCAATTGCACCAAAACTTTGGTTTAAATTACTCTTCTCCATAGTACAGTATTTCTTTGTATGCATGGGTGCAAGATGTTTTTTAGGGTCCTTATTTATCGTTGATCCTCTTCCAAAGGCAATGTGATTTTTAGGCGGTTGCTTGGAAAGTCGTTTCGAGCTGTATGCATTTCTCGTACTTTTAGATGTAATTGAACTGAAAATGACAATATGTTGAAATTCAAAACAGGTATAATTGAAACATGTAAATGAATAATATTCACGGACAGTAAACGGAATTTTTGTCAAGTCAAACTAGTCAAGTTCATAAATCAGGTTCGTACTTACTTTACTGCAATTTTAGACGATACCTGCAACAAACAGAAAATACAAAAATGCACATTAGTACACAAATTAAACAACTGCGGCAATAACTTGTTATGTAAAGACATCTAAATAAAAAATATAAATATACCTATATAAATATACCTACTTACTTTGTTATAGTTATTAATACAAATATCGAACACAAAAATTCCTTCGATCCGGCCGGTTTCGTACCGACGTATTCTAGCATATCGTGCCAGACGCTATACCAACTAAGCCACGGAACGAACCAGCGGACTTCACGAATTTTTCTGTGCTTGTTTAAAATTCAAAAATACAGTAAATAGCGACATATCTCGCCAGGGCTGGTAGCTGCAAAGGTATCGAACAGGGTGACAAAACTTTCATAGATTTCTCATAGATGGCGCTACGACTAAAAAGTCGTTGAAAAACCAAATACAAAGACACGACAACAAGCACATAGAAAAATTCGTGAGGTCCGCTGGTTCATTCCGTGGCTTAGTTAGTATAGCGTCTGACACGGTATGCTAGAAGACGTCGTCGGTTTGAATCCGGCCGGATCGAAGGAATTTTTTCTGAGTGTTCGATGTTTGTATTAATAATTATAACAAACTAGTGGAGTAATTTCACAAAATAATTAAATATCAATTCAATAATAAATATACCTACTTACTTTCAAAACGTTTTTATTTCTTATTGTTCGAACTTGGTTTTTAGGAAGTTCGTTTCTCTTCAATTGTTCAGTTTTGCTTCCAGTCTCTTGTTTACTCTTCAATGCCCTATTTCGTACTTGAGCGGGCTTCTTTATCTCGGTTTTAACTTCGAGCTTTTGTGCGTTTTTTTTCAAGCATGGTTTATCGGTAGGAGCTATTCTCTTGCTTTTGTTACTTATTTCAGTGAAATTTCTCGTTGGACTTGGATTCATCGGAGTCTTATTTTGTTTTTGTCGTGACTTTGGATTAGGTTGCTGCCATTCTCCTTGAAAAACTATATCTTCTGAAACTTGCTTTTCTTTATAGCTATGAATCTGTACACCTCCACAACTTAACTTACTCTTTAACAATTTAGATGGCGATAATTTTTGGTCCACCATAACTTCACTGCTTAATATTCCTTTAGATTGTGAGGCACTGGTATTTATTGAAGAATCAGTGAAATACAAATTACGTTGTGGGTAACTGCAACAATAGTTCTCGTAGAATTCAGACCCGGAATGTGTTAATTTACTTTCTGTCATTGAAGGTGGGTGTTTTAGAAAAGGCGTATGAAAGTCCGATAGCTCAATTCGAGTAGAAGACCATTCGACGCATTTTGTAATGTTGCCATCGTCGCCCTTAACTTTAAATCCAAAAGATATATTAACTGGAGAAGGAGATCTACATCGCATATCAATTTTATGATCGGTCATGGTGGGGAAAATATAATCTGCGCCAATCAAATAATCAGTGGATTTAATGCCTTTAGTGAATTTAACATTAGGCATTTCATTATAATATGTTGGATTTTCAGAAGTAGAGGACGAATCAATTTTTATTTTGAAATTCGTCTGCGAACATCCATTTTCAATATTTGTAACATTCTTTTTTGATACAACATTTTCAGTAATGATGTCGTCGTTATTATCAGTATTGTCGCCAGAGTCCAGTACGCCATTTGTATTTGTTTGGATCAAAGAATCAGTTGTACTGGCGACATCTACAACATAAAGGGTATTTTAAGCCATATTTTACTATACGAGTACATAGTGTAAAGTGACAAAGACATTATCAAAAATGCACCAATGCATATTATGACATACCATGCTCAAATGTGGATTCCATTTGCGCTTCATTATATTCAGGAGACTTATATTCCGTATTTGCAGTTTTATATTGTTCAATAGCATTGTTTGTTACCGTTCCGAAGTCAAAATGTTGTCCCGTATATATGTCCGTATAAGAATCCGTAACTGTAATTCCTTTTGTGCATTTTGATGGAGACTCTGTACATATACTCATTGGTTGACTAATGTCTTTAAGTTCATCCGTAGACGTACCAGAATTACAAATCTTTCTTAAATCGGACACAGAATCCCTAATTTTAATCCCAACTGAATGCCTAGTTGGAGATCTAAATGTCGGATATGACGACAGTTTTTCATAATTATCATCATTAGTGCAAGTACCAAAATCGGAACTCATCACTGTCATGTCCGTAAACGAATCTTCAATCTTGATACCTTTTAAGTTACGATTTGCTGTACGAATTCTCAAAGATGTTGGTCCAAAGTTCTGTACTATGTTGCTTGTAGCAGCAGAATTGTCTGTGTGATTTACCTTTTTCATGTTTATATTCGTTAAAGAGTCGTCGATTTTGATACATGTTCCAAACATTTGAGTTGGTCTTGTTAAAGATGAAACTGGAGAAAGACTTGGATAAAGAGTTGTCGCATCTGTACAACACTGAACATCCATACTAACATGACGGATTCCTTTTGATGTACTTGGCTCATTGATATCTGAAAAGAAATGGTCATGTAAAAAATATATTTGGCTACTTGAGTTTTTAACGATTGTTTTTAATAAAAACAACGATATACCATAAAGAAATATAGTTTGTGAATGTACATTTTCCGTTTTAACTTGTAACTCACTATCCAGTGCGACATCTTTCACTTCGTTGTCAATTTTTTTATTCAATTGACTTATAGAGTCGGCGTCTGTACCAATGGATCGACGTAATGCTATAGTTTCCTCCATGTCATCCATTACTATGTCTATTAATACACTTTCCTCGGTTGCGGCAATGTCGCTACTCAAATTATTCACAGCATCAATACGCTCTTTTCTCCTTTTCACCTTTGTAGGTTGGTGAAAATTTGAATTTGCTTGAATTTTAAGATCTGGATGACACAATGCAACGAAACTTCCTGGAATCTGGAAGGTATTTGTTCATTAAATTTACTCGAGAGAAATGTCGTATAATGTTTATTATCCTTACCGGTTTCGAAGAAGTGGATTGCAAATTCGTATGTTCCCTTATTTTCTTTTTCGTTTTAAGTCCGTAGTTTCCGAAATAGGAAGTAGCAATTCTCTTTTTGTAGTTTCTAACAAAACTATAAGATATATTTTTAAGATTATTTTTGCTACGTTTCATTTTGCTTTTGTTCTCATGCTTGGTCTCGGCGCTGTGAGATCGTCTATAAGGCTTTTTATCTTCTTGTATTCTCAAACTAGTATTAGGTATTTTGTTAATCTTCTTGAATTGCCTAATCTCACTATTATATGTGTAATCCAACGGCGATATAAAAGTACGTAAGTTATGCTCATGATATGGCACTACTTCCAAATTATCTTTCTCTATCCATGCCCGATTTTTGCTAGAATCGTCTTCCGACATCCTTTCCGTGGATTCGAAATTGTGATCGAGAGTTTGCGAAAAGTTCATATCGCTAAATTCAAAGTCTAAAATAAAACTGGAATTAGTTTACGAATGACTGCGATTTTTTTGGTCGAATTACTAAAAACTGCACCTTTTATCGTTGCGTTACTAGCAATGTCTCTAGTCAAAACGTCATCATCGTATCTGTATTTAAAAGTGTTGTAGTCATCAATATTGTCTACAACAAAAATAGAGATGATTAATTCACAGCAGTGACACGAAGGAAAAACACAATAAATAATACCTAAATAGGTTTAACTACATAATATATTATTAAGCTATTACCCCAACCCGCATTAGGCTAACATAGCGGACTATGGCCTAAACACTACATAAAAGGTCATGTGGTTCGGACCTAAACGCACATTTATACCAAATATAAGTCACACGCATGAGTTAAAAAAGAGACTCAAATATCCAAAAAAAAGAAACTTACCAGATTCAAGAATGTGAATATATTTAGCGACGATCTTCTTTCTGAAATGATGTTAAGAAATTATACTATCTCAGAAACTATTTCCTTGCTTTACATAGAACATAGAAATTTGTCGCTTGCCATAATATGTATGTGTATCGACCCAAGACCGTCGATTTTTCGTAAGCGATTGCGGAAGCGAGATTTTTACCTAAACAGCGTTTTTTTTTATTGCAAATGATGTTTTAAACTATAACGGACATCCTTGTCCGTCGGTATTAAAATTTCCCGCCGAAATTACATCAAATAGAAATTATAGCCAAAGCTAAGTTTATCGTTAGCCCAACTTTTTTTTAATATATTTTAATGTAGAAATTTGCATTTAAAGCGATTAAAAATATGCATTTAATCGTAAGTAGTACCTGAAACATCCGAAAACCTCAAAAATCTTTAGATCTCTATCCGACCGTGTCCGTAATCGCCACAACAGGCTTAATGTCATCATTTTTTTCTTGGCACCAGGGGTTGAAAATACCTAATACTAGATTGAAATTCAATTTAGTATCACATTTATGTGTAGAAATATTTTTAAAAAACCCTCTCCTGTAAAATTTGTTTTGTCGCTTACTTAAGTCTATGGAAGATATGGTTCCTAAAATGCTTCATAAAGAACTATTTAAAATTAAACTGTTGATGATAAGAAAAAAGCCGAATAGTACACTGGTATCTGAGTATAGCTGGGTTGTTCTCTATAGCCAAAAAACATTATTTGGGCTAAAAACAATTATAAAGAATCTAGATAATTAAGACTTACACATTTGCATTATCTTCTTTCATCTTGTCTATAGCCAATGAACTCTCATTTCCTTCTTGACCTGTCAAAAAATTGCCAATAGAAATTCAAAGCCATTCTCAATAAAGAGGACAGTCGCGAAGAAACTAACTTGTTACGGCCGCTCATCTAATAAATAGGTATCTAAATACAGGTAGTGAAATAGCAATACATGTACTATCACCAAATCCAATAGCTTTAAATGCAAATTTCTCCAGACAGTGCCTCTTTCTCCTAGCAATGGCCTTCTCTGTGAGTGTGAGCAGATCAAGTAGCTTGCACTGCATCCACTTTGTCGGCGGCGGGGTCTGTTTACCTTTACTGCAGTGAACACAAATTAATATGTTAGAAATATTACGACAATAATATAAAGAGTTATTATAAGATAAGTTAGGCAACAATTAACAATATTGTCTAGTGGCTTTTTCTAAATAATTAAGGCTAATTCTATTTACCATAGTCACAAATTGAATTGTCAGTTGTGGTTACGGTATACTCGTATTAACGCATTCAATGCTGGCAAAGCATAATATAGCGTTCATATGTATTTTACCCAGTACCAGGGTTCCGTCATTCGCTCGAGGTTACGCGATAAGTGCCTACCGTTGAGTGTATCGCAGACAGTGATGCAAGAAGTCTTTTATTTACATTACAATTCTTGTACAACCCCAGCATTCGGTTCCGCACGACTGCTCACGGCGAACAACTTTATGGTCACCTCTCTGAACGCGTGCTTAGGTTCTTTTTTCCTCGTAGTGAGCGCCTGGTGCCATTACTTAGATTTAGTAGGGTTGTCCCGATTTAGTTGTGTAATATCAAGCAATAATTAATTTACTCTATTATGATACCTAAGGCCTAGTTCCCACTACGCCGGATCGGCGAATTTGCCTGGAAACCGGCACTCGGACTAGGTGTTCACATTAAACGCCATCTCGCAAGAAAATCGGAGACTAAAGTCCTCACCTCAATCGAATTCAGACCACTGCGCACGATAGGCGACGAAATTGTGATATTGTGGTGGTATTAATAGAGTAAAAAGAAAACATTGGGTACATCCTATTTTACAGGAAAGATTTTTAATGGGTCAACTGAGAAGTGACGAGTCAAAGTTCTTCAATTATTTTCGAATGACGGCATCCTCTTTTGATGATTTATTGGGACGCCTTTGCCAATGACGGCAGTGAACGCAGCGCCGGCGCTAGCCTACGTAGGGCCCGGGTGCCATCTACCCTGGCGCGCTCTAGCTGGCACGCGATCAAAATGGAATTAAAGGCGGCACTGAGTGTATACGTTCAACAATCTTCGGGAAAGTACTCACCAGGTAAATAAAGCTAATTTCATGAGACGGCAAACGACGCGATCCAGCTCTGTGGAAATATCTTCGTCCGCGCTTAACAATGCGCGAAGCCCGCGCACTTTCTTGTCCAAAGCCCGCCTGAGACCGCGGCCTGGGAACATCTGATAGTGCCATTTTCCGTGTGGATTTGACTCCACATGAGTATCTACGGTTTGCACTGACAAACCTCATTGAACACATCATACATTATAAGCATGCGTGGCTTTTCAAGTGGTCGATATGCATGCGGAGCAGAATCGAGGGCCCTGTGATAGCTATTATACTGAATACTCTTTAAATAAAGGGAATATTTGGACGATAGTAAGCAATAACGTGTAAACCACCATTGTCATAGTTTTGAAAAAAAATGGTGTGAAGATTTTTTCGTGGTTTGGTTAATCGATTTATGTCAACTGTTTTTATTTTTTTTTTTTTAAATATTTGGAGCTTTTACTTTGTTTGTAAAATGAAGACGAGACGACAAGCTCACTTTGGCATTAAAACCTCAATTTTCGAATATCTGTGTGTTAACACGTTATTGTTTATCAGCGTCCAGTTTTCCTTTATGGAAGGCCGCAGAGTGTCACATTTAAATTAAAGACACGCGAAGATAGTATCCTATTGTAGAAATTAGTACAATTTGACAATTTTTACAACGTATCAGAAGTCGAAAAAACCAAGCCTAAACAAAAGTCGCACCCCACGTGAAAGAAAGGCACATTTGTTTTATTACTTTAAAGGACGGCCAAAAATGGGTAAGTACATTTAATAGTGTTTCGGTTTTATTCCATAACATACTTAAAATATGAATTAAATTAGATACTAGTTATAGGTTTTAACAAACGCAACGTCCCGAGCCCTATAAAAGTTTACATTACGCGACTGAGATCTGAAAAAATTGTTTCATTTCCTAAAAAAAGAAACTAATATTGTCTATATATCGGATTTAGGTTTGTTTGAAAAAACGCGATTAAGACCCAAAAAAATAATTTCATTTTTATATAAGTATATATATAAAGAAAATATTTTGTACATATCGAATAAAGGTTTATTAAGATAGTTAATAAATATTGTCGATCGAGGTTACACAAATTAGAGAGGACGTGTAATAACTACTTCGTTGTAATTCAAGTAGAATTATTCTACTTATGCCACTCTTCCATGAGCAGCGCGGTGTGCGCCAGGACTTAAGATTGATTCACGTTACACCGTGCCGAGCGTCACCGTACCGTGTCGTTTCCACCGTGAGGCGGACGGGTTTCTTTCGTTATTTTTCATTTTTCTCTTGAGTGATAAGGTTGTGTTATTAATGCAGTCCTCACAACTTAAATTGGCAGCTATTGCAATAGCTCTTGATCACGAATTGGAAACACAAATTGAAACTAGAAAAAGAAAATGTATGTACAAAGATTTAATAGATAATGAGAGCATTTTGCGCTTGCGCTATCCACTACACTGTAGTCCAACGTTGACTACCGTTGACAATCGGGCTGGGTTGGAAGCGGGAAAAAATACTCGACACCGTGCCCACGACCGTGACACGGACTTAGCCCGGTCTAACATGAAGTTCATACAAAAGCATATGTAGATATTTGACCGTATCACGGCCCGGCTCCAGCACGGTGTAACACGAATCAACCTTTAAACTTTAAATTTTCAATAATATATTTGAATTCAATTACAACGCTATCCGTAAAAGAAAAACTGGTAGACGAGTAAGTGTCAACCTACTAGTAAGCTTTTCAAAAGAGAAAATTGACAATCTAAGGGCGCCTGAATCAATATTAAGAAATAAACTACGTCGAATAATAACAAGATGCAAACCGTGAAAATCAGGCGTTACAGTACTGCCGTCGGAAAACGTAGTGGAACGGCCGTCAGTCGTTTCGTACTGCAAAGAGGAATTACAGTTGGGACTGCTTTTTGAAAGAAAATATTCATTATAAAACATAACTGAAAGGTTTATTTAAATTTTTCAAAAAATAACATTGTTGAATACCATTTAACGTTTTATTTTTTATTTAACACCTTTAAAGTTTTAGTTGTCCTTAAAATGCAAAGTTAATTATCTTATTAAGTATACTTTTCCAGTGAGATCTTGGCTAAATAATCGGGACCTAATCGCGTATAAATATTACGAGTTGCATTAAATACGATAAAAAAGGAACTTCCCTTCGAGACCATGGACGTTGCAAAACGTCCCGAAACGTCGTGGTAAATGAAATATGAATATACGCGGTTAAGTCCCGATTTTAAAATTAATGTAACTGTTTAAATATAAAATTTTATTGGTTTTGACCCAGCTTTCTTCTTACAAAGTTCCTAAGGAACTTGAAACCACAAAAAAATCAGACAAACTGAACACATAAATGCCACGCTTTGTTTGACAACATTTGAATATCTTTAACAAATATCTAAGTGTAACTAACACGTTTAGAACTAAAGGAAATAATGTGGTAACTTACTATGAATAAAAAACAAACTATATACAATAAATAAGGCTAGGAAAAAGAACATGGGCAGTATACACAGCATGAACTGAAAAATATTGACAAAAACTTACTGACGAATTCAAGAGATGTCAAGTGATATATTGCGTAAAGGCAAAACCACATGACGTCGGTTAAATTTGAAAACCATGTAACGTCGTTTTTGAACGAAATCCCTTTTTTACTTATCAAGCGCAATATCGGACAATTCAAGTTTAAGATATAATTTATAGACCCTTTTTTAATTACAAAATAAAGGTATAATTATAAATTGTCATATAATTATATCTATTGTTTTTTGTGCCTACTCAAAAGTTCGCATCAATAAAGGTTACGAAGTTGTCGAAAATTAAAAAACGATAAGTGACATTTTCCACAAAAAGTCTTTATACATATGAATCTGTCGTAAGAAAATTACCATTTTACTGTAGGTATAACTTTTATTGAGTTTACAGCTTTTTTGCTATTGAGTTATACCTGCACAAAGATCGTTATTTTCTAACCAAAGCTGTGTAATTTAGAGACTGCAGAAAATGACACTTATGTTGTTTTACCTTTAACCAGACTATACTACACAACAAAATATGTCAATGTGGTACTAAATGCTGACTTATATGTAGAAATGTTTGTTTACATCAGACTCGGTGTCGAACTCCGGCCATTCCTCTTCCCCGGTTGTCACCGAAGTGTGGTCCACCACCAGCCGTGAGTATAACACCATATTGCCCTGGATTTCGTAGCCATTCCATTCTAACAAATCTCTGTAGAACAATCCAGATAACAATACAGTTGCATTATAACATACTTAGCAAATTTTTGTCTAACTTTGTAACGGAATGTATGGATAGACCAGTAGTGTGATTCACGTAAGTTCAAGCTATCAAAATATCGTTGACGTTACGTAGTCGTTCGATCGAAGTCCTATCCAAAATGGGTATTCATGTACCACTTGAACGAACGTTGATATGAGTAGAATCGAAACGTAACAACTAATGAACGACATCTTGGATTGTGAAATTTGACACTTAGTCAACGTTGATATGAGTAGAATCGAAACGTAACAACTAATGAACGACATCTTGGATTGTGAAATTTGACATTTAGTCGTCGAAAGTCTATTGAAAGAACTATCAAAATTTTAGCAGAGTACGTATGACATGTCGTTTAGAGTTGATTTAAGTTTGATTCATATACCAGAACACGCTATAACGACATTTGGATCAAACGACTTTAAAATTGGACTCGTTGACGTTCACTGTGACACGTGAATACAAAAAAGCAGTTGAACGACTAGATCACTACGATATCGTAACGGTTTGATTACGATAATCAACACCCAGAGGGCTTTAAAGGAGCCAGACAGGTTCCACGAATGTTTAAATTCGTATCATGATCTATACTACACAAATCATAAACAAAGAAGCGGTAATCGTAAACCTTTTTCTTCAATCAACAAATTATAGCAAAGAAAAAAAATATCGTCACAATTAATAACCTTCAGAAATGACATGACAATATATTATCATTTTATAAAAAGATCCGTTAAATGTTTGGAATATCCGTTTCTTCAAGTTTTTTACAGTGCAACTTGTGAATAGACGAAGTAAGTAAACATAAAAATTTTTCGTTTAATTTATAATAGTGAGTAAGTACTAATAATAAAAAAAAGTAATAATTCCATGAAGGTAGTAAATATGTTTGGAATTTTGGTTATTAAAATGCTTTGCTTACAAAATTACTGAATAAAACGGTGCCTGACAGAAGATTTAAAATTTCCTTCTACCTAATGCTAACAAAACCAAGTACACACAAAGTTGAACGGGAATTGCATGGCCACATGAGACATACTTTTTTAAACATTAATTATTGTCTCTGGCCTACTAATGAGTAAAACCAAAGAGCGAGATGGAGCTATATAATTAATCAAATGAAAAAAGACATCTACTCTCTTTGGTAGCGTTCAAGAAGTATAATCCCGATTGTGTTCAAAAAGGAAAATATTGTTTTCTAAAATAATATAATTATTGATTATACAACACGCTTTATTTTTTAATGTCGGAAGCTTTTCAATCACTCTTTATAATTTGTCTTCAAATAAAATTACAATTATTAATACAAAGATCGAACACTCAAAAAAATACCTTCGATCCGGCCGGATTCGAACCGACGTCTTCTAGCATACCGTGCGAGACGCTATACCAACTAAGCCACGGAACGAACCAGCGGACCTCACGAATTTTTGTATGTGCTTGCGTCGTCTCTTTGTATTTGGTTTTTTCAATCTATGAGAAATCTATGAAAGTTTTATCACCCAGTTAGATATCTTTACAGTTACCAGCCCTGGCGAGAGATGTCGCTATTCACTGTATTTTAAATTTTTATTGAATTGATATTCAATTATTTTTTGGTAAATTATTCCACTAGTTTTTTATAATTATTAATACAAAGATCGAATTCAGAAAAAAATTCTTCGATACCCTATGCGACTACGACAGTATCTCGCGCTTTAAGTCACTTTCGCGCGTCATGTCGTGCTAGCTCTGCAGGCGCACGACTTTCTTGTTCTGTCTCTTGGTATCATAAAGTAGGGTAAAATAAAACAATTAATTAGTAAGGGGAAGTTTACTCAAATCAATGAAGGACGGGTTTCGTTTACAACCCTATATGAAAGTAAAATTTTTGGGAAACAAAAAACATAGATTTCTCACAGACGATATGCAAAGATCTGCAAGAAGCATTATATAAAAAATTCGTGAGGTCCGCTGGTTCGTTCCGTGGCTTAGTTGGTATAGCGTCTGGCACGGTAAGCTAGAAGACGTCGGTTCGAATCCGGCCGGATCGAAGGAATTTTTTCCGAGTGTTCGATCTTTGTAATTGTAATAAATATAGTTATAATATAAAATAGTTGTAATAAAACTTTAACTAAAAATGAAATCTTGTAAAAACTGTAACAAAAACCCGCCATTTTCCAAAAAAGTAATCATTAAGCATTGACCTACCAACAAATGGACATCGGGTCTAATACAAAAACCCACGAAAAAAATGTCTGAAGTTAACCTATGCAAACGTAGTGACATGTAACGAAATATAAAAAACTAAAACATTTAATTTAAATTGTAACGTCATTGCAGTACTGCCTAATTTAGCCCAAAAACACCATATTCAGCTTCTACTAGAAACTTAACAAAATGCACCAACCATATTTAGCTTCGACTAAAAATTAATTTAAAATAAGTAAATATTAATTATTTTTTATATATATTATTATGTCGGATTTTCTACAAATTCACTTAAAAATAATAATAAATAGTTGGGCAGATACGATAAGAAAATAAAGACTGAAATCAAAGCGACTCTATAGTTTCTTTGTTCTAAATATTTCAATCGCTTGTGGTTCGAACAATTGAAAATGACCAAGAAGTTTATATAAGCTTCTTGAAACTGACGTAATGGGTCTCTTTCCTTCTTTTGCGCATGCAATGTGTAAAAGGGCAGTTAGCTATTTGATTATTTTGTGTGCTTTTGTAATTTATATTTACGATTCATTTATATATAAAGTAAATGCTATAAAAGTGTACACAATAACACTTTTCAATGAGAACTATGATAACACAATATATTTGTTTAGTGAAAATATGATACAAAATACACTTTACTGCAGTAATTTTTACAAGTTATTATTATTGGTACTGCATGATTGACAACCGCGCTGTCAGTCGAACAAACAAAGACTGTTGCGCGATTGACGCCCTGTATGCGATTTTAACGTCCTACAGGTGCAGACACTTTTTAGCGCGCATCCGACGTCCATTTTGTTGGTAGGTCAATCTCATTAAGTGACTTTTTTAATTGCTTACCTATTTTGACAGCTGACACTTTCAGTTGCTAGGCAAATGGCACGTCATGTTACTATTTTACTATGAGAAAAAACGAATGACTTTAGAACTGTCAACATAAACTACTCTTACAAGAAACCTGCTTTGTTTTTGTGAAGTCATAGTACGAAATTAATAAAGGCAATTCAAGTTACGGGCTTGGTCAGGATTGCTATATGGCTTTAGAATTGTAAACATAAACTTCATAAAACCTGCTTTGTACACTAGTAGTACTGCCCTTCTTGGCATTTGCATTTTACCTATGTAATTTACCTTATCTTTTCATGCCTCGTAAACAAAGAAACTTACTTGACTCTCATAGTATCATCTGTGATATGTTTTACGGCATTCATAAGGATTTCTATGGGAATTTCAAACTTGTCTGCGTATTTCGCTGCATTATCTCTGTATTCCATGTCAATCAACCGGTTAATCTCCTCAGATATCAGGTCCAGGATCCGACACTCTTCCGATTTTGCCTACAAATCATTTAATTAAGACTTTTCGAGTTCTTAGGTTTTCGCGATTGTTACACATAGGAAATGAAACTATTTTTCCGGATTTAAATCGTGTATATTTGTTTTTTCAAACAAATAGACGTTTCGGGCTGTTTACATGTCCCATGGTCACGGTTGACTGACAATTGACTTCATTTGACAGTGCCAATTACGCTCTCGAATAAAGATCTCGCATGTCACGGGTTCAAGCGTCAGCATGCCTTCTATATGTGCAACGTTTTGGAATACAATACTTAACAACACAGAATATTGGCACAGACGTGAATGTTTGAACATGCGGTATTTGTTTTTTTTAATATCAAATGACGGGATAAACAAGTCGTGCGCCTGACGGTAAGCGTATACCGGTTCATAACAGTCACAGTGCCACTCAGAGCTTTAAATCATAAATATCGAGGGCCACTGCCACTGCGCCCTTCATTCTGAGACATAAATTGACAAGGCCCATGAGTCTTTAGAGCGCGTTCAACCTTTAGAGCGCGTTCTAATTAGCCTTTAGAATGCGTTCAAATTAGCCGTTGTTAGCCGCGCTGCAGCCGCGCGGCTGCCGCACGACGGCAGCGCGATTGTCACTTTTCATACAATTCTAGACGCACTGCAACAGCGCGACTGTAGTGTGTTGCAGCGCGACAGTCGTGCCGCCGCCGCGCGGCTAACAGCGGCTAATTTGAACGCGCCCTTAATTTCACCAGCACCCTTACCCTTACAAACCTGGACGTGGTAACGCTCATATTACTTTATTGGCGGCAGATATACTAAGATAGTAGTATAGGAGTACTCCCCTGGACAAACTCTTTCACAAAAAGCTTTACGGCCACTAAACTCATCCAGTCACAATCGATATTTGAATCGACGTTGGTACTCGATATTATTTCGGTCTTTCTCTATGTCGATCCATTTAGCTATGTCTAATTAATTATACATGTATCTATACATTTGGATCACCTTTTTCGGACATATGATAATAACATTTGCCACGGAAATTAGGTAGTAAACACTAGTCCGAGGATTACCGATTTCATACGTTGTCATTAAACGACTTTGTACTAAAGCGGAGCGGAGAAGAGCTTTATTTTAACGGCGTGGCATTCTCAAAATATTAATAAATACTTATCTCAAAATATTTTTTTATCTATTTATCGAGTTCTTAGGTTTTCGCAATTGTTACACTTCGGAAATAAAATTTTTTTCTGAGTCAATTTTTTTGCTGACTTTCAGCCATGACCATGAGACCTGTATGGGCCCGAAACGGTGGATTGTTTGAAATAACAAATATACGCCATTTACATCCGAAAAAATAGTTTCATTTTCAATATTACTTAATAAATTTTTTAGGTTTTGCGCGATTGCAAATACTGAAAAGAAACTTTTTTTTTAAATAATTTTTTTTTAAATAAATAAATGCAATTTTAAAACCGGAAAAAGTAGTATCATTTCTAACGGAATGCTATTGCTAGATGCAACACAGATCTTGGGACCTTAGTTTGGTAGCAGGCACAAAAGCTTGCTGAAAATATATTGATCTAAGTTTAGTTTAACCCGTCATGGGTCCTAGAGATACTGTGTCTCTACCGACTTTGGTACTGTAACGTCCTGAACTACTCTCTCTAACGTGCAGCTGAATTATCATCCACCTTTTTTTCTATATAAAAAAATTATAACTTTTTTTACCAAAATCGTTAGGGACACAGTGTATCTCTAAGACACGGACGGCTAAAAAGTAAAAAAAAATCACCTCAAATGGATAGTTATAATTCCTGATAATTTTATAATACTGATTCCAATATGGAGCATTTTCTCCCCAATTGATGTTGCACCAAATACTCGTGCTATCGTCAGACGTCGACATGTCGTGGAAGTTCAACATCTTGGTGAGGTGTTGAATCTCGCTCACCACTTCCCTAGTATGTACTAGAGAATCAATTTTGTGTTTCGCCATCATATTCTGTGTTTGCTTCGAAAACTTTGTGACTGAAAAGGTTGTGCAGTTTAGTCTGGAAAATAATGGTAGAGAAGTAGTTAGCAACATATAAATCATCGGAGGATTTTAGTAAGGCTCAGTTTACATTACTGCGGAACGGAATGTAAGCGATGAAATGACTTTATGTCAATTTGCTTATTTTAAGGAATCTTCAATTGGAGAAGACGTGGGATATTTTTTTCTGTGTCTAATGGAGCAATAAACATATTTGACGTAATCCCACTAAGCCATTCTTCCATGAGAAAAATGAAATTGAAATAAAGTTCACCATTTTTATAGTTGCAAAAAGTCGTTGTAAATTGAGCCTAATTATAAGCCTTTATGACGTCACCAAGGCACATGTTTGGTGACTTGAGTATAAATTAATTTACAGTTTTGCTACATTTCGCAAGTGGGCAAATTCGCACGTCATTCCGTAGTACTATTACTACATGCGCTGAGTAATGCAGAATATCTATACCTAGAAAATCATTTAGACAATCAATAAGTTTCAAAAGGCCCTTAATAAAACAGTACAGTCAATTCAAAAGAGCACAAATCAATATGACCTGCTATTTACATCCTCTATTTCATATACTTTGAACTCCAACTTCCTCCTTGGTGCGAGCATGCTACAACACATATCTTCGTCATTGAACATTAAAAAGTTCTTCCCAACCTCTGAATCAAGATTACACTGCGACATCTTGTCACAGTACACTAAACGATCCATCGTAATTGCAGAGGCAATGACAATAGTCACACAGGACTTCTTGTCTGAGGATAGGAAATCGGACAGGGATTCCATTCTGGAAGGAAAGGCTGGATAAAGGATAAGATCGAAATTAAAAAGATTTTCGCAACCAAAGATGTGACAATTATTAATAATAAGATTTTTTTTAAATTTTATTATTAATAAGGCCTGTAACACTTGGGTGTCAATATCGACCTTGTGATGTCAATCCCTGTGGATTATTCTACTATATCGTGTCGCCTCGTAGTGAGAGACAAGCCCTCACATATGAGTATAGAGTTTTAGCCCTCTTCGCCAACGGGTCACCCAACACAACATTTAACTCCCCAAACTACCAAATATCTTGTTCTTTCTAAAATTGTCTTGTAGAGCCACATAATGGCGATCGATCTTTGTATTAATAAATTGTAACAAACAAGAGGAGTAATTTATTCAACAAAAAATTTACATCATTAATAATAACATATGTAACAATAAATAATACTTACTTGTCGTGTGGGATCATATCAACAGTCTTAGGTATAGGTGTATCCCATCCTGCATACATATCTGCAATATTATCACGAGTAGGAATATCTGTAAATACAATAACTTATTACTATTGGCATTACTAGTTGGTTTTACTCTGAAAAGTCAATTTAATTAGGACAATACATTTTTTTCTGACATTATTAAAGTAGTAAATATTTCAACAAGGACAGCTGTATTGTGATATTGATTGTTTCGTTATGAAATTAAGCAGCAGAAGAGACAGGAAATTAGAAGATGCAAAAAACAAACCTTAAAAAAGAGAAAACATTGTAAAGTTGTTACATTCCAAAAAAACTAGTACAATCATTGACTTACCAATGAATAGACGTCGGGTTCGCGCTAAAAAGTGTTCGCACCTGTATAAAAAAGGCTAAAAAGTGTTCGGGCATACAGGGCGTCAATCGCGCAATAGTCTTCGTTTGTTCGAGTGACAGCGCGGTTGTCAACCATGCAGTACCAATAATAATAACTTGTAGAAATTACTGCAGTAAAGTGTGAGAACAGGATTTTGTATCATATTTTCACTAAACAAATATGTTGTGTTATCATAGTTGTCTTTTCAAAGTGTTATTTTGTACAGTTTTATAGTATTTAATTTATATATAACTGAATCATAAATATAATTTACAAAAGCACACGAAATAATGAAATAGCTAACTGTCCTTTTTCTACTCATTGCATGAGCAAGGTGGAAAGAGACCCATAACGTCAGTTTCAAGGAGCTTATATAAACTTAGTGGTCATTTTCAATTGTTCGAACCACAAGCGATTGAAATATTTAGAACAACGAAACTGTAGAGTTGCTTTGATTTTAATCCTATTTTTGAAATGATTTTTTTTTTAAGCGCTAGCAATAACTAACAAAATATTGTTGTACTCGTATTCCGGTATGAGATTACCTATCAGAAGTCAGAAAATACATTTGCCCGAAATAACATTAGCCCGAATTTTCATTGTGTTTTTACGAAGATTACAAAACTAAAGTTAATTTTGTCTATGTAAAAAACATCAAAATCACTCGAAAGCGTAACGGTTTTGTTATAAATCGGAATTACGGATATTTGAGTTTACGTTTAGTTAGAATATCGGTTCTACATTTCTTATAGTACACGCTTATTTTCACATTTGTAGAGTAATATTTGTATGTATGTATCTGCCCAACTCTTTATTATACCTTTAAGTGAATTTGTACAAAATTCGACATAATAATATATATAAAAAAATTAATTAATATTTACGAGAAAGGCTATTCCATTACTCTTGTATTCAAGTAATTTTCAATCGAAGCTAAATATGGTGCATTTTGTTAAGTTTCCAATGGAAGCTGACTATGGTGTTTTTGGCCCCTTAAATTGTTGTAATCAAATTTAGGCAGTATCGCTATGACATTACAATTTAAATTAAATGTTTTAGTTTTTTATATTTCATTACATGGCACTACGTTTGTATAGGTTAACCTCGGACATTTTTTTTGTGATTTTTGTATTAGACCCGATGTCCATTTATTGGTAGGTCAATGAGTACAATAAACATAATATATACCTGTAACTAAAGCTAAGCTGTTAAGATTTAGGTCTGGCTGTTTGTGGTAATCCTTGTTGACAAAGAGAGCAAGTTGACTACAGCAGCCAATATGATGTGTACCTACAGGGCCCGGGCCTACTCCTTTGCATGACACTGTGAACTGAGGGTAGCGGACCACTATGTTGCTGCACCTGGAAGTGGTATAGACATATTTCAAATATCAGGGGTGAAAGGCAGCCTAGTATTGTATGATGATGACGAGTTAACACTTAAACAATTAGAAACACAAGTTTATGAGTATGGTTTGACATCAGGCAAAATGTCTTACAGAATTTCGAATTCGAGGGTTATAGAGCAGGGAAAATTTTATGTTCAAATAAAAGGTAACAATAATTTTTACAGATAGGAAATGCACAAGTTGTGAATATGTATATACATATTAAAAGGGTAAAATAAGGGTAAAACTATATAGTTTTACCCTTTTTTTATTACACTAGTGTATTTTTGACACGGTAATGACTTTTAAATCAATTTTTTTATTAATTAGACTGTAAATTACATTTCATTCATTATTCATAATAGTATAATATAATAATATTTTCACAAAAATCTTTTGAACTAACCAATCGTGAAATTGTTCTCGGCTCCACTCAAAAAAGTGGTCCAGGCGTCTCAGTCCATTCTTTTCCAATTTCTTAAACAGAACATTGAAGTCACCGTTGGGTGTAGTGATGACAGCTACCCAGGGCTTGACAAAGCCAAAAACATTATGCACTAGCCTGTCAAGATCGTGAGGCAGCATGTGTTCGATCATCTCAATGGCAATTACTGCATCACAACCAATGAGTCTGTAGTCCGGATCTGCCGCGTTACCTTCAAATAACTAGAAGTATATTTCATTTTATAGTAAGAAACTATGTGTTAATTTGTGCCTTACAAGATCAAGTTTAGAAAAAGCGACTTACTGTCACCTGCAAAGGATTTTCTCTAATTGGAGCATATTCCTCACATCCAAGCAAATCGGATGAGCACCGCAGGGGGATGGTCTCAATATCCACTCCAAGGATAGTGTGCACACCTGGCACATCCTTCAAGTACTTTATGAAACTCATGTCATGGTAGCCGAGGTCTATCACCTGATTATATTAATAAATTCTTATACTGTAGTATATACTTTTCACTAAATTACATTAGCATGTCACGAGCCAGCTATGTGAACTGTTATGATCTCGAGCCTACAGAAGCAACAGCCTTCTTATAGTTAATGGTTGACGTATGAGCTTTTAAATTTTAATTTTATGTAAATTTTTAAGAACTTTCAGTTTTTCTTTTGCAGTAACAATGTTCGCAGAGTGAATCAATATTAGCCTCTAGCATATTGGTGGGAAGGTGAGATTGTATCAGATAGAGACCAGGATCTCATCAGGAATCAAAAACTCTTTCTGCACTCATGGCTTAAAACTAACAAAATTGTTGCATCTCTTTTTGAATCCTTTAAAATGAAAGAACCTATTAGGAATACACACTTTTAGTAATTATAAGGGTATGTATTAAAAAAATGGTAAGGACAATCACATATGGATTTACAACTCATGAAATATTTTATACTTGCAACTAATTTCTTAAATGTCTAAAGAAAATTCCAGCACTGAAGGCATTTTTTCAAGAAGGACAAGAATAAAGAGATTCTTTGAGACTTTATTCTTCATAATATAAGTTGTGCAGTTGAGATATTGCAAAATGGTTAGCATGTACCACCTGTATACTGTCTTAAACACAGCTCTTAAAAAGCAATTAACGGTTTTTAAAGTTCTTTAGCAGAGAAATTGTCATACCTTCTCCAACTTGCCGCACCAGCGTTCGTCCATAAGACAATCAGTGACTGCCGCATACCGCTGTGCATACACAGGCGGATAAAAAATCACTCCCTTTTCATCGTCAAATTCCGCATACACCTCCTCCTCCTCCTCCTCTTCATCCTCGGAAATGTGTCGGGCAAAAGTCAAAGTGAACCGGTTAAAATATGGACCCAGTAGCCGGTCTACGACAGACAGCAGCGACTCCCGAAAAAATACCAACGTCTGCAGTGCGATAATCATGTTTCACGGTGATGAGGACTGTGGATTTTTAAACTATTAACACGTCTTTAAAAACTACTTCTAGCGAAATCGGTCAATGACACCCATGATGTTCACATGTTTCCTGGTATGTTATTTGTTTTGTTTTCGTGATCGTGACACAACCGAACCGACCTAGAATAACCGTAATTGACGTTGACGTTCAATGAAACCACAGAGTGTATTATAAATTGAAACCACAAAAGAGATGTCAATATTATGTTAATATTTATTATATGACTGTTGGGTAATTTGCCGAAAAATTTCATATACCTAGTGGAAATTTTTCCGGAAAAATTCCCGAAAAATTGGATGAATATAATTTCGAAGGCTCATACTATGTTCTGCGTTTAGAAATACCTTTTGAAGTTTTATTTAGCGTGAATTATAAAATAAACTTGTTTAGTTAGTCACAAGATTTAAAATTAGAAAAACGGGATTTAAAATGTAATGTAGTATTACATTTGAGAAATAAATGAATCTAAATCTGAATCTTATGAACGAAGTATCTAATATTTGCCACACCAAAAAAGAAAAACAAACTACGTCTCAGAAACGATATCTATGTAATAGGTGTACCAGAATGTGAAATAAGGTCAAGCAATAATATTAACGCGATCTAAAGGTCACATAAGTTTTGTTTATAGTGCCCCTCCTGATCAATCTCTTGCTTTTTGCCGGAAGGTCACTATGACCTGTGCGAACGAACCGGCACAGTGACCATCTAAGTCAGGTTCTAACACCGGATTAGCAAGTTTGCACGGACTTCATCCGGTTCTCCGTAAGGCTAGTGCCTTAAGTAAGCCGCCCTGGGTGAACGTACTGCACCCTCCCTATTTTCCAGATAGGTACCGGAGCTGTAGGCACGTTCACTTTCCATCGTGCTCCGCACGACTAACAGTTGCCACATGGTTGCCACCGCTAAACCGGATTAGTGGCGGAGATGCCAAGTAACAGTGTCCTGCGACAATGTCCGGAAATAGCTACCGACTTAAAGGGCAACTCACGTACCCCGTGTGTCTCCTCGCCTCAGGCCCTCAACTAGACTGCTACTAAGACGCGCTAGCTGCGCCGCCGGGTTAAAACCCGTACGCTTGCCCATTTTTAATACTCACTGCTTATATTACACTACCCGATTTCAAGGGCCCTAGGTCAAAGTTCGCGTGGCCCTAGGTCAAAGATTCGCGTGGGTCCCTTTAAGTCGGGTAGTGTGATAAGCATTTTACGCCCCTACCCAATTAGTAGATAACTTCAGAAAATAAATGTTAGATGGCAACATAATATTATAATATGTGTATTGTATTTTTGTTTGCTTTTTCTGATTTAATTTGTGTTTTTTCTCCAATGTCCTAATTTTTAACCGACTTCAAAAAGGAGGAGGTTCTCAATTCGACTGTAAGTTTTATTGTTTTTTTTTTTGTATGTATGTTACGCGATAACTTCGGTATTTGTGTACCGATTTTCATGATTCTTTTTTTGTTGGAAAGGGGGTACTTTCATAGTGGTCCCATTTCATTTTGAAGGAAATCATCCACCTCTAAGGGTGGCTGTTCACGCGTGAAGATTCATTTTTATAAATAGCGCCTAAATTTTCTTAAGCAGCGATTATTTTAATGGTTGATTTTGCTATTTCTCCAATTCAAGGCGTTTTCTTCTCTCGATATTCTTTTAGTAGTAACATTGACTTACAGTCAATGAGTAGTAAGAACCGATTTTTATTATCTCCAGTGTCAAGTCCTGTATAGTGGCGAATTTAAGGATATTTCAATAAAACTTAGCAAATAGACGTAATTCCACGTACTTTTGAGGTCGGTTTTTTTAGTACTCTATACTGATTCTTATGGTGACGATGTTCAATTTTGGTGATCACAAAAATGTCACTTCTATATCCTTAAAACTATTTGACATATTGAGGGGCCGGAAAGATAGACTTTTGGAATTATTTTGTAAAAATGTACGTGTTGAAAATGCCTGCATATCAACAATCTGCTCAAAATAGCTGTCAGCTTTGCCAAAATTATTCGACGGCCCTACTTAACTTCCATCATCGTATCTTTGTAAGATAAGTTTAAGGAAATTGACATTAACACTAACGAAAATGTAATTTATGTTAAGAGGGATAGTAATTTCTTTACGAAAAATATTGACAGACATGACATTAACACGAGGAATAAAAATAAACTAGCTGTTCTTGATAGTCGTCTTCACAAAGTCACAAATTCATTTAAGGGCAATGTATACGCTTCTTTAACAAGAATCCGATTGATATACAAAATTTGCCATTCACGAGGTTTAAAACTATAATGAAACAAAAACTGGATACTAAAGGTTATTATCTCTGATGTTTGAATATATATATATATATATATATATATATATATTGTAAATGTTGAATGTGTACAAATGTTATTTACAATAAACAAGCCTTTCTTGCTCATTGTTCTCAGGGGAATCTGCCTTACGAATGAGCGGTAGAGTTTAAGCAATCAATGTGACGATTTCAAGTGTAATAATGCTTACCTATAAATAAAGATTATTTTGATTTGATTTCATTTGATTCACACCGATATACGCCGTCAGTTGTCGCCTCGGTGTTATTGATATATCGGGGTTTTCGCCTCAAGTGGACCGTTGGCTCGAGCATTTTGATCCGATCGATAGTCCTTACCTCGTTGTTTCGGTTTGCAGAATGCAACTGCGAAGGCTTTCTTAACACCTGAAACGCGGAAAGCAAATGTACCTTGGATCGACTGGCGGAAGTTGTCAAAGAGACATTTCCAAGCAACTGACGAGACTAGAAAGTTCACGGCTGCAGCGAAGAAGAACTGGTCGGGAAGTAGGTCAATGGACAACTAGCAAACAAACTAAGTTTTGCTATTCCAACAACTTAAACTTTAAGCACCCGCGACACAGGGTTTCCCTAGTGCGGGGCTATGTTCAGTGTGTTCGTTATTATTATTATTAACAGATTTACTGCACGTTCACAGTTAATACGTGAAGTCGTATACCTCATAGTCGTATGCCTTAGTCTTAATGTGCTAATAGTTTTAAAATATTTAAATTTATTTATTTAATGAACTAATAATTTGTTGAATTGTTCTCGCCGCACTCGATGGATGGCGCTCTTTAAAGTTTGAAAAGTAACAGGTATTAAATGAAATATTTTTAGATTGAACCAATAGGTGGTATTGGCCCGATGTGGAACTTCAAGTGTTAAATAAACATTGGTAGATGGATCAAATGGATCAGTAGCCTGTTAGAACGGGACTGTGTACAGGGTGGAAGAAATCAATGGGAAATGAAGTTAAATTACCTTAAATGCTCGTCATCATCAGCTTATACGTGTCGACTGCTGGATGTAAGCCTCCCCTTGAGCACGCTAACTCTCCTAACTCTCTCTTTGTCTCTGTCTCAACTTTAAATGCATAAAATAAGGAAACATTTTTTTTCTTAATATGAATAAATTGCATTCACAGATTTTCTGAAAATGTTTATTTTTAAACGACTTCAAACAACGAGGAGGTTTTCAATTCGACTGTTTGTTTTTTATGTATGTTACGCGATATTTCCGGTATTCGTGAACCGATTTTGAAGATTCTTTTTTTGTTGGAAAGAGGACACCTCAAAAGTGGTACCATTTAAATTTGAAGAAAATATTCCACCTCTAAGAGTGGCAAACTAGGGGATGAATGACTTTTGAGGTCGGTTTTTTAGTACTCGGTACTGAATTATTTACATTTTTAGTTGGGTCGATTCCCAACACAAGCAAACTTTTCGAAAACTCTTTTAATGCAGTTATTCATTTTAAGAAAAATAAAAGAAAATTATTTCCTTTAAGTAAAATTAGTTATCGCAAGAATTATTTTAGTTTCCCTTCATGTCGGATTGATTATTTTCCACCCTGTATAGTACCTACATGTGCACTTCACACTTCATACTTTACAACAATTTTTGATGATTCCTTTTATGCACAAGTTTTGTAAATGTTACCTGTTAATCCTCAATAGGTATAATATGCTTTTCTAGAATGTCCTGCAGTACCTACATTCTCATTTTGCATCTAACTCTAATGACCCCTAGAGTAGACAAGAGGTGAAAGTTACATTGTTTGAGCTAACCATTGTCTGTGACATATTTCGGATCTTGTATTATATTACCCTACGTGTAAGTAACAGTTTCATTTGGAGCACATCCAAATGAATGAAGCAAAGCTTATGAAATCCATCTATTATTATTACGTTAACTTTTGAGTGCTTTAAGTACTTGATACAAGCATGGTTTAAGAATATTTTTAAAGTTAAATCCCTACAAGTGAATAGATATCGTTATTGCAATCATGGTATAAATACAGTTGTTACAAGTAAATAATAGTAGTAGAACCTGTCAGGGTATAGCGATTGTACCAAGTTTATATTATAATAACTTGAAATATTAATTTCTGTTATAGATTTGTATGTTTGAATTAGATACTCAACATAAATATAGGTTTGCACTTCGAGAACATTTCGCAAGAGATTATCTTGCACGAATTTTGAGACTAATTAATACCCTTTTTTGACAATAGTTTCTTACATTTTTTATATTATTAAGCATTTTGTTGTAAATTGGAATGGGTTCGTAATATCACAGATTGGTAATATGGACCTTTTTTATTGATTTTTTTTAATCGGTTCTGAGTGGACTCTTGTTGCGTTCAAACAAATTAAGAGTATTTTTTAGAAATCTAACAGCTTCTTGAATAAATAAAAAGAGGAGGATTAGGTTTGTGAAATGCGACTTAGAGCTTTAAATCACAAAGATATGAGGGACACTGCCACTTTGTAACATAAGTTGAAAAGTGTCTACATTGAAAAGTGTAATATGCCTGTATTTTCACCAGCACCCTTACCTTTCAAAACTAGAACGCAGTAATGCTCGCATTACTATTTGGCGGCAGAAATAGGTCAAGTGGCAGTATTTACCTGGATGAACCCATTCACAAGGATACTGCTACTAAAAGTTTTGTGGGAATGCTATGTGAGAGAGTGCAAGATTTCGTATTAAATTTTGAATTTTGAGATTGCAGAACTTATGCTTATGATGAGTAACATAACATAATGGTTAGTATGTGAACTGAGATGCCTTTAGATGTAATACACCATACCTTAATACATTTTACAGTTACAGCTACAAGGTCTTTTTAAACTAAATAGCACTAGAATACTTCTATTACTCAAATTTAAGTCACGTAAGAAACTACAAGTTAGTTAGATAAACGTTCTTTCTTTGACTACTTCCGGTTGTTACAAAGGTCAATTTTACAATTACCATTGTCGATTACAGTTTTTAGCGTGCAATAACTTTATATTACGTAATTCCTTACCTATGTTACAATAGTTTGTTCAAGGTGGAAAGCATTCAAGAAAAAAAAAATTACCTTCGCACCCTTTTTTATGATACCCAGTGACAGGAAGAGCATCGTGCGTCTGGTGCAAGTAACACGCTAGTCCGTAACAGTTGCAGTGCCACTCAGAGCTTTAAATCACAAAGATTTGAGGGGCACTGCCACTGTACCGTCTCCTTGATATATAAATTGACAAGACCCATGTGCCTGTAATTTCACCTGCACCCTACCTTTCAAAATCGAAACGCAGTAATGCTCACATTATTGGTGGCAGAAATAGGGAAGGTGGCAGCACTTTCCTGGATGAACAAGGTGAGGGATGGATGTTATAGTAAAAAATTTAACGAAAATTCATTTTTCACCCTTTGTTTTACCTTAATATTTTCATAAAAATATATAGTAATGTAAAAAACCGGCTTGAGATCAGTCCGCTTGGGAGCTTCAATGCCACAGATAAACGACACACATATACAAAGGCCTCAAAATTATAACTCTCCGGGGATTAAACAAAAATTCCTATTTATATAGAATTTCTTTTTGCGTTTTGTCATCAAAGATTTTAATTGGATATGTACAGAAAATATCGACAATGGAAGGAAAATATGCAAATTCAGAAAAAAACACCACTTTAGAAGTAAATATTATAAAAAGGCAAGTTTACGGAAAAAAAACTAAAATATCTTTTTTCTGAGTAAGAATTCATATATGCTTATAGATGGAAAGATATGAGCTAATTCTAAAATGAGTAAAGAGTTCAATTGAATATTTTATTATTAAAACTTAACATAATTATTGGTTACTGATTCCGTGTATGTACAAATTCATTTTGTACTTAAGTGTCGCTTAGAATCTTCCACCAGACGATATGCATTTAAGTCTGATATTGTAGTACTACCACCAGTGAAAAGAGAGTACGTAAATTAAAAAATAAGGATAAATAATAAAATAAGGATGCTGGTGAAATTACAGGGACATGGAACTTGTCAACTTATTTTTTTTTATAATATCAAGTGACGGGACGAACAAGTCGGATGCCTGATGGTGAGCTACACGCCTGTTCATTACTGTCGCAGTGCCACTCAGAGTTTTAAATCGCAAAGGTCTGAGGGGCACTGCCACTGAGCCCGTCACTCTGAGACGTAAGTTGACACGTCCCATGTGCCTGTAATTTTACCATCACCCTTATCTTTCTAAACCCGAACGCAATAATGCTAACATTATAAGTAAGGTAAGGTGCGATGTAAGGTACGGTAAGCTGGCAGTACTTCCCTGGACGAACTCTTTCATAAAAGAGCTCTAATGCTGTTAAAATAATAAAATGCACAGAGTGACGGGCGCAATAGCAGTACCCTTCAGATCTTTGCAATTTAAAGTCTGAGTGGCATTGCAACTGCTATGGATAGGCGTGCCGCGTACAACCAGGCGCATGATTTGTTCGTTCTGTCACTAGGTACCATAAAATAAAAGAATAGCTACCAAAGTTACTATAAAAATAAACACTTGGTAAATACGTATAAGTGTCAACACATAATGTTTCAACTTTCGAGGAAAAAAATAACTGTTGTAAATACAATATAATTAAAACCCGAAAAAGAAATCCAACTTCACGCTTGCGAGAGAAAAAATTACTATCGCACTGAGAAACCTTTTTCGTTTCGCTTTCTTTATTTAATCGCTTCAGTAAAATTTACTTTCTGTTTAATTTTTATTTATTTTAATTTATTATCAACAAGTAATAGACCATGACCTAAAATACCCTGTTCAAAGAAGATTCGTGCTCAACAGAGGGACAGATACATCGAAGTATATATATTTTTTACGTTAGATGGACTTGCTCTTGACCACTACCTAGCTCTAGAGCAGAGATAGAGATAGAGATGATCTACGATGGAACGAGCTTGCCCAGAAGGAAGCCTATTCAGTCGCACCTTAAAAATACCCGGGTTGTATGAGTTCGGAAATACAGACGCAGGCAGGGAATTCCATTCCTGGGCTGTGCGCCTAATAAAAGATGACGAAAAGTGCTTAGTATGCCTGAAGGGATATCGACCAAGTAAGGATGATAGCCCGCCGCACGTCTGGATGTCCGATGGTAAAAGATGGACGGGATGAGCTGATGGACCTCATGGGCACACTCACCGAAATATATTCTGTAAAAAACCGACAGACGGGCAACTTTCCGCCGGTGGGCTAAACTGTGAACTTTAGATTCGATCTTAACGTCGCCAATAAGTCTTCTGGCTTTGCGCTCAATCGAACCAAGAGCCTCAAGTTGATACTTCGCTGAGCCATCCCACAGGTGACTGCAGTACCCCATGCAAGATCGGACTTGTGCTTTGTATAAAGTTAAGAGCTGTTCAGGCGTGAAATATCGCTTAACCTTGTTAAGGATACCCAGTTTTTTGGCTGCAATTTGTGCCTTACATTCAATATAAGCGCCAAAGTTAAGGGTTACGCTCAATGTTATGTAATACCCCGAAAAGTGGGAGTCAGATCAAATTTACTCCTTTTAGCAGTAAACAGACAGGCCTGCGTTTTGGTGGCGTTGAACTCGACCAGATTGTCATCTCCCCACTGAGAGACAAGACTTAAGGTCAAGTTCGTCCGCTCCATCACGGCTTCTCTCAACGAACGGATAACTACCCTGCTGTCCTTTGCGCTATATATAGCGCTACTTATAGTAGCTGTAGGTTGACTGTTTCATTTGTGCTACTAGAATTAATGTAGAGTCATGTTTTAAAGATTAATTACGTAGCAGGTGTTGGCGAAACGCTTGCCTGGTGGTTTTAGAGAGAGAGAGGGCGAGAGAAAGAGCGAAAGTATTAAAAATCCTTCGAGATCTTAGGAACGTATATTGGCGATTTGTATGACAATTGAATAACTAAATATCAAAAACATACCGTCAAAAAGAATGCAAATTCAAAAATAAAACAAAGTAAAAACTAGAAAATAAATCAAAAACTATTTGCTTTCGGCGAGTAGGTTATAAAATAATGTCACTACAGTAATTCTTCTTAAACTGAGCCTACAATTATAACTATATTTATACTATTTGAGGAAAAATACTGTGACCTGAATACTTCATTAAGAATTTCATTCGTTTAACTAACGATCAACTGATTAGAGAGCTATGCAACCACTAAGTACTACCTGATGCGCAAATATTCACTTATTTTTTTATTAATTAAAATATTTGTTTATTCCACGTCTAAGTCATCGTAACGGCTCGACGGTACGCAGGTCAGGCGAAGAAAAGGCGCGCGCGACGGCTTCAGTCGGCAGTCGCACCAGGGTCGCCAAAGGGGTCGGACCACAATCTAGTCATTTAACTTTTTAATTTTTTTGAAATTTCGCAATTGAAAGATCACCATGAAAGTGTTCATCGTTCTGGCTGCGGTCGCAGCTTTTGCAAGTAAGTATAATTCAATTCATTTTAGATACCAACTAATATCTACAGATATATCTAATATACCATGCAAGTAATAACTAAATGTTACATGCTCAATTAACACTTAAATATATAATAAACTTATTATTAGTGTCTGTCATCAATCATTTATTGTGAGTTACGCATTGACATGGAGTTACGTCAAAAAATGTAATTGAGAATAGAATACTATGAAATCTTTCTTTCAATCCTCTGATTTCTGAACAAAAGACTTCAACGAATACAAAGTTCGACATCTCTTTCGGATAAATAATAATAACAAGTGCTCTACAAACAGATTGTTTTATTGGCTACTTAATATCGCAATTTTTGTTGAAACTCAATATTATAGAATAAATCGTAATTCTGAAGTAATAAAAATCTATAAGCACTAACAGAAACAAACAAAAGAAAAAGTCCATATCCCTTTGTATCATTTTAAATAATACTGTTATTCTCTTAATATTTTCGTAAAAGTCTTTTATCGATTATTTGTAACAATTCTCATAATAAGATTGCGTCAAAATTTGCTAATTGTTTACGTAATACCGGTTTTTCGAATTAAGTCCTCTAATCATTTCAAGAATAGAATGCATAATGACTATGAGTCTTATAGTATTCATTAGAAAGAATTTCGATTTTATTCATACTTACATAGTATTCCAAGTTCTATGGTATGTATATAAACGTATTACGTATCTAAGAATTAATCATTTTATCCGGGTAGTACATTACAAATCCCGAGATACATTCTCAATCATAGACATTTGATTATATACTTTATTACAAGTATTCAACTATCTTGCGTTAGACTAGCATTCCAAGCCTTTAGGTATTTACATAAAGGTTCAAAATCAGTTATTTATATTCCGAAATCGTACGAACGTACGACATACGAAAATAAAGGGCAACACACATTAACCGTAAATTTAATGTCAGTCAATTAAAAATTCAATACTCGTCTTTCGATTAGCATGTTGTTTTAGCCGGTGCTTTCATGACATGCATTTTGAGTAGCGGTGCATACGTATGCAAGAATCATACTGCCCTATTACAGTCTCCGAGTTATAGTTACCCATTTATAAGGGTCATTGAACTTTTGCAAACTAAATTATTAGGCAATGTTGCCACGTACATAAACTGTTATTATTTAGGACTTGTTTACATACATATTTTAATGTAGAGAGTCTACGAATTTGTTCTTGGAATTCATTTATCAGTTAGTTTTAGACAGAGGATGAGAGGATTTTCTTACAACTATAGAATGTTGGCTATAGGTTTTGTAATATCTAGGAAAATAAAGTTATATCTACTAATATGCCATAGTATTATGAGTTTTCATTTATATTCGTGTCCAAATAAGTTTTTGCAACTTAATGTCCAATTTTTTTGTGTTTTCTACTTACATATAATATTAGTATGAACATACTCTATGTTAATTATTTATTGCAATATAAAATTATACCCCATTTTTTAATGTTATGTTTCTCATATAAAAATAGTCCTTAACACAACAAATCGCAACAAAGGTGTCGTGGTAAAGAATTCGAGGAGACTTTAGAAGATTTGACTTTTGATTTGAGAATTCGAGGAGACTTTAGAAGATTTGACTTTTGATTTGAGAAAGAAACAAAAAGTGGCAAGAAACATTTGTTGTTTTTCAAACCTCATTTTTCTACCCTAAAGACTATTGGTTAGACTGTGCTACAACTCTACTCTTTCCAAAGCGACATTGACATTCACTCGGCGGTTTTTATCAAGTGCGTAATAAAAGTTAAATAAAAAATTGCAAATTATGTGCTGTTGTATTCTGTTCTGACACCGCCGTCATTATATTTACGCAAAAAATAGAAACTAACCTTTTGCAATTTTCTTGTATTGAGTTGACAACATTTTTTTTACCAAAGTTATGAGTAAATTAAGACTACAATTTCACAAAAATCGTAACATTATGAAACCGATCAATTAACTTTTTATAAACTTATTTAGGTTAAGTAATGAAATGCCTAATATAGTACTCGTACACGTACCTAATTGTTGGAATATTTCTCTTACGACCTGTTTTCACCCGTAAAGTAATTAAGTGTTTGACATGTTCAGAGATGTCGTCAAATATACCATGATATGTACCTTTACTTAATTCGTGTAAATCAATCATTAGACTAAATCTGTGTTCAACGGCGGAACGTATGTACCTTGATACAGTGGAGTAGTACTTTTATACGCCGATTATCATATATTACTTACTACACTCGTTAAAGCACCGGGTGCCCTGTAAAAGTCGTAAAGATAGCTAGATTAACTAAAAATATTTCTTCTTCTTAAGAGAACAATCCTTTTAAATGATTAAAGTCATAATGTCTGTCACTGTACCGCTTAAGGAAAACGTGTCTAAAAAAAGGTTATATAGTAAACCCATGCATATATTTTTAAATATTTGCAAACGACAGGTTGGTGGGTTATTTTTACATTGTGGTGGTACGTAATGGTAATCTTTTAAAACACAATCGTGTCTAAAACAAGTTTTGCTCATTCGTGTCCAAACATGTTTTTTACTAAAAATGTTAATAAAAGTGTGATAAATATTCCAGCATACACATATTCATTTTCGTTTTTTTAATATTCTTATTAAAAAAAATTTATAAAAAACATAATTTTTATTGGGCTCAACTATAATGAGTAAATAAAACCCTACAGTTGATTTTTTTCCCCCCTCAGTTGAAAACACTGAGATTTTGAACAGGAATGCGCAGAAAATGTTGCATGACAAGTGGACATACTATTTTAGGCTTGTGATGGTCTGGTATCTTACGTAGTATGCCACGAGGGCCACGACAGATGGCATCTTCCTAATTGGTTGCTGGAGGTGAGGTTGTTCCCATTTTCGTAATGCAGTCTAGTTGTTTTTCGTTTAGTAAATAGTTTAGTTTTTGTTTGACTAGCGTCTGTTTCTTAATCGACTCGTACGGGTTTTACACTGTTCAATGTATTGTAACAATAGGTATATTGTTTTTGATGCTCCTACCAGTATGATTATTTAGTAGGAGCTCGACTCCGAAGGGATCCAGATAAAGTAAATTAAATATATAGTATTATATTACCCTTTACACTTTAATCCGACTAAATCCCCTAGTGGATTCTGTTTACGTCATTATTAATAAGGGATCCATGTGGACAAAAAATCCATATCTCCCAGGTGATTGTAGCAGGGGATTCAAATGGACGGAGGGGTCTTGTAATAATAAGTAAGGTATCTAGAAGCCAATTTGTAGTACTTATCATATAACTTTTATTTCCTTTGGTTAATAAATGTTGTAGAGTTCCATTCATAGAAATAATATATTATATTGTGGAGAAGCTATCCAAAAGTTTATAAAATAAAGATACGGAATGATCTGTGCTACTGTCTGTACAGCCACGTACAGTAAGTTGTTTTATTCTATTGATCTTACGATCATGGTGCAGTCCTCGACCCTAGTGCATCGTAGAGCGATGCATCAAATGTCGTAAGTCGCACCTTACTTTCACTTCTCGCTGAGTTGCGTAAGAAAGATTGCGATATGCGCGGGCGCCGCCTCCGTGCGTTACCAAGATCCCACGTGGAACTTATCGAGTGATTGAATAATGAGACACTGGGTCTGTTGTTAACGCAACAAAGATGCAAGTTACGTAGGGGTTATATGAACTAAATTTTTTTGTGTCAATTTTAGTTAAATAAACTTTAATGAATTGGTGTACAAAATACTGTTTTATGCTGACGTCACGTATTGGCCAAAAAGCGCTCTTTCCGATAGATATAACTCATCAATTGTGTCGAGACAATCTTCCTCTTGTACTTTCATATAATAATATAATAATAACGCACACACTCAACATAGCCCCGCACTAGGGAAACCCTGTGTCGCGGGTGCCATAGACACACACATAGACAACCACAAATTACACTCAAACTCACGAGAGAAATAAATGTAGGCCATACAGTATTTCTCCCGGCCCGGGAATCGAGTTCGGAACCTCTGCGTGTCAGTCCGGCTTGGTAACAGTTCGGCCACGGAGGTAGTTAAATATGTAGACTACTAATCTAACATTACAATTCAACCTTGACACTTTGAATTTAAATTGCAAATTAGATTATTAAAAAGTTCAAAAGTTTTAAATGCCACGGGTCTTTTGACGAGTTTAAGGAGGCGGTGCTCGATTAACTATTGCCAAAGATACGCAAGAATATACTGAGTATGCCAATACAATATTGTGCCGATAGTTATATAAGAATATGTTCTTATACAACCCGACCTCATTAACTATGCCGACAGTACCAGAATGCCAAACTTTGTATACTAAGCCGGCTTTCACCGAATCTAACCGGTTGATTATTTTTGTTTCTGAACAAGTTTCGCAGCAGTGTTGCGAAAATTATACCAATACTGTCTAGAATGTCTCACTTAAAATCTATTCCAGATCGGAAAAGTTAATGGATTCCCAATATCATATTATTGTATCTTTCATGAAATTGTAACTTTCCTCCTACGTGTGACTTGGGTTAGTTCTTATGAAAAACCTATCTCAGATGGAATAACAATGCCACAGTGATCATTCCACAAATTAAATAGACTATCTCGATGTGTATCTAATAACACATTTTTCATTCCTTCAGGTGCGCAAAATTTCAAATGTCCGGCCAAAGACGGCCAATATGAAGACGACAAACAGTGCGACAAATTTTACCAATGTGTGGACGGCGTTGCGACTGTGAAGCTGTGTCCGGACGGTTTAGTGTTCGACCCTACCATCAGGAAGATCAACAAATGCGACCAACCTTTCAACGTCGACTGCGGCGACAGGACTGAGCTTCGTAAGTTATTCAATCAAATCAATCTATCAAAATTCTCTTTAAAGCGCCACGTAAACGATCAAATAACGTGTCAAATTTATCCTTCAAACTTCACATTTTCTTCAAACAATGTCGTAAACGATCAAATAAACCATCGAACAAGTTTAACAAACTTGCCCGTAGTTCACATTAGGTGAACCTTATACAGTCGTGTGTGCCGAACTATACCTACTTCATACAATGAGCCATATTATCTTTCGTCATTTCTGCAATGAGCAAGAATATACATACATAAAGCATTTCTAGCATTAACTTTAGCACGTATTATTAAGTCTTATCTCTTACCTATGTGTTATGAAAAAAGAAATATTTTAACATATTATAACATTGGTCTAGAGAATGCTTGGAATTAAGAGAAAAATATACCCACTATAATTATTAATACAAAGATCGCACACTCCTTCGATCCGGCCGGATTCGAACCGACGTCTTCAAGCTTACCGTGCCAGACGCTATACCAACTAAGCCACGGAACGAACCAGCGGGCCTCACGAATTTTTCTATGTGCTTGCGTCGTGTCTTTGTATTTGGTTTTTTCAACGACTTTTTAGTTGTAGCGCCATCTATGAGGAATCTATGAAAGATTTATCACCCAAGTTAGTGCCTCTACAACTACCAGTCCTAGCGAGAGATGTCGCTATTAGCAGTTTTTTAAATTTTTATTGAATTGACATTCAATTATTTTTTGTGAAATTACTCCACTAGTTTGTTATAATTATTAATACAAAGATCGAACACTCAGAAAAACCCACTATAATTTGTTAAGTGATATTGCGTACAGAACCAGATGACTCTATTGAATCTTGCAAAGTGAACGGATAGGCAACAACTGAAGTTTTGTTTGACAACATTTTTTGCATACCTTCAAACATGTTAGTCAAACACGACGTTAATCTAGATTTCCATTTATTTGACAAACGCATCACACACATCAAAAAGTTTGGCAAACACGTAAAATTTTATTAATTATTTGATGGTTTACGGGGCGTTTAAAAGACGAAAATGCATTTCTTATGGATTTTATACAGGAAGATATTGCGACATTTGTCTTAAATTAGTATTAAATTAGTATTATTATAGACACAAATATCGAACCTACACAAAGCACAATTCTGTCGATCTGACTGAATTCCGTAGCAACCGTCCTGCCATCTGAGCTACTTGCTTGTTCGAATTTTTTTGTCGGTTTTAAACGGTTTTGTTTTCAATCGGTAGAGCGGTAGCCACGTTGAGGCAATAGTCGCTAGAAGTCGAAGGAATTTTTCTTTGTATTTGTTCTATCTTTCTATTAAAAATTAATAACAAACTTGTGAAGTTTTTTTACAAAAAAAAAAAATTATCATGGTAGTAAATACATGACATTCAACAAAAATAAATATCTCAACGTATTATCAGTGGCCGCGGTAGCTTAATGGTTAGGCCTACCGCCTTCCAAGCAGAGGCCGTGGATTCGAATCTGAGCAAGCTACTTCTGAGATATTGTGCGAAATTCAGTTTGAAAGGAAAACATCGTGATGAAACCTGCTCATTGAAGATAGTTCATAACCCTTGCAAAACGTGTGAAGTCCTTAACCTGTTCCTGGCCCAACGCCAGCGGCAGCGTGGCGCACTATGGCCTAAACCCTTGCCTGAGAGGAGACCCGTGTGTGAGACATAAATAGGTTAATAATGTTGATGACAATGATGATAGTTAGTGACGAATGTCAGATCTTCGGAAAATAACTACAACGTTATGAACCTCTATTTTTTGTAAATTCAGAGTCCATTACAAACAGTAACTACAATGCCTTAACAAGGTGTCGGTAGTCCTCATTTGTTTATTATATAAGCTTTGCGTGCGCAACGCAAACCATGAACGATAAAATAATCCAGTCGCAGATAACTGAAATCACGCTATGTACGCGGCAGTGATTCGATCTACTTTCGCTTTCAATCTTACGTATCAAGTGATAAGGTATTAATTGAGGCTATACGCGCAAAAGTGGTGTAACCCGATGAAATGCATATAGAACATAATGATTTGAAATTTGCCAAATTCGTTTTATACAGGGTTATTTGTAAAAAACTAATAACCTCGCAGAACTATATTATGAACATCATGAATAACAACTTGTTCCACGACTTTTCATAATTCATCACATTTTACTTTCATACGAAAATTAAAATATTTAAATAGATCACGCTAAATGATGATAACCCTGTGCAAAATGCAAGAGCGCGGGTGGGGTTCGTCGAAAGTCCGTTGCACGTTTGAACTTACTACCAGATACAGATCTAAAAAGCATCAGAAAGTACAACAAAAACTTGAAAGTTTATTTTTGGTAAATATATGTATTATGTTTCGTAAAAAGTCGTGAAACGAAAGTTATTGTTTATGATGTTAGTAATATGTTCCTGCAAGGTTGTTAGTATTTCAAAAATAGCCCCGTTTAAAGTAATCATAAATAACCAGTATATAATTACCATTTTTTTACGTGAAAATAGCATCCAAACATAATCATTTAAAGTAATATTATAGAAAAAAATTTTATGTGAGTTACACCACTTTTGCACTGATAGCCTCAACTAAGGCCTGGCATTAACATCGAGGTGTTTGAAAATTGGCGACAGTTTTCGTGTATCTTTCTCCCAATAATAATAATTAGTGTAAAATAATAAAAACATATATATTATCACGATTACTTCTCGTTACAAAACAATTAAAAAGAAGGTCAAAAACAATATTTGCAAATTCAAGTAATTTAATTGACACGTTTAAATTTACGCTACGTTGACAACTAGAGCATAGAGTTATGAGTTTCTGGAGGTCATTGGTTCAGTTCCTGAAGTGAAGGTATCCTGCCTACCTTTGACTACGTAGGTCAGCATAGTCACTGCCTTTCTAGGTCGCCTGGTACTTCGTCATGCTTGTGTGCCTGGTAAGTGTCAATTAAGATACTATTGTGTCATTTAAAGTCTTGTCACATCATTAACATGTGAGTACATAGATAATTAATATTGCAAATCTTTATAGTACAATGAGGTTAAAGGTTTTATATTGTAATGTTAATCATTACATGCATCCACTACTGGACGTAAGCTCCCCTTGAGCACGCTAACTTGTGTCGCCTGCATCCAGCTGCTGCCCGCCATCTTATTCTTTTTTTTTTTCATCTTTTTTGGCCATCTTATTCCGGTCACCCGTCCATCTTGCCGCAGGGCGTCCTTTACGACGTTTTCGTTGTAATGTTAATGATTACATGCATCCACTACTGGACGTAAGCTCCCCTTAAGCACGCTAACTTATGTCGCCTGCACACAGCTGCTGCCCGCCATCTTATTCTTTTTTTTTCATCGTTTTTGGCCATCTTATTCAGGTTACCCATCCATCTTGCCGCAGGGCGTCCTTCACTACGTTTCCGTTGTATTGTTTATCACTACATGCATCCACTACTGGACGTAAGCTCTCCTTGAGCACGCTAACTTGTGTCGCCCACGTCCAGCTGTTACCGGCCGTCTTTTACTTTTTTTTTTCCCATCTTTTTCGGCCACCTTATTCAGGTCACCCGTCCATCTTGCCACAGGGCGTCCTTCACTTCGTTTTCCTTGACGTGGTCGCCAGCCTAAACAAGTCTTCTTCGTCAGTTTACTCCTGCAGACATGTCCGGCCCACTGCCATTTAAGATTACTGATTTTGCGAGCTATGTCGGTCACTTTAGTTCTCTGACGTAGGACTTCATTAGACATTCGGTTCATCAGAGAAATTCCAAGCATAGCTCGCTCCATCCCACGCTGAACGAATTTAAATTTGTAGATGAGGCCTGTAGTAAATGTCTACGTTTGAACTGCGTAAGACATAACTGGTAGAACGCACTATTTAAACGCGTTTGGTTTTTACACTTTGTGGGCTTTTGCATTTAAATGTTAATGCAAAAGCCTAATACAGAAGGATTTTTAAATTGCAGATTGTAACCTTTTGTACAATTGAGACAGTTTTGTAGGAGTATTTTAAACTAAAAAATATAAATAGAAAAAAATTTCTAAAGATTTTATTTATGCTACTAGTATATTTCTGTCAACCAAGCAATTCAAAAGAACAGCGGTAACACGTATTGGAATTTATATATGCTGGAATGTTCCATATTTTGCTCGTGACTTGTATATTCCTGTTTCAAACTTTTAAACCGTGTACATTTACATTGAAAAGACATAAAAGTCCGTGAATAAGAGACTTGTCCATCCAAGGCGAGACAGCCAGAAGAAAGGCTGAAAATAGTCATTCTCGTTGACCGGCGCCAATCGATTTCCTGTTTAAGTACAATTAAATTGACACTTCCTAGAATGCACGACCTCCCATATTCACGAACAACTTCAGATACTTGCATTCTTGCGGGTGGGTAACCCTCAAGGTCCGCTTGGTAGAAAGTCATAATAATGTATTAAATTCGTTGCCTTTTATAAATAATTTCAAAATCTTTATATCGTTACCTTGATATCGTTTCACAATCGGTTTATTGAATTTTCAAGTTAGTTTCTAAAAATGAGGAAAAAAGGTTTAATAATTAACAAGGTCGTGAAGGACGTTTACCCGAAGTTGGTTTACCCACATTGAAACCTTTAATTTCTTAAAAAGTCTCAAAACTCAATAAACAGCTGCTTTGCTTTTTATAAGTCTTCATTTTTGTTGACTTTTAATTAACAGCAGCCGCGCCATTTCTAATTTTCACACAGTATTTAGAAGCACAGTTGTAGCGCCTAGTCGCGCCACTGCAGTACTTCTATAAGTGATATAAGTTACTTTTCTGTCTTGTGTATTTATAGGTTTATAAGAGGATTATCCTGCACCCACAGAAACCGATGTAGGTTTTCGGGTGTGAAGAAAACATGTGATGAAATATTTTCTAAGTGTTTGGATAAAAATAAAATAAAATAAATAAATATGAACGTCTAATTTGAAGGCGCCCTTGGAGTTAAAGATTATATACTACGTATATATTTCATCCTAGTTTTTATTTTATTTTTAATTCTTTAATTTAAGCAAGATTTACAATGTCGTAGCGAATATGTACCACGATTCTTGAACTATATTCTCTCTTGCAGAGCCCCCCAAGCCAAACAACCACTGCCCGCGCCGCAACGGCTTCTTTGCCCATCCTGACCCGGCAGTTTGCAACGTATTCTACAATTGTATCGAGGGCGACGTCACCGAGGTAAAGTGTACGGCTGGTCTGCACTTCGACGAGTACTCCGGCACTTGCGTGTGGCCTGATGCTGCTGGTAGACAAGGCTGCGATGTTCAGGAGAGTAAGTGAACGCAATTGGTATTTTTAAATCACGAATCTATGAAGAACTTTCGCAGTCGTATGGCCTCCTAGTACATGTGTCTGAATAATTAGGGAATTAATGATAACATTGTTCAAACTATTGACTAGATCATAGCTGTGTACGGTTGTATTAGACTTTACACATAAAAAGAAAGTAAAAAACAATTGTTAAAAAATATAGAACACACGCGCATATCCTAAAATTGTCCTCTTTTACAGAGAAACTCAAGGATGGTTTCGAATGCCCTAAGATAGCACCAGTGGATCCCCAAGGTCAACCTATCGCCCATCCAAAGTTCCCTCATCCCACTGACTGCCAACGCTTCTACGTGTGCCTAAACGGCGTCGAACCCAGAGATCTAGGCTGTCAAGTTGGTGAAGTCTACAACGAGGAGACACAGAAATGTGACGCACCTGAGAACGTGCGCGGATGGTTAGTCAAAGATTCCCTCACATTCATTGTAAATATTTAAATATACAAATTATAGTGTAAAAATTACATTTAAAGAATGGACACTCAATTTTCATACTTAAATAAATTTAGTCGGCGGAAAGTTCATAGCGCATTAAAATTACAACCGCTACTGCTAAGCTAGTTATAACTTTTCTGCCTAATAAATTGGTGTAGTTCTTGTTTTTAAATTAAAAAAAAAACCTTTTGTTACTGTAAAATTTCTTCAGCGCAAGACAAACATTGATTGAAAAGGTGGATGGATGTCTAGAATTTAATTTTATTTCTTAATATTTTCAGCGAGGACTGGTACAAGGACGCGGAGGACGCTGCGCCGGCGCCTAAGGCGAGGGCTTAAGCTAGTGATACTATATAGTTACGCCTAAGACTTGATTAGTGAATAAATAATAAGTTAAATATTACACACCCGTATTTTATTTCTCATTTTTCATTCGTCGGTGTTTAGCAGAAAGGGCACTTAGCCATTTCAAAAAAAATAAACTTTTTTGACCCTGATTTATTTTCGAAATGGCGCTTTGACCCTTTCTACAAATTTGTATTTAATAACTATGACAGTCGGCAAAAGTGGGAATTGAAAGCAATAGCGAAACTGCTCTTCTAGAAAGAAATATATTAAAATATTGTTTTTGTGAAGGTTTATGCAAAGTAATATTATTTTTAATTACGTAGGACATCTTTAATTAAACACCGTTTTATTAAACACTATTTAAAATACTACAGAAATCAGATCGAGTTCTTAGGTTTTCGCGATTGTTAAACATAGGAAATGAAACTATTTTTCCAGATTTAAATCGCGTATATTTGTTTTTTCAAACATCCGACGTTTCGGGCCCTTTACAGGTCCCATGGTCACGGTTGACTGAGGTGGTACAGTCTTCAACCAGTTATGTCTAATATTAATGCAAACCACCCTATTTTTTCACTATAGTTACAATAGTTATTAATTAAATACCTTATTTTTAATTTTACAAAGAAAACATTCCAATTTACGCTACATTAAGTTTTACAAATTATTTTATTGAATGAATTTTTATTAAGTTTAATTTATTATTAATTATTAATAGAAATTAGAATAAACTAAAACATATTAATTAGTACTGCAGTCTTATGTCTGTTTGGGATTTTTCATTAGAGGAAATACTGGATCCCAAACTGGTGGTACAGAGAAACCATCTTCCCTGTTGAAATTAGGATGTTTTTTAATTTCATTGGCCTCTCGCAGCATCTTGGGTAGATAACGGACTTCTTTTGCAAGAACCTGGGGTTTATCAAACTTCATTGAATGTGTAGGTTTATCCATGACATGCTCGGAGACTGCAGACTGTAAAGGGCCCGAAACGTCGGTTTGTTTGAAAAAACAAATATACGCGATTTAAATCCGGAAAAATAGTTCATTTCCTATACAGAAATCAGTTTTACAAGGGGGATATACAGCGCCGGCGCTAGTCCATGTAGCGCCCGGGTGCAATCAATATCCTGGCGCCCTCTAGTAGACACGCGATCAGAATAGAATACTTACAGTTATATTTTCCCCAGTGATCGGTGCAATTATTTATAAATGATCTTGGGAAGCCATTGCCCGTTTACTTTGCTTGCTCGCCGCAAACGGCGCAGGCTCTTTGGAGGCGTAGCGAGAGGAGCTCGAGCCCTCTAAGGCTGAGATTTATAAAACCAATTCAGAGTTCGACTAAGCGAAGACGGCGAGCTAAGCTAGCGTTTTGTTTTTATTAAATGAATTTTGCCTAAGTTTCGAGCAAGAAATTACGAAGTAAATTGTTAAAGTTTAATGGTGAAATTACAGGCACATGGGGCTAGTCAACTTATGTCTCAGGGTGACGGGCGCAGTAACTGGGCCCCTAAGGTCTTTGTGATTTAAAGCTCTGAGTGGCACTGCAACTGTTATGGACTGGCTTGTCGCCTACCACTTGCCCGTCCAGTCGCGTAGTATTGTAAAATATTTCATGGTTGAATTCAGGCAAAGTTCGTATTGTAAATACGAAAATCATGCTGAGCTCGTCGTCTTGGCTTAGTCGAAATCTTAGTTCATTTTATAAATCTCAGCCTTAGATTCTGCGCCCGGATGCACTGCACCAAAGACAAAGCCGGCACTGCATATAGATTTATTGCTATTCAAATAGACTTGATGACAGTTACTGCGGCGAGTATAGCGGTTGTGCACCTCGTCCATGTATGATCCTACTAAATTAAGACAATACACTTACTTATAACACGTACTTTAAAAACTTACAAATACTTGAAAATGTATTGCGTCTCCAAATTTGATTAGTCGCGCGCAGTATGCAGGAGCAAAGCAATATGTTCAAATGAATTTTTGCTAAAGTTATTTGTTATAATAATCGACATGGTTAGCATATCCTTTCTATTACCAACTAGTTATATTACAAATAAAAACTGTTTTGGACCGCTTTCTCGCCTATAGGTGCCGTTGTTGAAACCAAAGAAAGTCACATATTTAACAAATGGATCTACGAAAAAACCGCTTTCCGGATATAGACACACTTTGTTAAAACAACTACTCTTATATTTTAAAATGGTGCTAATAGTTCAAGAAACTTTTATGTTTAAGGGGACGTCTATTCACGAAAGTTAAATTGCAATCGTATGAACAAAAGTAACTGAATTTGAATCTGTGTAAGAAGTAACAGTGACACTAATTTAAAAAGTTAGTTCTGATCAAAATCTACTTCTTTATCTACGATAACACTGTATTATTATTTATATACAAGACAATGGTTAATAGTATTATTATTTTGCACCTATTAAAATGCAACTATGTCAAAGACAACACACTTTCAAAAATACATTCTCTTTGCAAGACGTACCTATTGACTCCCACCGGTACGAATAGGATATATGGAAATATATGCCGGTGACCTTTGCAATTATAAAGGTATTCATTTGACCTTTTGCTAGACTATATATGTTTACTTTTATTACTTAATTTAATTTAGTAGCTACGTCTATTACTAGCACCCAAGTGACATATAGTTTTCTTGACGACCTCGGTAGTCCAGTGGTTAGGATTGTGGGCGCTAGATGACGGGGCAACGTGTTCTATTCCCAATAAAAACTAAATTTTCCGAATTTATTGGTGTGCTACAGGGAATTCCCTAGTTTGAGATCAGTAATTGGTGTGATTGTTTGTCGCATCATTACTATTATTGATGAACAACAACTTAATTAAAAGCTCCTAGATCTCTCCGGGTGCCTTGTGCCACGGAACTTTTTCGTATCGAAAACAGTTTATGTACGGCTTTAACAGCGAAGGAAGACATTGATATCAAACCTGTATGCCACGAAGAAGATGTGGAATCCCCAACCAGGATTGAATCAATATGGTAGAGTAGGATCTAAGCAATTTAATTAAACCCCTTTTGGTTATACCGGACACCAGGACATAGAACCAGATGAGGTTTTCAAAAGACTTGTGTGAGCGCCCCCGGGTGCACGTACATCACTCTCCCTAATGTCCAAATAGGTACCGGAGCTGTCGATTCGCTCCCCTCCCGTTGTGCATTGCACAACTAGCAGTTACCAATGGTACCAGATAAATCCTAGTATATATTAATTTTTCTAAAGTATTTAAACGCACACTCGCACACACGCACACACTCAAAGCCCACCAATAGGGAAACCCTTTATCGCAGGTGTCGTAGACACACATAGACAACCACAAATTACACCCAAACCCACGAGAGAAAAAGATATAGGCCATACAAATATTTCTCCCGACTCGAGAACCGAACCCGAGACCTCTGCATGGCAGTCCAGCACGGTAACCGTTCGACCATAGACTCAGTTAGAGGCAGTTAGATATAAAGAATTCGCATGATGGAAAGATGCAGTTTATTGACATTTTGTATTTTTAATTAAACATATTCAACATCGCAAGGGGGTAACTGCCGTGAAATCTAAGATCTTAACTCTCTAGTCTGCTTTTTTTTTAGAGTCAATGTGTATGTTGGTGCTAGCCTCGATCAAGAGTTCCAGAAATCGCGGATTTAGAGAGTCTCATACTGTTGTTCTAAAAACTAAACAAGGTGCAATAAGATAAGAATGACAATAATTCGAAACTAAGTGGTCACTGACTTCCTATACTAGAACAATCGGTATTATAGGTGTCAGTCACCCTCAGTGATAGTTACAAAAACTTGACAAACTATTTGAAATAAATATTGTACTTTAATTTTTTGAAATAAAGTTAACGAGTAGCAGTAGAGCAAGGAAGTATTTATTTCTGCCGCCAAGCAGTAATGTGAGCATTACTGCGTTCTAGTTTTGAAGGCAAATGGGACTTGTCAAATTATGTCTCAGAGTGATACTCAGAGTAACTAAGATCTTTGCGATTTAAAGTTCAGAACGGCACTGTAATTGATACAGCGTCGACCTCATCATCACTTTCCATCAGGTCAGATGGAGGTCAAATGCGCGCTTATTTTTTATAAAAAAGAAACTTATGAACAGGCATGTCGCTTAACAACCTAAGAGTATTCTGCGCAAAGAACCAATAAATAGTTTTCCTCTAAAATTTTCTATAAATCGTCTAATAAATTAATACCTACATCTTTATTTAAATATAAAAGTCATCATCATCATTTCAGCAGACTTTAGAATTTAGAATTCACTGGTGAACATAGAAACATCCCTATAATGGCCACAATGGCCAATCTTGCTCAGTTCGCATGCAGCGTACTCCGGCAACTTTCATCAGGTCGTTAGTCTACTATGTGGATGGTCTGCCTACGCTACGTCATCCAATATAAAATAATAAAAAATAATTAATTGATTATGTGAAGGTGGTGAAGGTAGCTTAATTCCTGCATTGCATTAATTGTCGTATATTCGAAACATTCTAAGTTGATTACAAATTTTTTGACACGCGGTTCATCGACCTCGAAACAGGTACGGCAACTAAACAGCTAATTTTGACCTCAAGAGGTGGGTGAACTGGAGGACGTCACGTTTTTAATTAAATTATATGAGGAAATCAAAATGAAAGACGTAAATCAGTTCTCGCCGTTAGTTCTTGCGCGATGTACAAAAAAAACCTTTTGAATTATTTAGTGCGTAAAATCTGCATCGTTTCAATAATCAACAATGAGTCTGTGGTTTTTCTACAGATGTGTTCATACTTTCCTCTAGGTAAACACAATCAGTAGATATCAAAACACACAAAGTTAGATGAACTTTATAGCTGCTCGCGCATCAAAGTTACATAATTACTTATAGGAATATGTATAATTATTTTTTTGAATCTAAATCGTTAATATTTGTTTTTTCATATAAACCAGAGTTTCTTAACCTGTGGTCCATGGACTCCTACGGGGTCCGTGTAATGAACGCCGCGAGAACCTACCTAACATAATGGAATAGCAACCGTCAC